TTAGTGTATTTTTTTGTAGTATATATATATATATATATATATATATATATATATATATATATATATATATATATATAAAAATCGCTCATGAAAGTTACATCAAATGTTTCCAAAACCATATCTCTTGCAAGGCATATTTGCGTTTAGACTCCCTCAAGGCAAAATGGGACGTGGTCTCGACTGTAATGAAATGTAATGTAATGTAATTGGAGTCATGAGAAGGGTAACTGACGAACCAATTTCATGTGACTGTTACTATGATTTTCAGAATGAAAATGATTCGACGTTGTTGGGCTATTGTGGCATTTCCAAAGTACATGCATTTACCAATAAATCAAGTTGCCTTAACCTTTGGCGCATGGCATGTTGAATGTGTTTGAATGTGTTTGAAATTGTGGGCTTATGAAATTGTGGAGTCATTGGAACGTCAATATGCTGCTGCCTTTTCCATAGCTCATAATCGGGACCATCTAATAAAGCCGCTCCACTGAAAGGAAAACCACATGTCGTCAGTGCATAATGTCATTTCAAACCCCTCTCCAAATTTCCCAGCCTGCAGTGACACAGACCCAACTGTCTGCCACTAGGACATTACATTACATCAGATAACATCATCTGGGATTTGACACATTGTTCTATTTCCTCATTAACATTATTGATCCTATTAAAAAGCACTGTGCAGAAAAATGCAGTTACTGTGGAAGATGACTTAACCTGTAGCCTGGGGTGGGGTGAGAAGAGGTCTCTGTGTGTGATATAACACTGTATGTGTATTTCTGATGTGTAAGTCTAGGTCACTTGACATCTCATCAAAGCATGCCATTGTTTTTAGGAGGAAAAATATTATGGGTGGTGTGGGGGAGGTGGTGGGGTAGAAAGCGAAGCTGTTTCCTGAGAAGTGGGCTCGCCTAACAATGGCCATCATCTTGGAACAGTCGGCGGTCAAAGCAACGTCTGAGGGGGGCTGTAGGATATTGAGAGAATGGCAGAGAAAAGAGAGAGGGGAAAACAATGGCAATAGAGCTCACACAATGTACCAAGAGAGAGTGGTGTTTTCGGGAAATTCCTAAGACAATGGGAGAACTATGTCCAGCTGGTGTCGCTTAACCTCCGTTAGACATTCCATTGGTTGGGTCACATTTGCTCTTATGTAGTGTCTAGATGTAACACAAGTCAGGTACCGTCAATGCCATGAAGTCACACACTTGCAGTAAGTACACTTCAAATCACTTTTTAGATTTGTAATTTGAAAAAAAATAAACTGTCACTGGACTGTCACTTGATTTGCTGTTCCAGCTCAACAGCTAGGTTGCAGAGGTCTGTGTATATGAGAGTGAGTGGGAAGGGTTTGTTCCCCATCAAGGCGAGGCACAGTAACTGTTAAATATTTAATGGCTCTGTACTGAATCTAGTGAATGGGGGTAAATGAATATTGCCTCGGACTGTTTTATTGCTACACCTGATCCTGGGCTGACTCTTAGGACACAATGTACAGGGGTGTGGAAAAACCACCTAACAGTCCCCTTTTAACTACTGACACGTTTCCACTCTGCATAATGCGCTAGAAGGTATAGTTTGCCTCCCCCCAAAAAAGATATACAGTACCAGTCAAAGTTTGGATACCTACTCATTTAAGGGTTTTTCTTTATTTTTACTATTTTCTACATTGTAGAATAATAGTGAAGACATCAAAACTATGAAATAACACATATGGAATCATGTAGTACCCCAAAAAGTGTTAAACAAATCAAAATATTTTATATTTGAGATTCTTAAAAGTAGCCACCCTTTGCCTGAATGACAGCTTTGCATTCTCTCAACCAGCTTCATGAGGTAGTCACCTGGAATGCTTTCCCAACAGTTTTGAAGGAGTTCCCACATGCTGAGCACTTGTTGGCTGCTTTTCCTTCACTCTGCGGTCCAACTCATCCCAAACCATCTCACTTGGGTTGAGGTTGGGTGATTGTGGAGGCCAGGTCATCTGATGCAGCACTCCATCACTCTCCTTGGTCAAATAGCTCTTACACAGCCTGGAGGTGTGTTTTGGGTCATTGTCCTGTTGAAAAACAAATGATAGTCCCACTAAGCGCAAACCAGATGGGTTGGCATATCGCTGCAGAATGCTGTGGTAGCCATGCTGGTTAAGTGTGCCTTGAATTCTAAATAAATCACAGACAGTGTCACCAGCAAAGCACCATCACACCTCCTCCTCCATGCTTCACGGTGGGAACCACACATGCGGAGATCATCCGTTCACCTACTCTGCGTCTCACAAAGAGACGGCGGTTGGAACCAAAAATCTCAAATTTGGACTCATCAGACCAAAGGACAGATTTCCACCGGTCTAATGTCCATTGCTCGTGTTTCTTGGCCCAAGCAAGTCTCTTCTTCTTATTGTTGTCCTTTTAGTAGTGGTTTCTTTGCAGTAATTTGACCATGAAGGCCTGATTCACGCAGTCTCCTCTGAACAGTTGATGTTGAGATGTGTCTGTTACTTAAACTCTGTGAGGTGCAATCTGGGGTCCATTTAATTGCCGATTTCTGAGGCTGGTAACTCTAAAGAACTTATCCTCTGCAGCAGAGGTAACTCTGGGTCTTCCTTTCCTGTGGCGGTCCTCATGAGAGCCAGTTTCATCATAGCGCTTGGTTTTTGTGACTGCACTTGAAGAAACTTTCAAAGTTCTTGACATTTTCTGGATTGACTGACCTTAATGTCTTAAAGTAATGATGGACTGTCGTTTCTCTTTGCTTATTTGAGCTGTTTGCCATAATTTGCCATAATATGGAGATGGTCTTTTACCAAATAGGGCTATCTTCTGTATACCACCCCTACCTTGTCACAACACAACTGATTGGCTCAAACGCATTAAGAAGGAAAGAAATTCCACAAATTAACTTTTAAGAAGGCACACCTGTTAATTTAAATGCATTCCAGGTGACTACCTCATGAAGCTGGTTGAGAGAATGCCGAGAGTGTGCAAAGCTGTCATCAAGGCAAAGGGTGGCTACTTTGAAGAATCTCAAATAAACAAAATATATTTTATAACACTTTTTTGTTGGTTACTACATGATTCCATATGTGTTGTTTCATAGTTTTGATGTCTTCACTATTATTCTACAATGTAGAAAATAGTAAAAATAAAGAAAAATCCTGGAATGAGTAGGTGTGTCCAAACCTTTGACTGGTGCTGTGTATGTATGTATGTATGTATGTATGTATGTATGTATGTATGTATGTATGTATGTATGTATGTATGTATGTATGTATGTATGTATGTATGTATGTATGTATGTATGTATGTATATATATATATACAGTGAGGGAAAAAAGTATTTGATCACCTGCTGATTTTGTACGTTTGCCCACTGACAAAGAAATGATCAGTCTAGAATTTTAATGGTAGGTTTATTTGAACAGTGAGAGACAGAATAACAACAACAAAATCCAGAAAAACGCATGTCAAAAATGTTATAAATTGATTTGCATTTTAATGAGGGAAATAAGTATTTGACCCCCTCTCAATCAGAAAGATTTCTGGCTCCCAGGTGTCTTATACAGGTAACAAACTGAGATTAGGAGCACACTCTTAAAGGGAGTGTTCCTAATATCAGTTTGTTACCTGTATAAAAGACACCTGTCCACAGAAGCAATCAATCAATCAGATTCCAAACTCTCCACCATGGCCAAGACCAAAGAGCTCTCCAAGGATGTCAGGGACAAGATTGTAGACCTACACAAGGCTGGAATGGGCTACAAAACCATCGCCAAGCAGCTTGGTGAGAAGGTGACAACAGTTGGTGCAATTATTCGCAAATGGAAGAAACACAAAATAACTGTCAATCTCCCTCTGCCTGGGGCTCCATGCAAGATCTCACCTCGTGGAGTTGCGATGATCATGAGAACGGTGAGGAATCAGCCCAGAACTACAAGGGAGGATCTTGCCAATGATCTCAAGGCAGCTGGGACCATAGTCACCAAGAAAACAATTGGTAACACACTACGCCGTGAAGGATTGAAATCCTGCAGCGCTCGCAAGGTCCCCCTGCTCAAGAAAGCACATATACATGCCCATCTGAAGTTTGCCAATGAAAAGCTGAATGATTCAGAGAAGAACTGGGTGAAAGTGTTGTGGTCAGATGAGACCAAAATGGAGCTCTTTGTTATCAACTCAACTCGCCTTGTTTGGAGGAGGAGGAATGCTGCCTATGACCCCAAGAACACCATCCCCACCGTCAAACATGGAGGTGAGAACATTATGCTTTGGGGGTATTTTTCTGCTAAGGGGACAGGACAACTTCACCGCATCAAAGGGACAATGGACGGGGCCATGTACCGTCAAATCTTGGATGAGAACCTCCTTCCCTCAGCCAGGGCATTGAAAATGGGTCGTGGATGGGTATTCCAGCATGACAATGACCCAAAACACACGGCCAAGGCAACAAAGGAGTGGCTCAAGAAGAAGCACATTAAGGTCCTGGAGTGGCCTAGCCAGTCTCCAGACCTTAATCCCACAGAAAATCTGTGGAGGGAGCTGAAGGTTCGAGTTGCCAAACATTAGCAACGAAACCTTAATGACTTGGAGAAGATCTGCAAAGAGGAGTGGGACAAAATCCCTCCTGAGATGTGTGCAAACCCGGTGGCCAACTACAAGAAACGTCTGACCTCTGTGATTGCCAACAAGGGTTTTGCCACCAAGTACTAAGTCATGTTTTGCAGAGGGGTCAAATACTTATTTCCCTCATTAAAATGCAAATACATTTATAACATTTTTGACATGCGTTTTTCTGGATTTTTTTGTTGTTATTCTGTCTCTCACTGTTCAAATAAACCTACCATTTAAAATTATAGACTGATCATTTCTTTGTCAGTGGGCAAACGTACAAAATCAGCAGGGGATCAAATACTTTTTTTCCCTCACTGTGTATATATATGTGTGTGTGTGTGTGTGTGTGTGTGTGTGTGTGTGTGTGTGTGTGTGTGTGTAAAATATCTCAACTATATGAGCCGTGAGTCCATATTCCACATTATAACTTATCTTATGGCATTAACATTGACAATTCATGTGTCTGATTTATGTTGTAATGTATTTAACAAGGCCACAATTTGTTCGTCTTTCTCTGTATTCCAGATCAAAACGTTGACTCCAACTGTACCCGATTCAAAGAGAAAGTGGGAAACACAACTGGGAAAAGGACTGAGGACCACGACACCTGTGCCACATCTACCCCCAACCCCCCCCTTGATCCCCCCCCAAAACCCACCCTCATACCCACCATGTCTCTCAAAACCTTCCACCTGATAGAGACCCTCAAGAAATCCCCGGCCGCTTTACGCCGCCGCTTCCGCCGCGACCGCACAGAGTCCCTCTCCCACGGCGACCCGCTATTCAAGGTCCACTACCTGGGCACCGAGAAAATCTTCTCCCTGGATCGAGAGCAGGCCCAGGACGCCATATCCCGGCTACTCGAAGGGGCCGCAAATGGAAAGAAGCTGAGCAAAGACCATGCGTTGGTTGTTCGTCCACGCTATGTCGAAGTCAAAGAGCTCAGCACAGGGCGCCAGCTCACTAAGACATACCTCCAGGACATAGCCTACTGCGCCGCCGACTCCACCAGACCCAACGTGTTTCTGTACATCTGTAAGCAGCGTGGGCAACAGCTGCAGTGCCGGGTGTTCTGGTGCAGCCGGGCGGAGCGGGCACGGGACATGACGGCCTGTCTGGCACACTCCTTCCAGAGGGCACTGAGCGACTGGCAGGGGGACGGCGGAAGTACCGGCACGCTGACCCCAGAAAAAGTTGAGGTGAAGGAGGGAGAGGATATGTCCACCACCTCTGCTACCTCCCGAAACTCCATGCTAACAGCTAGCTTAAGAAGAGGTAAACACGCCTGAGCACCTGACACACTGAAATATTCTGTTGAAATCAATAGAAACCAAAAATGTTAGGCAGGTGGTAAGGGGATTGCCTAGCGATAGGGGAAACTGTCAAAGGGATTAATTGATAGTCTTCAGTTAACACATGAATGTATGTGGATTTGCACATTTCACCATCTTCTCTTGAGAGTTGTATGTGGAAAAAAAAAACAAGCCCAGCCAGCACATTTAACACCCTCTCTCTTCTGTGTCGGTTTGCAGTCCGTTGGAAGAAGAGGAGCTCCCTGTCTCACAGTCCACTGAGTGCCATGACCAGGAAGAGATCCACCTCAGACATCTGGCACTGAGACACCCAGATCCCCAGCATGGGACACTAAACTGACCACACCCCCAGGGACTAGTTACAGCATGGAGGGAGGGAAGAGAAGAGAAGAGAACCCACCACTACTGGACTGAAAAAAAGAGAAGGGTGAGGAAGGGAGATCAGTGCTGGACTTTCTTTCAAATGGGACATTGCCTTAGTAAGTCTACAGTACAGTTCATGACTGGAATGAACAGTAGCCTACAAACTGGGACCGTTAATGACTAGCTAACTTGGCCTTGGAAGACTAGGGAACAAGGCGTTGGGTTGATGGCGTGGTACTGTATGCTGTTGCCAGCATTCACCTCAGTTGCCTTGTGACTTGCTTTCACTGTTGGAAAGCTTCAATGCTGAACTTCTCATTTCCATCGCCACTCAGTCACTTGTTTTCCACAGAGTGGCATTGATACTCTGAACTGCCAGTTATGCTTCAAAGAAAGGAGCACATGGTCTTGTGTGCCTTTTTTAACTAGACAAGGATATGACCAAAGATATCACCAAACCACAATCTTCTCTCAGTACAATGCTGGATACAGGCTGGAATGGTTGAAACTGGTTACAGACAGTCATAGCAATGATGGTTGTTTTTTAAATCTTTTTTTGTTATTTATTTTAATTAGGTATTTGTTCGTTTTTGTTCTTTTTACCATACGGCTCTTCAGCCTGTTCTCTTTCTGACTGAGTACAGATTTTTTTTTTTTTTAAGGGTGGAGTAACTTTGTTTGAGCTGAACCTGAAACATGAGCTCAGTGTTGGTCTTGGGAGAGGGGTTATAAAGTGTGTGTGAGGATTCATGGGGCATAAAGGGTTAATTTGAGCCGACCATAGAAGAACATCGGCTGGGTTGTCATAGCTACACAGTAGGCTGTGTTCGTAGGCAGGGCTGTAATTAAGCAATAAGGCATGAGGCAATTTTTTAAAGATGAATTACATTTTCATTCAACGTTATTTTAATGAGTACATTTTTTTTTTTTTCATCCTTCCACCAGACAATATAGTCCGAACAAAAGCCAGTTGTTAGTTCTGAGATAATGAAGTTGCTAGCCAAATGAGCTGGTCGTCCAAAAAAGGTTGCCATGCAGGCTAGCTAACTAATGCTAACACTATCACATCAAACAGCTAAATGATGGCAAACTATGTGCATTTTAGTTTGTTTTACCTTTATTTCTATTGCCATTTCATTTGACATATCCAGTGTTATGATCCTTATAAATGAATTTTCCTGAGAAGCTGTCAGTCTTGTCACGTTCATTCTCTCTAATGGCACGGTGGAACTCACAAATATAACCTGCAACATTGTTACACGGGTCGGAGGCAGGCAGCAAGGTTTAGACGAACCCCAACTGTTGCAAGCCAAATGCTAGCCTAGTAGCATGGGGAAATAATGTCTAGACACTTTTACAGGGGAGTTTAAGTTAATAAATTGCTGGGCTGGGCTGTGGAATTCAAATGGCACTGTTAAAGGGAAAATCCAATCAAAAACAACCTTTTAATATTTATTTTCATTAGTCCACTTGATTCAGTCCCAAAATGTTTTCCATGTCAGCAGTCAAGTTTTCAAGATATTGGACTTTCGAGAAGCAAAGTGTCACATCATCATGATGATGATGTGGCCGGTCATTGACCGTGCATCTTAGTCCAAGACTATGCTAAATCTGTCTTCACTAATTTCCTGAATTTGAATGAGCCTCATGGCTCTGTATGCTATAGATGCGATATCAACCTACTTATTCACACTAAATCCTCCCTTAAAGGTGTTAGTGTTTGCTAGAACAGTTTTTTATAGTGATGAACCAGTTAGATGTATATTATTTGCATTGATGTGGAAAAATCACTCGCCCATGGTGCACCTCGTTCCTCACTATTCCTGTGTGTGCGAAGTAGTAGGAGTAGTAATGTTTTTATCACATTCGGCGGGTAGGTGCAGTGAAATGTGTTTTACAGGGTCAGCCATAGTAGTTCAGCGCCCCTGGAGCAAATTAGGTGTAAATGCCTTGTTCAAGGGCACGTCGACAGATTTTTCACCTTGTCGGCTCAGGTATTCGAACCAGCGACCTTTCTGTTACTGGCCCAACGCTCTAACCGCAAGGTTACCTCTGTTCCCTGTGTGGGGCAGGAACGTTGGTTTGAACTGTTCGGCACTTCAGCCGTGCACCCGCATTCCGATGGGGACATTAGTACTCAAATCCTCCTTGGCCCCGCCCTTTACCTCTCCTCTCTGTCTGGCCTAACCTAACTTCATGACTTTGCATGTTTCATAGCATTAGTGTTAGCGTGGCCCCAAGCTCAAATACCTGTTTCTCTTACACACTCTCTCGCTCCTCACACACTTCCTCATGTCACATCAGCTCATTCCATACAGTAAAGACATTACATCCCAGCTTAATTCCTCGATGTCATTAGAAGTGATACTACAGTATGCAGTATTGCATAATTTAGTTTCATGATAGCTGACTGGTGTTGTATAGGGTTTACACAGGAGACTGCTCATCTATGGATGGGGTGGTATAGGGGTCATTCTACATTTGAGTCCCTACCTATCCTCAGGGGCCATCCCCTATAGACTTCCACCACACGTTACACCTTACAATTTGTTTAACGACAACAAATAAACAAGAAAAGGTTAGCGAGGGATATCTTCATGTTTTACAGTAAAAGGTGCCTGTTTTTAAATGTTGTTCTTTGACTTGACAAGTTATGTCAATGGATGTCTGTTTAACCATTTATTTTATGACTATGTATTCTGATGTATCTCAAACTACAAATGGCACATCCTCATCTTCGCAGTGTAAGTGCCTGCTTTAAGGTCTGGTTTTATGTTATACTTGTTTAAAACATCTTTGTGCACATATTTAAATATGTATTCTATGGAATAATAAACCTTTATACAATGATACTGTATGTGTTTGTATATTTGAAAATGTTTTTCTTGTCTACCTTAACTGAAGACTCAGAGCATCAAAACAGCCAACCTCAGGCCAAAACGAGCCCCCTGTACCCCCCTACATACTGTATCTTTAGTCCTGGTGCCAAGCATTTGATGAATGAGACAAAACAATCTGAGGCGTATCTATTTAAAAGTCTATTTGCCCTTTTTTAAGGGTCAGTATATCTCGGACTCAAATTAAACAACATTCTGTCATGGGGCCGGAGCTGGAAGGCAGAAGTTCACCAGGGGTCATGGGATAAGGTGAAAGTCATGAGGCTTATTTCTTAGGGTACTTTACTTTATTCTGACCCATTTCATAATCGCTTAAACTGGCATTTACTTCGACATCACTCTATGACGGCGGTGAAATTACAGTACATTAACACATTGAGATGGAGTACCATACATTCAAATGTGCCCTATTTATGGGCCTAGCACTTTCGAATTAGAGCATTTTTTTGGGACAAATAATAGTTCCCTTTGTATTGTCTTATTGGCACATTGATCCTACCTCTGTTGGGGAAATAATCATTCAATATGGCTACATGTTTACCTTTAGTAAAAATGCACAGACAACGGGATATACTAGTACCCCTCAGTCTCCTTCCATCATACAATGTCTACTCTGACCACCACATCAGGGTTGTATTCAGGGACACCAAAAGGAAGAAAACATCCTGAAACAGGGAGAGACTACCTGGGCTGCGTTCAGTTGGAAAATAATTAGTGGAGCGTTCAATTAAAAAGGAACCGGTGCTTTTCTGAATGACCAGTTGAAAAATGGGTTGTGGGTTCAAAATGCATTACCAATCAGAGCAAACATACCTCAAAGTCTGTTCAAGAACGTTGAAGAACAAACGTTTTTGGGAAACGTGTCGTTCAGTACAAACCGTTACGCAACATAGCAAACGTTATATCGAACTGAAAGCACCCCTGGACTTGTCCTATGAGAAACAGTCGTTTTTTGTTATTCGTTGCAAAGCGTTTCGCTACGGTGTGCTGTGCACTTAGGAATATGACCCTTGTCACTCTTCCTCTGAGGACTCTCCTGAAGCGGGAGTGGCTGGCCTGGTGCTTCTGCCCGGTCTCCTCTGGACCTCAGACAGAGTCTGGACATGGAGACGCCTCAGAGACTTCACCTCTTCTACGACTGAGAGAGAGAGAGAGAGATTAAGAGAGGAAAGCCATTTGCCACACATATATAGCCCAACAGTGCTACCTGGCAACTATAGACTAGAGCAACAATCATCATAATAATTATGTTTATGAATATTATTGGTTGGATAATAAATACAAATGTAGCCCAGGCATCATAAGCCATTTATAAACACTTGGCATTGCAGGTCAACACATTCATATTTGGATGTTTTGATTCTGTAAACAAATTCTGTATTCAAAATGTTCACTAAACCCCAGCACCATAGGCCTATTCTAGTCTTGGTGATTTGATACTGGGTACAGAGATAGATACACTACCATTCAAAAGTTTGGGGTCACTTAAAAAGTTCCTTGTTTTCGAAAGAAAAGCCATTTTCTTGTCCATTAAAATAACATCAAATTGATCAGAAATACAGTGTAGACATTGTTAATGTTGTAAATGGCTATTGTAGCTGGAAACAGCTGATTTTTTTATGGAATATCTACATCGGCATTCAGAGGTCCATTATCAGCAACCATCAGTCCTGTGTTCCAGTGGCAGCTTCATTAAATAGTACCCACAAAACACCAGTCTCAACGTCAACAGTGAAGAGGCGACTCCGGAATGCTGACCTTCTAGGCAGAGTTGCAAAGAAAAAGCCATATCTCAGACTGGCCAATAAAAAGAAAATATTAAGATGGGCAGTCTGAGATATGGCTTTTTCTTTGCAACTCTGCCTAGAAGGTCAGCATCCTGGAGTCGCCGCTTCACTGTTGACGTTGAGACTGGTGTTTTACGGGTACTATTTAATGAAGCTGCCAGTTGAGGACCTGTGAGGCGTCTGTTTCTCAAACTAGACACTCTAATGTATTTGTCCTCTTGCTCAGTTGTGCACCGGGGCCTCCCACTCCTCTTTCTATTCTGGTTAGAGACAGTTTGCGCTGTTCTGTGAAGGGAGTAGTACACAGTGTTGTACGAGATCTTCAGTTTCTTGGCAATTTCTCGCATGGAATAGCCTTCATTTCTCAGAACAAGAATAGACTGATGACTTTCAGAAGAAAGTTATTTGTTTCTGGCCATTTCGAACCCACAATGGCTGATGCTCCAGATACTCAACTAGTCTCAAGAAGGCCAGTTTTATTGCTTCTTTAATCAGCACAACAGTTTTCAGCTGTGCTAACATAATTGCAAAATTGCCGTTTTTTGAACGGTAGTGTACGTATCTCAGATACATTTCCAGGAAGTTTTATTTAATTTTGACTTACCTTTGTCGTAGTGCAGCTCATCCCGGTTGCCATAGACAGCGTAGGTTTCCAGGAAGTTAAGCAGAGCCCCAGAGACCAGGAAGCGCTCTGGGAGAGGAAGGTTTTTCAGGTAGCGCATGTCCAGGGCAAAGGGGTTGGAGGGAGATGGAACAGTGCACAGGCACACCAGCTCACTCACTACATCCCATACCCGTATTCCTATAGGAAAAAGGACCAAAGAGGAGAAGGAGGATAGCTGATCAGCCAAGTACGTGATGCAATGTTTCAGATGGATTATTGTCATGGTGGTGTGCAAACTAGAAGAACATAAATATAAACGTTCTAAACCTTGTGATCCCCAGTCCGTGATGGCCTTGAGTTTCATGGGTGTGTCCTTGACCATTGAATCAGTGCCTCCGATGTTGACCAGGCGCTCGTGATTGGACCTTATCCAGGCGTACGGGCGACCATACTTGGCGTAGCCAGCCAATAGGAAAAGAGTGCAATTCACTTCCTGAAGAGATGAGCGAGAATCAGAATAAAAACAGATTTATTAACAATTCAAAGTGAATGGAACGCAATGATGACTATACTCACAGGCACTGCAATCTCTCTTTCACTGGGGGAGGCTGGTAGGAGATGGGCCTCACTGCTGCCCCTGTGGAAAAAGATAGATAAATTATTCTGTGTGAGTGCATGTGGGCATGAATCCATGCATGTTGTGTGTGTTTCAAATGTGCATATGTGTGAATTTGTGTGTGTACGTTTATACTTGCATGACGCCTCACTTGTGGGCATGGTGGTGGGGCCCCTGTGATGAGTGCTGCTGCTTCCTTGGCATGCTTTGTGGCCCCTGAGGGCCTTGATGAGGCCCCTGGTGGTCCCCAGGCAGGGGGGAGCTGGTGTCACTAGCCAGGCTGTAGGTGCTACTGGTGCTGCTGGATGAGGAACTGCTACTGAAGGAGGAGGCTGCCGACACCATGAACCGAGGGGAACGCCAACCCTGAAGGGGGAGACCAGGGTCGTGTTCAGTAGGGCACACAGTAGCAAAAGGTTTTGGAAGAGGGAATGAAAATCAGGGTTCTAATTGGTCAAGTTAAAGTAGAATTTCTGTGTTTCACTCTGTTTTAAAACGTTTTCTCCTTACTGTCCTGGAATAAAAGAAGAACCATAATATAGACTTAAAGGAATGGCTCGTCATCGATTTCTGGATGTTTGAGAAAACAAGATAGCTGCAGTTAGTGGAGTTAGTTAAACACTAACCAGGTCTTCATTGACTACAGTCAGGAGTAGCTCCTCTCTCCCCCTCAGCCAAGGTTGAAAGTACCGGAAACCCTACATTGAGAGACAATAAATTATCCTGATGATAATATACACTACCGTTCAAAAGTTTGGGGTCACAAAGAAATGTTCTTGTTTTCCAAAGAAAAGCAATTTTTTGGTCAATTAAAATAACATCAAATTGATCAGAAATACAATGTAGACATTGTTAATGTTGTAAATGGCTATTGTAGCTGGAAACGGCTGATTTTTAATGGAATATCTACATAGGCGTACAGAGGCCCATTATCAGCAACCATCAGTCCTGTGTAACAATGGCATGTTGTGTTTGCTAATCCAAGTTTATCATTTTAAAAGGCTAATTGATCATTAGAAAACCCTTTTGCAATTATGTTAGCACAGCTGAAAACTGCTGTGCTGATTAAAGAAGCAATAAAACTGGCCTTCTTGAGACTAGTTGAGTATCTGGAGCATCAACAATTGTGGATTACAGGCTCAAAATGGCCAGAAACAAATAACCTTCTTCTGAAACTCGTCAGTCTATTCTTGTTCTGAGAAATTAAGGCTATTCCATGCGAGAAATTGCCAAGAAACTGAAGATCTCATACAACGCTGTGTACTACTCCCTTCACAGAACAGCGCAAACTGGCTCTAACCAGAATAGAAAGAGGAGTTCTAGGCAGAGTTGCAAAGAAAAAGCCATATCTCAGACTGGCCAATAAAAAGAAAATATTAAGATGGGCAGTCTGAGATATGGCTTTTTCTTTGGAACTCTGCCTAGCATCTCGGAGTCGCCTCTTCACTGTTGATGTTGAGACTGGTGTTTTGCAGTTACTATTTAATGAAGCTGCCAGTTGAGGACCTGTGAGGCGCCTGTTTCTCAAACTAGACACTAATGTATTTGTCCTCTTGCTCAGTTGTGCACCGGGGCCTCCCACTCCTCTTTCTATTCTGGTTAGAGACAGTTTGCGCTGTTCTGTGAAGGGATTAGTACACAGCGTTCAGATCTTCAGTTTACTGGCAATTTCTCGCATGGAATAGCCTTCATTTCTCAGAACAAGAATAGACTGAAAAGTTTCAGAAGTAAGTTCTTTGTTTCTGGCCATTTTGAGCCTGTAATCGAACCCACAATGGCTGATGCTCCAGATACACAACTAGTCAAGGCCAGTTTTATTGCTTCTTTAATCCGCACAACAGTTTTCAGCTGTGCTAACATAATTGCAAAAGGGTTTCCTAATGATCAATTAGCCTTTCAAAATGATAAACTTGGATTAGCAAACACAACGTGCCATTGGAACACAGGACTGATGGTTGCTGATAATGGGCCTCTGTACGCCTATGTACATATTCCATAAAAAATCAGCAGTTTCCAGCTACAATAGCCATTTACAACATTAACAATGTCTACACTGTATTTCTGATCAATTTGATGTTCTTTTTATGGACAAAAAAATTGCTTTTCTTTCGAAAACAAGGACATTTCTAAGTGACCCCAAACTTTTGAACGGTAGTGTATGTTTTCTGACCTTTCAAATTATTATTATTTAGATATTCTGTAACTATCATTTATCTGGTTCTAGAACTATAAGAACTAACCTGCAATGATCCCAATAAGGCCAGGTCTGTCAGAAAGTGCTGCAGTTTTTTCCTCTGTTCTCTCTCTCGCTTCTGCCACACACACACACACTTTGTGAATGTCATATTTTGGCAAATGTTGCTCATCTGAAAGCAAGGACCTCATAGGGTGCATAGAAAATAAAATACCCCTTATCACCTAGCAACACCTCAGCATCTTTGACAAGCATCCTAATATATGGTGCACAAAAAATACATCCGCTGACATTTAGATGCATGGTTATGAATTCAAAGGAAATATAAATCAAAGAATATCACGAACTGCATTTTAAAACGACATCATTGATCATATTTAAACTGTGGGTGATTGAATACATAGGCTACAAGAAACATGTAATTGTCAAATGATTAATTTTACGAAACACAATAGATCCCTTAGGCTGGTTACTTACACTGCCACTGCTCATCTTGTTGTCTGTAAAAATCTAAACCTAGAACTGTGTATTTTAGCACGTTTGCAGTGCGTTAATGTGCGCGGTCACACCTAACGTTACACATAAAACGATTAAATTGCAACCGCACACATTCCTTCCCTATTTTTCATTAATCTTAATTAAATGTATTCTGCATCAGAATCTTAAGCGTCTTTCTGAGGTACAATTATCTACCAAATACATTTTCTTTAAAGACAGAGATCTAAAATATAGATATTATTTCGGGAGATCCCTTGTTCTTCGATCTCATCTCTGGGGTGTTGTCTCACACGCAAGGGATCATCTGTATCTTCCCCTGCTACACAGAAACGTAGGATAAATGCGGGTTTAGACATGATATGTGGACCTGTTGGGTAGGAGTACATTCATTTAAGCCTAAAGTGATTTCAGAAATATGATGGCCAATTAATGCATGGGATTTGAATATTTGTATATTTGTATCATGGGCCAGGCAGCCAAACAGCGGTTCTTCCATGTGCCTTGTTAATTGGTAGATCCTATGACAGCAATTAGCTTTCTACCAATTAGGCGCGAACAGGTGTCAACAATAGTCAAAATAGCGCCAATTATGGACAGCAACACAATTTGTAAGTTTGAGTAATTGCACAAGAAAATAGAAAAAGATATGGAAATAGAAATTAAGTTATTTTTCACTTCACCTTTACCCTATACCAAACATGAACATACATTGTAAAATAAAAGTTCGGTCTCTCAAAGACATGCTGGGGTGAGTTTTAAGAGTGGAAGGTAGTATTTGGTCACAGTAATACAATAGGTAATCCATATAAATATATACATTTTAATTCCTCACTTCTACCGGTCTTTCTTCCAGCATACTGTTACTCTGTGCTACGCTCAACTGTACCCATACTCATGTACCAGTTGCAAAATTTGATTCAATTTACAGTGCTGCTCTCACCCACCGGACTCAATGAGTTTATACATGAACGACCGGACTGCTTCTCTCTCTAAAACTGTCATATGATAGTGTCGTTCCCTGGTGGCCATCTACAGCATAACCTTTCTTAGTATCAATAGAGGAGACTTCAGTCAAGTACTTTGTAGGAGAGATGGAGACCCGCACACCGTGGAAAATGTGGACAAATCCAAAACTGATGCTCTAATGCAAAAATTGAGATAATTTATTAGGACATCATCCAATAAAAGATTCACAAATAAAAGTGAATCTTAGATGCATTTAAATGATGCATGTATATCTGACAGGATTGGAAAATAACCCTGAAACAAAGGAAACACATGATGAAACTGTCCAAAATCCCGTATTGTTATTCATTCACCATGTTGTTGTTATTGGGGTTGCATGTGGTTAATGTATGTATCATAGACTGATGGAAAAACCATAAATAAACATCATCTGTGAAACACATGCCACTGTTGATCAGCCTCCTTGCTTTTATGACTGACTCATACCAAATACAACATGTTCTGTGTCAATTAGTTTATGGTAATGATTCCATCTGTCCTGTGTTAAAGGAACATTCCAGTTTGAGTGTCTGGCTCCCTCTGGCCCAATGATCCGATTAGACTTTGAAGTTGAAAGTGTAATGTTCGACATTGAAGGTAAAAGTGTAACTTTATTGGTTGAAAATAGTGATGGGTTCAGCCATCATTCAATTAAATTAAAAATGTTTTGTCCCCTTAGAGTAATAAGTATTAATTATACAACTGCCACTGGTGCATTCTACACATAATTGTATACATCATAGACTATAGGTTTACAGGAAGTGAGTGTCTAGACAGAATGCATTTTTGGGAGGAAAATATATGTAATTGGAATGTGGAGGGCAGCATAGCTAGATGCACTGTGAATATTGACACTCACTTCCTTTAAACCTCTGATGTCATGAAACCACCATGGAGTCCACTTCCTGTCTGGTCAGCAGGCCACTGAGTGTGGCTACAGTGCACTCTTGAATCACCATGGAGACCTGGCGTTCGGCGCCTCCTTTCTGGCCTGCCACGTTGACAACCAGGATAACTTGATTGACCCATATTGGAATTTCCTTATTTGTGATGATAATAATGGTATGGATTTATAAAGCCCTTTTCCAATTGCTTTACACTAGGTTGGGGTGGGAAAACTTTCCAGGGAGTTGGTTAGAGACATTTTAAACTTAGCAGAGGATGTAGAAGCAGGACCTGCTGACATTATCCGGAATTGATTTGTCTTGGCTTGATGCAGAGGGTAACCAATCAGGCGTTAGGTTCCGCCTACCAACTTTTGATGGGTCAGTTTGACAGTTTTAAGTAATTCAGGAAGCACTCCAACGCAGGACCATGAAATGTAAATGTAAATAGTGAAATTATTATATATGTATTTTACATAAATGAATCGGTATTTGAATTAATTTAATGACAATTTCATAACACATTTATGTATTAATTCTAATTTTAATTAATTAATGACACATTTAAGTAATTATTTAATGGTGTATTATTTATTTAATTGTGGCACTTTTAGTCCTCCATAGGAAACTCACCTCATCCACTGATGTTGCACTCAACAATGAATCCACTACATGTATTTTCTTTGGTATGTTTTTCTGTGTGTAATTGACTGTATTCGGCAGTCAAATACAGAAATTCGGCATGGCCCCTAAGACCCTCACAAACTTCTACAGATGCACCATTGAGAGTATCCTGTCGGGCTGTATCACCACCTGGTACTGCAATTAAATCTTCCGGAATAGCAGGGCTCTCCAGAGGGTGGTTCGTTCGGTCAGCCCAACACATCACCGGGGGCACACTGCCTGCCCTCCAGGACATCTACAGCACCTGGTGTCACATGAAGATCATCAAGGACCTCAGCATCCGAGCCACGCCCTGTTCACCCCACTACCATCTAGAAGGCAGAGACAGTACAGGTGCATCAAAGCTGGGATCGAGAGACTGAAAAACAGCTTCTATCTCCAGGCTATTAGACTGTTAAATAGTCACCATTAGCCAGCCTCCGCCCAGTACCCTGCTCTGAACCTTAGTCACTGTTACTAGCCGGCTACCACCCGGTACTCAACCCTGCACCTTAGAGACTGCTGCCCTATGTACATAGTCATTAAACACTGGTCACTTTAATAATGTTTACATACTGTTTTACCCACTTCATATGTACAGTGGGGAAAAAAAGTATTTAGTCAGCCACCAATTGTGCAAGTTCTCCTTCTTAAAAAGATGAGAGAGGCCTGTAATTTTCATCATAGGTACACGTCAACTATGACAGACAAAATGAGAAAAAAAAATCCAGAAAATCACATTGTAGGATTTTTAATGAATTTATTTGCAAATTATGTGGAAACATAAGTATTTGGTCAATAACAAAAGTTCTCAATACTTGTTATATACCCTTTGTTGGCAATGACACAGGTCAAACGTTTTCTGTAAGTCTTCACGAGGTTTTCACACACTGTTGCTGGTATTTTGGCCCATTCCTCCATGCAGATCTCCTCTAGAGCAGTGATGTTTTGGGGCTGTCGCTGGGCAACACGGACTTTTAACTCCCTCCAAAGATTTCTATGGGTTGAGATCTGGAGACTGGCTAGGCCACTCCAGGACCTTGAAATGCTTCTACGAAGCCACTCCTTCGTTGCCCGGACGGTGTTTGGGATCATTGTCATGCTGAAAGACCCAGCCACGTTTCATCTTCAATGCCCTGCTGATGGAAGGAGGTTTTCACTCAAAATCTCACGATACTGGCCCCATTCTTTCTTTTCCTTACACGGATCAGTCGTCCTGGTCCCTTTTCAGAAAACAGCCCCAAAGCATGATGTTTCCACCCCCATGCTCACAGTAGGTATGGTGTTCTTGGAGCAACTCAGCATTCTTTGTCCTCCAAACACGACGAGTTGAGTTTTTACCAAAAAGTTATATTTTGGTTTCATCTGACCATATGACATTCTCCCAATCCTCTTCTGGATCATCCAAATGCACTCTAGCAAACTTCAGACGGGCCTGGACATGTACTGGCTTAAGCAGGGGGACACGTCTGGCACTGCAGGATTTGAGTCCCTGGCGGCGTAGTGTGTTACTGATGGTAGGCTTTGTTACTTTGGTCCCAGCTCTCTGCAGGTCATTCACTAGGTCCCCCGTGTGGTTCTGGGATTTTTGCTCACCGTTCTTGTGATCATTTTGACCCCACGGGGTGAGATCTTGCGTGGAGCCCCAGATCGAGGGAGATTATCAGTGGTCTTGTATGTCTTCCATTTCCTAATAATTGCTCCCACAGTTGATTTCTTCAAACCAAGCTGCTTACCTATTGCAGATTCAGTCTTCCCAGCCTGGCGCAGGTCTACAATTTTGTTTCTGGTGTCCTTTGACAGCTCTTTGGTCTTGGCCATAGTGGAGTTTGGAGTGTGACTGTTTGAGGTTGTGGACAGGTGTCTTTTATACTGATAACAAGTTCAAACAGGTGCCATTAATAAAGGTAACGAGTGGAGGACAGAGGAGCCTCTTAAAGAAGAAGTTACAGGTCTGTGAGAGCCAGAAATCTTGCTTGTTTGTAGGTGACCAAATACTTATTTTCCACCATAATTTGCAAATAAATTCATAAAAAATCCTACAATGTGATTTTCTGGATTTTTTTTTCTCAATTTGTCTTTCATAGTTGACGTGTACCTATGATGAAAATTACAGGCCTCTCTCATCTTTTTAAGTGGGAGAACTTGCACAATTGGTGGCTGACTAAATACTTTCCCCCCCCCACTGTATATACTTAATTCTAGTCAAGGCTCATCCTGTATAACTACTGCTGTACACACCTTTTCTATTCCTATACTGTCCATAATGTCTATACACACCATCATATACATATGTATTTATATTCCGGACTCTGACATTGCTTTTGCTGATATTTCTTAATTTTTATTCTTTGGATTTGTGTATTTTGTATTGTTAGGTATTACTGAACTGTTCGCGGAACATAAGCATTTCGCTGCACCTGTGATTACGTCTGCCAAATATGTGTACATGACCAATAACATTTGATTTGATTTATTGAATAATATCGCTCTCTGTGTGTGTCTGTTTCTACAGGGGGACTCGGAGGGACCCCTTCCTGCTCCACTGCTCTCCCCAGTGGCCCTGGGGTAGCCGGGAGCTCATCTGTGAGGACAACTACACGGAGGTGACTTACAGGGCCATCAGACCACAATAGAATATAGTAGAGCTTTACTGTCCATCTGGATCTTTGCCAAACTTCCATGTCAAACATACATGTTTCAAATCAGCAATGTTTTAATTTCACTTACACTGTATGTCTCTCCTTTAATATGTCTCCAAGGTGTCCATAGAGTGACCAGTCCCAGCTGCATTAGACTCTGAGCAGACGTGATGTGATGTTCCACAGACCAGGCCAACCGCAGGAGGAGTATAGAGACCCAGGCCGATGACGGAGGCCAGTGCCCTGGGTTACCACATCTCTGATTCAGGCTCCAGGCTCATCCTCTGCTGCCCCTACTCCTCATCCTTCTCCTACACCATCAAGGTCAGAAGTTACTTCTATGTAGGCAGGGGGTTTATGGTGCTCAGTTTGTGTGCTCTAATGTTTACGATTAGAGATGGAGTAACTCTGATTTTTTGCCTCTTGGCGGGACCTATAATAATAATAATAATAATAATAATAATAATAATATGCCATTTAGCAGACGCTTTTATCCAAAGCGACTTACAGTCATGCATGCATACATTTTTGTGTATGGGTGGTTCCGGGGCTCGAACCCACTACCTTGGCGTTTCAAGCGCCGTGCTCTACCAGTTGAGCTACAGAGGACCGCATAGGTCTGTAGGGCCCGTACAGACCTATGCACACACAGGACAAATGGGTGGCACTGGAGGTGGTCAATGCCACATTCCTGTACCCACATCAAGGGAAGGTCCTTGCCATTGATGCCTCAATAGCCTGCTCTATTAGTGAGTCCATGTTTTCTGTCTAAGTGCTAGTTTTGACTGGGGTCCTATCTGCCATGCCCTCTTTTGAAGCTACAATCTCCTGTCTTTCCTCCTCATCTCCTCCATTTATCCATCCATCCAGATGAGGCGACAGTGGATGGGTCCCACCTGCTCTGGCCTGTCCCCCATGTCCTTTACCCCCTGCTCCATGGGCGGTTCAGGGACAGGGGCATGAGGACAGGGGTGGAGACGCTTGACCTGAGTGAGTGTGTGATCAAAGAGAGGGGGTACGAGATCGGCCTGAGGGACTGCTTGATGGAGGTCAGAGTTCCGTTCGGAGCCGAGGGAACACATGTTAAGGTACACGCACGCACACACACACACACACACACACACACAAACACTTTGTAAGTTTCATATTTTGGCAAATGTTGTTCATCTAAAAGCAAGGAAAATTGTGATGTGGCGCCACCTATTGGCTGTAGCTATGAAACTCACCTACAATACCTTCACTACACGTTTGAGGGGGCATCCCACTGTTGGATTGTATGCGATCTGAGGCGAACAGGTCCACATGTGCTGTTCCAAACCGCTGCCATACCATCTTCACTACTTGAGGGTGAAGTCTCTATTTCCCCAGGGGCGGTTTCTGTCACGATAAGAAGTCTGCCACCTCGTTCACCTTGCCTGGGAGATGAATGGCTCGTAGGGAGGCCAGATGTGGTAGTGCCCATATCAAGAGTTGTTGGGCCACCTGTAGGGACCGTACAGACCTCGTTCCCCCTTGATGGTTGATGTAGGACACTGTCAATGTATTGTCTGATCGTATCAGGACATGTTTGTGTTTGAGAACCAGCAGAAAGTGATTCAGGGCTAGATAAACTGTCTGAAGTTCTGGCACGCTGATGTGCTCTTTCCTCCAGCGGGGGCACCACTCTCCTCGTACAGACCTGTGTTGCCACCCTGCTCCCCAGTCTGTTAGCGAAGTGTTGGTCATCACTATCTCCCACCTTGCCGGAATTGATCCGAGAGGGACATCTGTAGTCAGATAGGCTCTCTTCCTCCACAGCTGCAGAGTAGAGTAGCACGCCGTTGTCACCTGTATTTTGATGTTTCTGTTCCGCTTGGGGTCCAAGCGGAGGTCGTTGAACCACTCTTGTCGAGGCCTTAAAGACAGCAGGCCTAACGGTGTCACCACGGAGGCCGCCGCAAGCATGCCCATCAGTTGTTGGAGCGTTCGCACCTTCACCAATGCACTCAACTGGAATTGTTGCAGAAGAAGAATGCTGCCCATGCGCTGAGGTGTTATACATGCCCTCATTGTGCAGGAGTTCAGAGCTATGCCAATAAAGGTGACCTTTTGGCTTGGTGTGAAGTTTCTCTTTGTTGTTCACAGTAAGACCCAGTGCGCTGTGTCCTCAGCCGCACACTCGCGAGAGGGGGCGCAGATGAGCCAGTCATTGAGGTAAGGAAGGATTTTGATCCCTTGTAGGTGGAGGGAGCTCAGGGCTGCGCTCATGCATCTTGTGAAGACGTGAGGAGCCAGGGAGAGACCGAAGGGTAATAACGCAAACTGGTATGCCTGGCCATGGAAGGCGAAACGCAGAAAATACCTTTGTTCCGGTAACACAGGAACGTGAAAGTAAGCATCCTTTAAGTTCAGGGACATGAACCATTCCCCTGTGGCTACGGTCTGGAGAACGTTGACCGTCCGCAACATATGAAAGGGGAGAACTTTTAGGAAAACATTGAACCGTTTTAAATCCAGAACTGGACAGAAGCCTCAGTCTTTCTTCGGAACCAGGAAATAGGTTGAGTAAAAGCCATCTTGCTGTTCTGATGGTTTCACTCTTGTGATCGCGCACTTCCCCAGGAGAAATGTAATCTCCTGGTTGAGGGTGCAAGCTTTCAGGGGTTCTGTAACTGAAGTCATTCTGATCCCTGAGAATGGTGTGGGCCGGCATCAGAACTGCAGCCTGTACCCTTGTGAGAGGGTCATCACCACCCATGGGTCTAAGGAGTGGGATGCCCAGTAGGTCAGGTGCTGCTGGGTAAAATCGGCCAACGGCCCACCCGACCATTCAGTTTCTCCCCCCACGCCTGTTTGTGGGGTTGGGGGGGCGCTGACAACAACCACGGCCCCGGCCTCTTGGGGTTTGGGTTCTTGGGGCTTGGGCAAGCCAGACCTGGCGACGAGTCACAACCAGGTTGGACATCAGTCTGCCTAGCTCTTGGTCATGAACGCAAACGCTTGAAGAGATGCATCATTCAGGTTGCAGAGGTCCAGGTCTGCGTGCTCCGGCTGGAGCATCCTGTTCTGTGCTAGCATGAGCACTGAGAAGGAGTTCCCTATGCGGGCCATGTGGGCCGCTGTGTTGTAGGCCCGTGACAGTAGTTCATCTGTGGCCCTGCACGGAGGTCTGGGGCAGCGGGCGTCATCTTTCAGGACTTCATCTAGGGAGAGCATTAGCTCTGCTATGCATTCATCCACCTTAGGCATATGGTCCAGGCATGTTGTTTTGCGTCACGCATGGCAGATAGCGTCCTACTGTCCTTGCCGTGGTGGGCAAGGGCCCGCGGGTCGGCCCTGCATCTCTGAAGCTCTGTAAGAAAAGCTGGTGAAGGTGGCACACTGAACGGTGTAGCTGCCTGGGCCTTCTTAAAGAATGGGTTAGCTGCAGGGGCTGTGGCTTGAGGGTCATCAAGCTCTAGCCTAGCTAAGGCCGCACGCAGGACCGTGCGTAGTGAGGTAGAGCTTCCTTCTGACTCTGTGTGATCAGAGCCTCGGAATGACTCCTCTGACCCATCTTTAGTATTGAGACAGAATGGGTCAACACTGACCATCTTCTACTTGTAGTTCAGCTCCACAAGAGGAGCAGCCATGCATGCCCAGCATCATGGTGATGCGGTGTTCTCTCAGCTCAGAATGTGAAGAAAATAAATTATAAAATATCAATATAAAATATGTCTTATGCAATACACTGATTCATCAATTAACTAATATAATAGTAACTGAAGACTGTACAGTCATGGTCAAAAGTTTTGAGAATGACACAAATACTAATTTTCACAAAGTGAAGAGTGATCAGATGAATTGCAAAGTCCCTCTTTGCCATGAAAATGAACTTAATCCCCAAAAAACATTTCCACTGCATTTCCGCCCTGCCACAAAAGGACCAGCTGCCATCATGTCAGTGATTCTCTCGTTAACACAGGTGAGTGTGTTGACGAGGACAAGGCTGAAAGATCACTCTGTCATGCTGATTGAGTTAGAATAACAGACTGGAAGCTTTAAAAGGAGGGTGGTGCTTGAAATCATTGTTCTTCCTCTGTTAACCATGGTTACCTGCAAGGAAACACGTGCCGTCATCATTGCTTTGCACAAAAAGGGCTTCACAGGCAAGGATATTGCTGCTAATAAGATTGCACCTAAATCAACCATTTATCGGATCATCAAGAACTTCAAGGAGAGAGGTTCAATTGTTGTGAAGAAGGTGTCAGGGCGCCCAAGAAAGTCCAGCAAGCACCAGGACAGTCTCCTAGAGTTGATTCAGCTGCGGGATCGGGGCACCACCAGGGCAGAGCTTGCTCAGGAATGGCAGCAGGCAGGTGTGAGTGCATCTGCACGCACAGTGAGGCAAAGACTTTTGGAGGATGGCCTGGTGTCAAGAAGGGCAGCAAAGAAGCCACTTCTCTCCAGGAAAAACATCAGGGACAGACTGATATTCTGCGAAAGGTACAGGGATTGGACTGCTGAGGACTGAGGTAAAGTCATTTTCTCTGATGAATCCCCTTTCCGATTGTTTGGGGCATCCGGAAAACACCTTGTCCAGAGAAGACAAGGTGAGCGCTACCATCAATCCTGTGTCATGCCAAAAGTAAAGCATCCTGAGACCATTCATGTGTGGGGTTGCTTCTCAGCCAAGGGAGTGGGCTCACTCACAGTTTTGCCTAAGAACACAGCCATGAATAAAGAATGGTACCAACACATCCTCAGAGAGCAACTTCTCCCAACCATCCAAGAACAGTTTGGTGACGACCAATGCCTTTTCCAGCATGATGGAGCACCTTGCCATAAGTTAAAAGTGATAACTAAATGGCTCGGGGAACAAAACATTTTGGGTCCATGGCCAGGAAACTCCCCAGACCTTAATCCCATTGAGAACTTGTGGTCGATCCTCAAGAGGCGGGTGGACAAACAAAACCACACAAATTCTGACAAACTCCAAGCATTGATTATGCAAGAATGGGCTGCCATCAGTCAGGATGTGGCCCAGAAGTTAATTGACAGCATGCCAGGGCGGATTGCAGAGGTCTTGAAAAAGAAGGGTCAACACTGCAAATATTGACTCTTTGCATAAACTTAATGTAGTTGTCAATAAAAGCCTTTGACACTTATGGAATGCTTGGTAATTATACTTCAGTATACCATAGTAACATCTGGCAAAAATATCTCATAACACTGAAGCAGCGAACTTTGTGAAGACCAATACTTGTGTCATTCTCAAAACTGTTTGACCACGACTGTATACAACAGCTACCACAATACACAGTAAGGGTAGAGAGCTACAATAATCTGGCGGGAGCTGTACAGCACCCGCAATAATAATTTAGGGTGAGCTATGACCACTAGGTTGGAGCAGGAGAGGTAACATGTTTAAACGTAGGCTTATTTATGCGAAACACGCACGAATGGCCGTCGTTTGGTAAGCCAAGCTGGCAACACACAGTGGCAGCTATGTGGAGTTGGTAAGCTAGCTGACGACACACAGTGGCAGCTAGGTTGAGTTAGTAAACTGGCTAGCTAGCTAGCTTGTAGAATGCTAGTAATATCAGGGGAGAGGGATGCCTAGGGGAGGCAATCCGAATCTCACATCATATAGCTGGCTAGGCTAACAATCTTTCTAGATGTGGTTATCTAGGGAAGTGACCCGTTCGAGTTTTAAGGACGACTAGTGCCCGGTGGCCTCGATAACGAGCACAGCAGTGGAGGATATCTTGACAAGCTTAGCACCGGAGTACGTTGGCCAACACACAAACTAGCTGGTTGGCTAAGTCACGACAAGACAAGGAAACCTGATACCCTCAGATAAAAGGGATAGGTAGGGGAGAGCTGTCACAGGCTGTTGGTGACACACTGACAGTACACACAACTCACACAGAGTTTAGCTTAACCCTACCGCGACCTTGGAAGATGCAATCCAAAAAACGGGAGCAGCGGAGCAGTCAACTTGAGCGATACGACTAAGCTAACTTTGCGAGAAGAAATAAGAGACAGTGCATGGTCTGACGTACGGTTTTATATGAACCGCGGGCACGTCCTCCCACGCTGTCACATCACCGCGTGACTTTGTTGTTATTATTAGTCAACCTGCTTGGAGCGCGAGGGATATAATCCATACTTTCAACCGTACTGACGGTCTGAAAGGTATGAAGTAGAACCAGGTGAGGTACCCCCAAGGGACTCCCCTTACAGGTAAACACACACACACACTTTCCCCACTATTCAAATTTGTATTTCTATAAACTATTCTGTTTATATCAGGTTGACCATCCAGTGTCGCTACCCTGCCATCGAAATACCTCCCAAATTAATATGGGTGGTCCCGGGATCGAACCCACTACCTTGGCGTTACAAGCGCCGTGCTCTACCAGCTGAGCTACAGAGGACCACGTGTTGAACTGTTACTGAGGTTTGTATGTTGTAAAACAACAGGGGGGGATGTGTTCATTTGAATTTCATGCTGGTTTTATTATATAAATGTGGAACATGAATTGCATCATTCAAGTCACGAGTGTGTCCTGAAGTTGATGGGTTTATTGATCCCCTCACCACTCTCTGGAAGTCACCCTCTGAGTTTCGTCAGCAACGCGTGACAACGGAGGGCCCTCAGAGCAAGTTGGTAGGGGCGAGGGGGTTATTTAGGATTCACCGAAATGCACCCATAGAGAGGCCTCCAACAGAGGTCAGGGCAGTGGGCAGTATGTGGCAGTAGGGGGATAGTTGTGATGGGAGCTTTGTTTGCTGCTACAGTGAAGATGCTCTGTTGAATGCCCAATAAAAAATATAAACATGTTTGCAAATCTGTGAAGTTGGTTAAAATCCCTACTTAATGTATTTCATGTAATGAAAATATAACACTGGACTTGGTCACTAAGCTGATTCACCAAAGTGAAGGATTTATCTGTACCATGAACATGAATTTAAATGGTACGTATAAATATAAATTACAGTCTATGTCGTTGGAAAACACGTCCTAAGAAGGGAGAAGGAGAGGAGATGAGGAGAGGAATCCACTTCAGACTATTGAGATGCACCCCTAGGCTCTGGTAAACTGCCCAACCTGCACATTAATTCCAGCAAGCTTGTAATTGGTCAATCAAAGCACCATCCCTATATAAACCTGCCAGAGAGAGAATGTGACACTCATTAACTGCTGTTTTGTCCAGGACACTGCAGGCACGTGGTTTACGGCAGCTTGGGTTAGTTAGCAGGTGTAGTTTACTAGCTGTTCCTGGCTAGGGTTAGACACTTCTACTGATCAATGGCTTTTGGGTTTTGGTTGGGGTAAGTTTGGTGGTATTGGGCATAAATGTTCTGAGTAAGCATTTTGACACTGGCACACTCTGTTGACCTGTGCTTATGTTTTTCTTACAGAGTATTTGTACTCGTGTCTGTATGGCCTAGTGTAAGATGTTCTGACCTTCCAAGAGGTAAGAAACTTACATTGGGTTAGATGAGCCTTTAAACAAAACACTGGTATTAAATGTTGGTCAGAATCACTTAGCCTCCACCCTTCAGATTTTCTCACCTTGTTGGTCTATATAGGGGCCGTTGAGACTGAGTGTCGGGATAGATACCTGTTGGTAACAACCGAACTCTCGTTCACTGGGAATGAACCTCGCTTTGAAGCGGTCGGTAAGTAGGTTTTTAACCTTAATTTTGATGCAAAATGGGCCTGAATTCAGGTTTGGTCAGATCAAGAACTTAAGATGCCATGGCATTGTAACAGGTCTTGGCCTTAGTGCGGTAGGCCAGGGTTTGGTAGCTGGTGCTGACAAGTCTCTCCCTGCAGTATATTTCTGGCTCTGTCTTTTGGACCACTCAGGAAGAAACAGATTTTTATTTTGAATTTGACTTGAAAATATTAAAATTTGCTTTGACACAATCCTGTACCCCATGTAGATGCTGATGGTGTTCACCCTATCACTAAGCAGTATGGGTCCGAGTGTGGCTACATGGTCAGTATCCTCCCTCTACCTGGCCATGCTGAGCTCAGAGCCTCCTACTTCTCCTGCCACACGGACAACCAGGTTCATATCACCACACTCTGTAGTCTTTTCAAAGCTAGAAGGGTTTTTAAACCATTTTCTCTAGTTACATTGGTATCAATCTTAAAGTTGAAGGTCTTGCTTTTGTGTCTTAGGATGATGAGGTGTTCACTTTTAGCTTTAACTTGATCACAACTGATGAGACTGGTTTGGAAACCACCTACACTGTGACTGCAACCTGCTCCCTCCCTCTGCCCTGGTCCCCCCGAGAAGTCAGCTGTGAGGAGAACTATATGGAGGTACTGATGCATGGCTCTAAATGTGCATCCAGGGCTAATTTGGGATGGTGCTGGGCTAGTCTGGGCAGTTTGTCCTTATAACCTTATAGGAGAATGACCTGTTATGTTCCCCTATAGGTGTCAGTGAGGGGTGACGTGTCTGGTTTACCTGGTACAAAAGCGGATAACTGGACTGCTGCCCTTGCTACAGTAAGCTAAAGGCTATATTTGGCAAATGCTCTATTAGATAAGCACACCAGTTTGTCCCCAATACCACCATGCATGCCCAGTCTCTAATCTCATGCCCTGTGCCCCATCAGGCCCACAGTTCTGCCACGTCTGACTGGCAGGTGATATTCCAGCAGGAGGGGCAGCAGCTGACTCCCATGTCCCTCTCTGAGGCTCGGGAGCTGGGCTACGTGTTCCACCTCACCCAGGGGAGGCTGGTGTTCCGTTCGCCCTACATGCCAGGTTCTGTCATGGGGTCTGTCATCATGGTGAAGATTTAAATGGCTGCATTGATCTTGGGTGCATCTCAATAGTGTATAGGCTTTCCCAATTCATATGACATTAAATACCTAGATGGCTGGGGTCATACTTTCTGATAGGATCTTTTATATTTTAACCTTCTTAAACCAGGTTAAGCTGGATACAAAGCCACTTATTTAAACAACTGAAATGCCCCCTTCGTACTGTATTGTTGGCAGGTACCCAATCATTATCTAATTCCAGGTGAATGGTACGTTGGTGGATGTGGTCTATCCAATACTGGTCTCCAGGCAGAGATGGGTGGTCATCATGGTGAACTTGGTGGTTGCTTGCAGCACTAGTAAGTTTCAGTCAAATATCAGCCCTGACCAGTCAAGGTTCAAAGACCCGAAAGGACTGGATGAACTTAAGCAGTACTGATGGCTCATTCAAGTGACTATTATTTTCACCTAGAAAGTAATTTCAGATCATTGAACTGATTGATCACTCAACTAGCAAGTTTTCCTCACTGGGTCTTAACACTTGTGTATATAATCTCTTTCCAGATGAAGGGATGTATGACGGGTCAGGGCTGGTCTGGGAGACTCCCACTCTGCTGTCCCCTCTGGTCTCTGGCCCCTCTGGGTTGGAGAGCAGCAAGATCCGCATGGGGGTGGACGGCCAGCTCCTGGATGAGCCAATCACAACAGAGCGAGGCTACAGACTGGAGATCAGTGACGCCACCGTCCAGATCAGCATCCCCTTCAATGCTGACGGAGGATACAGAAACGTCAGTAGCATACTAGGCCCACATCTGTAGTAGTTTACCTTGTATTCTGATGCAGAGAAGCTGCAAATGGCTTATGTCACTCATGTCCTCTGTACACCTTTAATATTTACTTTTCTACCATGTAACCTAATGGCAGATGCTTTATAACAGTATAAACTCTTTCCAGAGCTTTGTGATGGACAACATGTACCATGAGTTATATGTGGTCCGTCTCTACTATGAACAAATCTTCATGGATGACAGTGTGGAGACCAGACTCCGCCTCCACAGGCCCATGAACACACCCCTTCTGTTCCAGCGCCTCTCCATCATTAACCGTAAGGATTTCTACTAGCCAATCAGAAATGGCTCTTCAGCTCCATGGTTGTAATTGCTAATGAAAGTTGTCCCTCACCCACCACAGAAACTGTCCTTGAGGAGCGTGTGTTTACCGTGTACCTGGGGAACCTGTCCTACGATGTTGACCTGGTGGCTGTGAAGCTCAATGGACATGACTTAAACATCCTAGAGGCTAATAAGACCGGCCTCATCATAACAATGGTCCCCCAGCCCAATAGCACCCTACATGCTTACATTCTCAGGGTGCCATTTGACGCCATTATTCACAAGCTGGTAAAGATTAAATTATTTTATATACTGTTTAATGAGCTACTGGGTCTTTCTCAATTGGCTTTTTTGCGTAAACATTGGAGAAGAGTGAGTCCTCCCCTCAGACTTTCTCCAATGATTTTAAGAGATGAATTGTGCTCAGCTGGTAGAGCACGGCGCTTGTAACGCCAAGGTAGTGGGTTCGATCCCCGGGACCACCCATACACAAATGTATGCATGCATGACTGTAAGTCGCTTTGGATAAAAGCGTCTGCTAAATGGCATATTTTATTATTCGTATTTCTCAATGAGTATGTTGTGTTCATATCCATAGTACACTACAGAGGGGGTTCTTCAGTACTCGTTGGACATCAAACTACACGTTGGTCATCCTGCCTCAAGAGGAGCCCTACTACTACCTGGCCTCAGTCGTGGCTCAGTTCAATGATGTCTGTAAGTTGACTTGAACCTTCAGCTTTAAGAGACCTGGGCTGCACTATGGCCTTCTGGTTCTGACGACACTGCCTAATGGCAACTCTGACGCGACCCCAACCGCAAACCATGTTCCCCCAGTCTTTAGCTTTCAACTATATTCTTCTCTTCATCAGTTGCTCCGGTCTTCAATGGTGTCTGCAATGAGAAAAGCATTACTTTCCAGATGGACCATAAGCCATTTGACTACCTGTGGGAGGTTGGTGTTGGCCCTTACCTTCTGACCCCAAATCTGGCAGCCAAGCGGGGTTATGTCATGCAGAATGACAGCCAGAGTCTGACCCTGGAAGTTCCCCTCTTCTCTGTTGGCTACACTTATAAGGTGAGATGCTCATTGGTCAAGTGTCTTAACTGACTTGTCACAGAGTTGGGTGGAGTAGGAGTTATATTGGCTTAAAATGTATCTGCTGTTTTTTTCTAGGACGTCAATTTGAAGCAGTTCCGTGGCACATTTGAAATTCTCTCAAGAGTTCCCAAGACTTTGGAGGTCACGAGTTCCATGGCTCAACGTTGTCTCTTCCAAACTACTGAGCTCATAGGTAACAACTAGTGGCTCACATCTTAGCCTGCAGCTTAGATTGCCATTGCCTGGCGCTGGTTTTATCGAACATTCACTTTGTTCTAGCCCAGCACTAACAGGCCTTCCTCTCTCCAGTGTGTTCCACAGAAGGAGTGATGACTGTGGTGACTGATGTGACTTTGGCCATCCCTGGCTCTGAACCCAGCAGAACCTCCCTCCTGGACTCCACCTGCAGGCCCCAAGAGATGGATGACACCAGGGTTCTCTTAAGCTTTCGACTTGACACCTGTGGAACCAGGGTCCAGGTAGAACTGTCTGACCCATAGAATTAGAATCATAACACCGATCAGGTGACGGTTATTTCAAATCAAAGTTCCAGCGGTCCTCCCATCTCAGTTGACCCAGAAATAAAATCTAGCTAAATTTGGTCAGCTGCTGGTTTTAGTTCTAGCTCCTTGTTATTTGTGAAGCCCCCACCCTTGCCAAAGGACTCTCAGCCAAAGCCCCCCCTAATTTCACTAGTTTATCAAGGTCAACTTTTAAATTTGTTAAGCACTGCCTTCACCCCATATCCTGATGGGTCCAAATAGTCAGTAGAAGCAGTAATTCAGTGTTTTAGGTTTGTCAGTTAAACTGGATGGAATGCATAGGGTATGTGCAGAATCTGTCCATGAGTGATTAGCATGCCACTAACTCAGTGTTCCCAAACTCTGTCCTGGGGCCCACCCTAGCACTACACAGCTGACTCAAAGCTTGAGTTGGTTATTTTAATCTGCTGTGTAATGCTAGGGCAAAAACATGCTCCAGGACTGTTTGGGAAACCCTGGTCTAACTCAAGAACCTTCAGCATACCGGATGACTATTTTAAATTAATATTTAGACTTTGACTGACTGGTGTCCAGATTTTTCTATTGAGGCCTGGCAAGCGAACAACCGTTAGCGTTTAGACATGGCTTGCAACAGGATTTAATGTTTAACATTTATCTTCAGGCTTGTGATGAGACCTCTTGTGTTGCAGGTTGACTACCAGCACGTTACCTATGAAAATGAGATCACCATTGAGCAGGAGTTCCATTCTGTAATGGCACCAGTCAAAACCAGGGATACTGCCTTTGCGTAAGTAACTTCACTAATAATGTAATGCCTCATTGGTTGAAACAAATGTACAATAAATATTCACGTCAGTCATTAAAGGCACTTGTGGCTTTACTGTTCACTTCAGTTTAATGGACTTCTCTTCTCTCTTTAGGGTGACTGTGCGGTGTGTCTATCCATTGAGTGGCCTATACAAGCTGTTTGCTTATCGGAGGTTTGAAGCAGACTCTCCAGGAATTGGCACCATCTTGACTAAAGTTCCTGTAAAAAAGTAAGTTCTGTACTTGGTGCAGCTAAAGAGGGTGGCGACATGGCTATGTCTTTTTACTCTGACTCTGTCTACTCAAAGTGTTTCAGCCCACCATTAGACCTTCCACTACCAGAAGACCACTGACCTCCACAACGACTACCTCTAAAACAGAAATGACTCCTGGGAGGAAAATGCCTGCCAGTCACCATAGGGCTAAACTGGCAAATGAACCATTAGGCCCACACCCCAGTCACACCACAAATGCTGTTACATTTCCAAAACTGACCTAATCTTTGTTTCCCTCTCTCCATAGGAACTAATGCAACCACTGACTGAATTGGTGTGAATGCTGTTAAGAGTAGTATAAATGTCTGTCTAAATAAATATTTTAATGCAAATCTCTGCACCTTGTCCTGATTGGGATGGGATGTGGTTCCATTCAGTTTGGGATTAGATCCCAATTGAGGACTATTTGGTTAACATTTCAAAAGCCATGTTTCCATTGGTACTTTGAAGTCAAGCCAGGTTGGGTGGCCTTGGTGGGCTAGCTCAAATTTTAATTTCCAATTAGAAATTGTAATGTTGCTAGGTAGCAATATGTGACTGCAGCTGGCTTCACTAATGTAGCCAGAAAGATTAATTTATTTCACCCTTACCATGCTGTAACTAACGTTACCCCAAACTCCTGCCAGACTCTGTGCCATGTAGTGTCGTTGCTAGCTTATTTCTTACCTTGCTTGCCATGGCATTGACTATTAGCTAGCAGGTTTGATATGATCTAGCTGGTTTTCAATATGACCTGGCAAGTGAATTCCTGCTAGCTTGTTTCAACTCTAATTTGTTAAAGGTAGTTTAAGTTTGTAGAGCAATTTGTTGGACAGAGTTATGGTGTTTATTCATGTGACTACAGTACTGCTTGTCCATGTGCTAGCTAACGGCAACAAGCCCAAACGAGCTAAACGTTGTCAGCATCTAGCAGTAAGTGTCACCAGCCTGAATTCGAATTGAGGTGGCACCAGTTGTGAAACTAAGCAGTGCTGGCCCGGGTTTCCCTCGACCCAACTTGAAATTGAGAATTCTATTTGAGCCAGCTTGAAGTTAAAATTAGGGTTAAGTGCCAGTGGAAACTGATTAAGTGGACAGGTAAAATGCCTTGTGGTTTTATGCATTGAAGACTCCTCCCCCTTAATGTCTCTTCTCAAAGATCCTGACTTAAACATCTGAGCAACTTACAAATATACAGAATTGTTAATTAAATTAATTGATCACTGCCCCGTCAATGTGTAAAACCTGTTTGCTTTAAAGGGGCAATTCAAACAAATGGGCACACTGCCACTGGAAACAGCTGAGGGATAATGCTTGAAATGTAAATAAACAAGAATTTGTAGACAGAGCTATGGATGCAAGGACTGACTGAAATCCAAATGATAGTTTAACAATGCTTTGAGGCTATAGTGCTTGAAATGGCAAGGTTTACAGAGTAACTGCTTATTCAGGAGGCGCATTGGTCCTAGTCAACTTCTCGTTGGACTCCTATGGTACCACAGCAACCAACCTGGATGAGGGTAGATGTAAATCTGACTGGGGGACACCAGACTTTTAATACCAGACTTGTTTTGTTCTCTTGTTCTGACAGTTTGGCACAGGCAATGGCCAGAAAGTAGCCTGTTAGCATTCGGGTTCAATAAACTGTTTTAATTTAAGAATTCAACTTGTGGACATTTGCTCATTTATGATTTGAGGTCATTATGTTGTCAAGTAAACAAATTGCACTAGCGGACTACGGTGGATGGCAATGTGGATTAGCCTAGCAGTGAAAGGGGACTGAAAATGCTTCAGTGGCCTGAGTGATGGAGGATCACTGGGATGCTTGTGGATGGACATCAGATCTGGCTGAGGGCATCGGGGCTTGAGTGTGCAAGGTGGCTGACGCGGGCATTGGTGCAGATTCTGGTGGGCGGACCGACGGTGTGATGTTGACGCTGCATGACGGCAAGGATGGGGTTCAATGTAAACATGGCGGCGCCCAGTCCTTGGTTGCATCCATAGCTAATAAGACCTCGAAGTACTCCGGTAAGGCAGATTGGGAAGCTTTTGCCCAGTTTGAATTGTCAGCTCATTCAGGGGTGTGGTCGGATGAAGATAAGGCACTAAAGCTAGCTTTGTGCCTCACCATGCTCTGTCCTGTTTATTGATTAGCCCAGAGGAGGCGTGATTATGGGGCTTTAGTTGGAGCATCGAATGAGGAGCTTTGGACATTGTTTACAACCAGAGCTGCTGCACTCTGAACTGAGCAATAGAAGTAGGTAGCCAGGGGAGCCACTATGGATGCTAGCTAATGACATTGAGAGCCTCACTCGGCAGGCATACGCTCACGCCCCCCTCCCCGTGCAGAGCGAGCTGGCACGCGAACAGTTCATAAAGGCATTCTCTCCCACGGAGCTGCGCACACACCCAGCTGGATCATCCGGAGTCATTACGCATACAAGGTCCTCCCTTCGGCAAATCTGACCTTGACTCAATTTTCCTGCTTCCTGTTCACAAACAAAAGCTCAAACCGGAAGTACAAGTGACGCGCTCAATACGGAAGTGGTCAGCTGAAGCAGAGGCTACAAGACTGTTTCGCTAGTACAGACTGGGATATGTTCCAGGATTCATCCAATAGTCATGTTTGTATTTAGTTTAATAAAAAAAAATGCTAAAACAACCATAAGAACTTAGGAAGATATACCATCACAGGAGGTTGGTGGCACCTTAATTGGGGAGGACTGGCTCGTGGTAATGGCTGGAGTGGAATGGTATCAAATACAAACATGGTTTCCAGGTGTTTGATTTAATTTGCTCCGTTCCACAAAGCAGTCTCCTGTGATGACAATACTTAAACATTGAGGAGATTCCCACAACAGTCATGGTCTTAATCAATATAGTCACTGTCGTGACCATGGATTACAGGCAATATCAGCGCTAGGCTAGAGCTACCTAGAGTGGGTTGAGAGTTCCTTGGTGACCACATCGCTGAGGACTTAACATGGTCCACACACACAGTCGTTAAGATAACACGGCAGTGCCTCTTCCCCCTCCGGAGTCTTAAAATATTTTGCATGGGCCCTCGGATCCTCAAGTTTTACAGCTGCACCATCAAGAGCATCTTGACTGGCTACATCACTGCTTGGTATGGGAAATGCACCACCCTCGACCACAAACCGCTGCAGATGGTGGTGCGGACTGCCCAGCACATCCTGGATGGCAGAACTCCCTGCCATCCAGGACCTCTATCAGGCGACGACAAAGGAAGCCTCAAAATTGCCAAAGACTCAAGCCATAGACTGTTCACTCTGCTACCGTCCGGCAAACAGTATTGGAGCATCGGCTCTCGGACCAACAGGCTACGAGACAGCTTCTAAACCATAAGGCTGCTTAATAGCCAATTAATAGTACCAAAACTATCTGCACTGATCCTATCTTGCACTAACCCTACGCGCACACACTAGACCAGGGGTAGGCAACCCCCCCCCACACCAGCCCAGCTACCCCAGATTAGAGAGGAGAGGACACTGAGATATGGGGGAGGAAATGTGAAGGTCTTGACCCTAAGCAGCAGGAACAGCTGTGGCAGTTGCTGTTGGAGTTCAGAGACAGCTTTGCTCTGAGTGAGGAGGAGGTGGGTCAGACTCATCTGGTGCAGCACGAGATTGTCATCAAGATGTGTACCTGCCTTGTCCCGCTGGCACACCAGGAGGCGGCAGACAAGGCTGTTGGCGATGCAGTGGGCAGACTTCATTGGGACCCTCAGACAGCCCCTGGGAGGCACCAGTAGACATTATTCCTAAGAAGGGGGTCAAGCTGAGGTTCTGTGCGGACTACAGGCGGCTGAATGCGGTAACCAGGAAGGAGGTCATGGTCTGATTTGCCAAAGGGAGGGTGAGGGAGGGCCTTGTACGCGTTTCTGTGGGTAGAATAAAAGTGGCCAGCAGTTTTAGCGCCCCTCGTGGCGCAGGAGACGTGTTGGTAGAAGTGAGGTAGAATGGTTTTAAGTCTCCCTGTATTAAAGTCTCTGCCCACCAGAAACGCTGCCTCTGGGTGTGCAGTTTCTTGTTTGTTTATGGCCCCATACGGTTCATTGAGTGCCAAAGCGGTGTTGGTTTGTGGAGGGATGTACACAGCCGTGATAATTATGGATGAGAACTCTCTTGGTAGATAAAAAGGTCTGCAGCTTACCATGAGGTGTTCTATATCAGGTAAACAAAAGTTAAAGATTTCCTTCACACTGGAAGCAGCGTACCAGTTGTTGTTTATGAAGAGGCACACCCTTCCCCCTTTGGACTTGCCCGAGGCTGCCGTCGTCCGATTCTGCCGCTGCATGGAGAGACCATTTTCTATGTTCGTAGATTGAGCCAGCCATGTTTCTGCAAGGCATATAATATGTCTCTCTGATAGGGGACTCTCGAACGAAGCTCATCCATCTTATTCTCTAGTGACTGGACATTTGCCAGTAAAATGGAGGGGAGTGCCGGACGGTTTTCTCTCTGTCTCAGTCTCAGAAGGATGCCAACCCATCTACCGCGTCTACGCCTGTGGTGTTTTGGTAGCCCATGAAACAAAGGAATAGCGTCCACACAGTAACACTTTAGTACGACTTAATACAAATATTTTGTCGATAGGAGTGGGGGGAAAAAGGTGCACGTGCATTGATGAGCACACCGAAGACGTCATTAACGATAAGTAATAAAAGAAAGGCCATTCTAAAAGCCTATTTCACACCACAGTCTGCTGAATTTGCAAGATAACTTTTCTTTCAATGTGATTTCGGCACAAATGAAAATGTGGCACTGACTCGGCCATGGATTGATGTTTCAGCATTGTCTCAATGAAGATTTCGGCGTTCGACTAGCCACACGCGACATGTACCCGCAGTTACAAGCCTGCTATAGTTAGCGGTAGGCAGACAAGCAATATCCACCGTCGTAGTATGGATGAAGCCTGAGCTGGAATGTGAAGCTCACTGAAGCTGCAGGCTAGCTTTAGAAAACCCTGAGTAGATCTAGCTTCCTAGTATACCCCATCAGGTGTGGTATTCCCAAGAGCTCCTCCCCACAGATGACCCCCTCATCCACAGACTCTCCCGACAGGTAACAACACACACACCCACACACTATTTACACCATTCAAATGTTCAGTTCTATTAACTATTTTTGTTTTGTTTAAGGCTAACCATTCAGTGTCCCTACCCTGCCAATGGCACCATTTCTATTGAACACCCTGTCAACTCTGCCTATTTAACACTCGCCTACAACAGAGGTCAGGGCAGTATGTGGGTGTGGTGATTGTTGGGATGGGTGCTTTGATTGCTGCTACAGTGAAGATGATCTGTTGAATGCCCAATAAAAAATGAAAACATGTTTGCAAATCTGTGAAGTTGGTTAAAATCCCTACTAAATGTATTTCATATAATGAGCCCATTGCCAAGTGAAAATATAACTCTTGACTTGGGTCACTAAACTCACCAAAAAGGCTGTGTTTACACAGGCAGCCCAATTCTGATATTTTTTTCACTAATTGGTCTTTTGACTAATCAGATCAGCTCTGAAAAAGATCTGATGTGATTGGTCAAAAGACCAATTAGTGAAAGAAAGATCAGAATTGGGCTGCCTCTGTAAACACAGCCATAGTGAAGGATTAATCTGTACCATGAACATGAAATGGTCCTCTGTAGCTCAGCTGGTAGAGCACGGCGCTTGTAACGCCAAGGTAGTGGGTTCGATCCCCGGGACCACCCATACACAAAAAATGTATGCACGCATGACTGTAAGTCGCTTTGGATAAAAGCGTCTGCTAAATGGCATATTATTATTATTATTATTATTATTATTATGAAATGACATGTATAAATATCAATCACAGACTATACTGAACAAAAATATAAATGCAACAATTTCAACGATTTTACAGAGTTACAGTTCATATAAGGAAATCAGTCAATTTAAATAAATTCATTAGGCCCTAATCTATGGATTTCTCATGACTGGGAATACAGAAATGCATCAGTTGGTCACAGATACCTTTAAAACAAAACTAGGGGTGTGGATCAGAAAACCAGTCAGTATCTGGTGTGACCACCATTTGCCTCATGCAGCGCAACACATTTCCTTCGCATAGAGTTGATCAGGCTGTTGATTGTGGCCTGTGGAATATTGTCCCACCCCTCTTCAATGGCTGTGCGAAGCTGCTGGATATTGGCGGGAACTGGAACAGGCTGCCGTACACGTCGATCCAGAGCATTTCACACATGCTCAATGGGTGACATGTCTGGTTTGTATGCAGGCTATGGAGGAACATTTTCAGCTTCCAGGAATTGTGTACAGATCCGTGCGGCATTGGGGCCTGTATTATCACGCTGAAACATGAGGTGATGGCGGCGGATAAATGGCAATACAATGGGCCTCAGGATCTCATCACGGTATTTCTGTGCATTCAAATTGCCATTGATAAAATGCAATTGTGTTCGTTGTCCATTGCTTATGCCTGCCCATACCATAACCCCACCACCACCATGGGCACTCGGTTCACAACGTTAAAATCAGCAAACCACTTGCCCACACGACGCCATACACATGGTCTGTGGTTGTGAGGCCGAATGGACGCAGCTTATGGTAGATAAATGAATATTCAATTCTCTGGCAACAGCTCTGGTGGACGTTCTTGCAGTCAGCATGACAATTGCACGCTTCCTCAACACTTGAGACATCTGTGGCATTGTGTTGTGTGACAAAACTGCACATTTTAGAGTGGCCTTTATTGTCCCCAGCACAAGGTGCAACCTGTGTAATGATCATGCCGTTTAATCAGCTTCTTGATATGCCACACCTGTCAGGTGGATGGATTATCTTGGCAAAGGAGAAATGCTCACTAACATGGATGTAAACAAATTTGTGCACAAAACTTGAGAAATAAGCTTTTTGTGTGTATGGAACATTTCTGGGATCTTTTATTTCAGCTCATGAAACATGGAACTCGTTTATATTGTTGTTCAGTGTAGATAGAAAACACATCCTAAGAAAGGGGGAAGGAGAGGAGATGAGGAGAGGAATCCACTTCAGACTCTTTAGCTGCACCCCTAGGCTCTGGCAAGCTGCCCAACCATGTGACCCAATTAGCTAATTAATTATCTGCACATTGTTAACCCTAGCAAGCTTCTAATTGGTCAATCAAAGCACTACCCCTGTATAAAAGTGCCAGAGTGAGTATCTGCCACTCATCAGCTGTTGTTTTGTCCAGGATACTACCAGCACGTGGTGGTGTGTTAACTAGCAGAAGTAGTTCACTTGCTGTTTCTGGCTAGGGTTAGACACTTCTACTGATCAATGGCTTTTGGGTTTTGGTTGGGGTAAGTTTGGTGGTATTGGGCATAAATGTTTTGACACTGGCACACTCTGTTGACCTGTGCTTATGTTTTTCTTACAGAGTATTTGTACTCGTGTCTGTATGGCCTAGTGTAAGATGTTCTGACCTTCCAAGAGGTAAGAAACTTACATTGGGTTAGATGAGCCTTTAAACAAAATACTGGTATTAAATGTTGGTCAGAATCATTTAGCCTCCACCCTTCAGATTTTCTCACCTTGTTGGTCTATATAGGGGCCGTTGAGACTGAGTGTCGGGATAGATACCTGTTGGTAACAACCGAACTCTCATTCACTGGGAATGAACCTCGCTTTGAAGCGGTCGGTAAGTAGGCTTTTAACCTTAATTTTGATGCAAAATGGGAATGAATTCAGGTTTGGTCAGATCAAGAACTTAAGATGGCATTATAACAAGTCTTGGCCTTAGTGCGGTAGGCCAGGGTTTGGTAGCTGGTGCTGACAGGAAGTCTCTCCCTACAATATATTTCTGTCTTTTGGACCACTCAGGAAGAAACAGATTTTTATTTTGAACTTGACTTGAGCATATTAAAATTTGCTTTGACCCAATCCTGTACCCCATGTAGATGCTGATGGTGTTCACCCTATCACTAAGCAGTATGGGTCAGAGTGTGGCTACATGGTCAGTATCCTCCCTCTGCCTGGCCATGCTGAGCTCAGAGCCTCCTACTTCTCCTGCCACACAGACAACCAGGTTCATATCATTACTGCGCTTTGTAGTCTTGTCAAAGCCCACTGGGCACACAGGCTAAATGAACATTTCCATGTCATTTCAATTAAATGACATAGAACCAATGTGGAGAGACATTGAATTGATGTCTGTGCCCATTGGGAAGTGCTTTTAAATGATCTTGTCTAGTTAAATTGCTACCAGCCGTCTTAGTGGAAGGTCTTGCTTTTTGTATTTTAGGATGATGCAGTGTTCACTTTTAGCTTTAACTTGATCACAACTGATGAGACTGGTTTGGAAACCACCTACACTGTGACTGCAACCTGCTCCCTCCCTCTGCCCTGGTCCCCCCGAGAAGTCAGCTGTGAGGAGAACTATATGGAGGTACTGATGCATGGATCTAGAATGTGTATCTAGAGCTCTATTTGGGATGGCGGTGGGCTAGTGTATCCTTATAGGAGTGATCTGTTATGTTCCCCGGTAGGTGTCAATGAGGAGTGACGTGTCCTGTCTGTCCGGTAAAACAGCAGATAACTGGACTGCTGCCCTTGCTACAGTAAGCTAAAGGCTATATTTGTCAAATGCTCTATTAGCTGAGCTACACACCAGTTTCTGTCCCCAATACCAAATGCATACTAGTCTAATTATGCCTTGTCTGTTTCCCCCATCAGGCCCACAGCTCTGCCACATCTACCTGGCAGGTGATGTTCCAGCAGGAGGGGCAGCAGCTGACTCCCATGTCCCTCTCTGAGGCTCGGGCGCTGGGCTACGTGTTCCACCTCACCCAGGGGAGGCTGGTGTTCCGCTCGCCCTACACACCACGGTCTGTCATGGGGTCTGTCTCCATGGTGAGGATTTAAATGTCCTGTTCAATGGTTGCCTTTATCTTGGGTGACTCTCAATAGTGTCTAGAGGCTTGCTCAATTTGACATTAAATACATAGACTGGTGGCTGTATTCTGATAGGGTGTCTTTATATTGCATTACCATTTCAAACCGTGTTATGCGGGATGGGAAGGAAGCCACTTATTTAGATGACTGAAATACCCCCTTCGTACTGTTGGCAAGGACACTTAATCTGTTCTTTAATTCCAGGTGAATGGTTCATTGGTTGAGGTGGTCCATCCAATACTGTTCTCCAGGCAGAGATGGGTGGTTATGATGGTGGACTGGGTTGTTGCTTGCAGCACTAGTAAGTTCAAATAAAATATCAGCCCCCGTAAAGGTTCAGACCTGAAGGGACTGGGTAGGCTTAAGCAATAGTGATGGCTCAATTAAGCAAATACTACTTTCACCTATTAAGTTATTTCAGATCATTGAACTGATTGATCACTCAACTAGCAAGTTTTCCTCACTGGGTCTTAGCACTTGTGTATATAATCTCTTTCCAGATGAAGGGATGTATGACGGGTCAGGGCTGGTCTGGGAGACTCCCACTCTGCTGTCCCCTCTGGTGTCTGGCCCCTCTGGGTTGGAGAGCAGCAAGATCCGCATGGGGGTGGACGGCCAGCTCCTGGATGAGCCAATTACAACAGAGCGAGGCTACAGACTGGAGATCAGTGACGCCACCGTCCAGATCAGCATCCCCTTCAACGCTGACGGAGGATACAGAAACGTCAGTAGCATACTAGGCACATATCTGACCCTAAAGATGTAGAAGTTGTTTACCTTGTGTTCTGATGCATAAAAGCTGAAATTGTGCATATGTACTCTTTGAATATTTACTTTGTACCATGTAACCTAATGGCAGATGCTTTATAACAGTATCAACTCTTTCCAGAGCTTTGTGATGGACAACATGTACCATGAGTTCTATGTGGTCCGTCTCTACTATGAACAAACCTTCATGGATGACTGTGGTGTGGAGACCAGACTCCGCCTCCACAGGCCCATGAACACACCCCTTCTGTTCCAGCGCCTCTCCATCATTAACCGTAAGGAATACTACTAGCCAATCAGAAATGGCTCTTCAGCTTGACTCTAATGAAACGTATTTTCCCAACACAGAAACAGTCCTTGAGGAGCGTGTGTTTACTGTGTACCTGGAGAACCTCTCCTACGATGTTGACCTGGTGGCTGTGACGCTCAATGGACATGACTTCACCATACTAGAGGCTAATAAGACCGGCCTCGTTATAACCATGGTCCCCCAGCCCAATAGCACCCTACATGCCTACATTCTCAGGGTGCCATTTGAGGATGCCGTTGTTCACAAGCTGGTAAGGATGGAACGGTTTTATATACTGTTTCCTCATGACTTCTCATTGGAGGAGATCAAAGGTTCCTCCCCTCAAACGTTCTCCTTCAATGGGTTTTTGGTAAGGACAGACTTGAGATTCACCCCTAGTATGTGGATATAATACTTGTTTCTGACTTAGTGTTCATATCCATAGTACTCTACAGATGGGGTTCTTCAGTACTCGTTGGACATCAACTACACGTTGGTCATCCTGCCTCAAGAGGAGCCCTACTACTACCTGGCCTCAGTCGTGGCTCAGTTCAATGACGTTTGTAAGTAGACTTGAACCTTCAGCTTTAAGAGACCTGGGCTGCACTATGGTCTTCTGGTTCTGATGACACTGCCTAATGGCAACTCTGATGCAACCGCAAACCAAGTCCCCCAGTCTTTAGCTTTCAACTATATTCTTCTCTTCATCAGTTGCTCCGGTCTTCAATGGCGTCTGCAATGAGAAAAGCATTACTTTCCAGATGGATCATAAGCCATTTGACTACCTGTGGGAGGTTGGTGTTGGCCATTACCTTCTGACCCCAAATCTGGCAGCCAAACGGGGCTATGTCATGCGGAACGACAGCCAGAGTTTGACCCTGGAAGTGCCCCTCTTCTCTGTTGGCTACACTTATAAGGTGAGATGCTCATTGGTCAAGTGCTTAAACTGAGTTGGGTGAAGTAAGAGTTACATTTTAAGTCGATCTCTTTATGTTTTTAGGACGTAAATTTGACTCAGTTCCACGGCACTTTTGAAATTATCTCAAGAGTTCCCAAGACCTTGGAGGTCACGAGTTCCTTGGCCCAACGTTGTCTCTTCCAAACTACTGAGCTCATAGGTAACAACTAGTGCTTCATTTGTTAGTGCCTGACTGTTTAGTGTATCAATCATTCACTTTCTTCTAGCCCAGCGCTAACACAACTTTATCTCCAGTGTGTTCCACTGATGGGGTGGTGACGGTGGCTACTGATGTGACTCTGGCCATCCCTGGAGCTGAACCGAACAGAACTTCTCTCCTGGACTCCACCTGCAGGCCTCAAGAGACTGATGACACCAGGGCTCTTTTTAGCTTTGGACTCCACACCTGTGGTACCAGGGTCCAGGTATAACTGTTCAGCACTTTGTTTTTTATGAATCTATCAAGTGACTGGCCCGACCAGTGACTAATTCAAATGAACGTTCCAGTCGGCATCTAATCCGTTAACCCAGAAGTAATCTTGCTTAATTTGGTCAGCTGCCTAACTTAGTTCTGGGTCTATGGCTTCAAGTGTGAAGTCTCCACCCTTGCAAAAAGGAACTCTCAGGCAAAGTCCCCATAATTTCACATGTTTATCATCCCCACCCTTTAAGCACTGCCTTCGCCCAAATCTGCAACAAACACTAACTGCTGCTTGTTATCCTATGCATTCCATCGCAACATGTGCGGAATCGGTCCACGAGATTAGCTAACCTCCAACTCTATAACCTTCAGCATACAGGCCGACTATTGTAAATGAATATTTACTGACTGGTGTCCAGATGCCTATCAAAGAGAACTGTCAGCATTTTAGAAATGGCTTGCAACAGGGTTTAGTAATTGTCATTGAATTATGTTCAGGCTTGTGACGTCTTGTCTTGCAGGTGGACCACCAGCGTGTTACCTACGAAAATGAGATCACCATTGAGCAGGAGTTCCAATCTGTGACGGCACCGTTCAAAACCGGGAATGCTGCCTCTGTGTACGTAACTTCACTAATGTAATTCTTCATTGGTTGCAACAAATGTACAATAGTCACATCAGCCATTGGCGCTGAGTCATTTGTGGCTTTAATGTAAACTTCAGTTCTCTTTTCAGGGTGACAGTGCGGTGTGTCTATCCACTGAGTGACCTATACAAGCTGTTTGCATTTTGGCGGTTTGAAGCAGACTCTCCAGGAATTGGTACCATCTTGACTACAGTTCCTGTAAAAAGTAAGTCTTCTGTAGTTGGTGTCGTGCAGTTAGAGGGTAGTGAAACTACTACAGCTTTTTACACCTCACTCTCTGTCCACTCAAAGCATTTCAGCCCACCTTTTCCCCCACTACCAGAAGACCAATGAGCTCCAGAACTACTCCAAACACAGGCCTGACTCCTGGGAGGAAAATGCCTGCCATCCACCCTAGGGCTAAATATGTCAAAGTCTTCAGCTGGCAAATAAACCAACATAAAGGAACCACTTAGGCCCAGACCCCAGTCACCCCATACAATGGTATGAGATGCAGAAGACTGTTCTACACGTGTCATATTTCTAGAAGAGTGCTAACCTTTATTTTCTCTCCACAGGAACTAATGAAACCACTGACTGAATCGGGAGTGACTGAGTTATTTTTGAATATAAGTATGGTTCTTAATAAATATTTTTACTATCTGTGCCTTGTCCTGATTTGAATGGAGCCACAACATCCCAGTGTGAGGACTATTTGTTAACACTGAGTGGGCTAGTATAATGCCTTCTATGAATTTGAATAACTCTTTAGTAATGTTCTCAAACATCCTGACTTGACTCATGTTATAGTGACTAACACCTGTTGGCCTTTTAAGGTGCAATCAGCAGTTCTAACAGTGGCCACTTTTGGTAAACAGGTACTTAAGCACTCAGCTTCATAGACCACACTATGGCAGCAAGGAGTGACAGTTTTTTAAATAGTTAACTGTGTTTTACAAATAGTTAAACATTTGAGTAAAACAAGATCATGATGCAATTATATTAAAGAAACGATGGGTATAGAATTAAGTCATTAACGTAGGCGCTGCAGATTTCCCCCTTAATCATACTTGTGCTTATGTAATCTCTGGTACTTCACGCCACATGGAATGTGTAACTAAGCACAATTTCTATAGAACAATGACAGGTTCTTGCTGCTCCCATTTCAGTGAGCCTTCAAAGGGTTTTGCTAGAACGTGTAACACTTGTCATGAGCATGTATGACTTGTCATCTCTGCACTAATTGGTTTATGCCTAGAGAATTTTTTTACGCGTAAGTTAAAGCTTTTAACTTGACTGTTAACAGGCAGCCCAATTCTGAGCTTATACCCCAAAAACTCATCAGCCAGAGTCAATATGCATGTGACAGATGGTAACTGGTCCCATCAGCTAACATGGCATGGGGCTAGCTTGGACTACAACGGGTGGCACTGGTCATATACTGGCACAAGTGCATCAGCCAATTAAAATCATTGAAGTATTTGGCTGTGTTCAAACACTTGTTCATTGATGGTAGTGTCCTTAACAGGCTACTTGAGTCCAATGGCATAGTTGCGTTAATCAGAATATAATGTACAGTGTATTCAGACCGCTTGACTTTTTCCACATTACAGCCTTATTCTAAAATTGATTAAATTGTTTTTCTGCCATCTACACACAATACCCCATAATGACAGTTTTCCAGATTTTTTAGCAAATTTGTCAAATAAAAGAATCACGTATTCAGACCCTTTACTCAGTACTTTGAAGCACCTTTGGCGACGATTACAGCCTCTTCTTCTTGGGTATAACGCTACAAGCTTGGCACACCTTTATTTGGAGAGTTTCTCCCATTCCTCTCTGCAGAGCCACAAGCTCTGTCAGGTTGGATGGGGAGTGTTACTGCACAGCTATTTTCAGCTCTCCCCAGAGATGTTCAAGTCTGGGCTCTGGCTGGGCCACTGAAGGACATTCAGAAACTTGTCCCGAAGCCATTCCTGCATTGTCTTGGCTGTGTTCTTAGGGCCGTTGTCCAGTTGGAAGGTGAACCTTTGCCCCAGTCTGAGGTCCTGAGCAGGTTTTCATCAAGGATCTCTCTCTACTTTGCGCCGTTCATCTTTGCCTCAATCCTGACTAGTCTCCCAGTCCCTGCTGCTGAAAAACATCCCCACAGCATGATGCTGCCACCACCATGCTTCACTGTAGGGATGGTGCCAGGTTTCCTCCAGATGTGATACTTGGCATTCAAGCCAGAGAGTTCAATCTTGGATTAATCAGACCAGAGAATATTTTTTCTCATGGTCAGTCTTTAGGTGCCTTTTGGCAAACTCCAAGCGGGCTGTCGTTCCTTTGGTGGAGTGCTGCAGAGATGGTTGTCCTTTTGGAAGGTTCTCCCATCTCCACAGAATAACTCTAGAGCTCTGTCAGAGTGACCATTGGGATCTTGGTCACCTCCCTGACCAAGGCCCTTCTCCCCCGATTGCTCAGTTTGGCCGGCCGTCTTCCATTAAGAATGATGGAGGCCACTGTATTCTTGGGGACCTTCAATGCTGCAGACATTTTTTGGTACCCTTCCCCAGATCTGTGCCTCGACACAATCCTGTCTTGGAGCTCTACGGACAATTCCTTCAACCTCATGGCTTGGTTTTTGCTCTGACATGCACTGTCAACTATGGGACCGTATATAGACAGGTGTGAGCCTTTCCAAATCATGTCCAATACATTTAATTTACCACAGGTGGACTCATATCAAGTTGTAGAAACATCTCAAGGATGATCAATGAAAACAGGATGCACCTAAGCTCAATTTCGAGTCTCATAGCAAAAGGTCTGAATACTTATGTAAATAAGGTATTTCTGTTTATTTTTAATACATTTACCAAAATTTCTAAAGCCTGTTTTCAATTTGTCATTATGAGGTATGTGTGTAGATTGCTGAGGGAAAACAATTATTTAATCAATTTTAGAATAAGGCTGTAACGTAACAAAATTTTGCCAGGTCGCAGTTGTAAATGAGAACCTGTTCTCAACTGGCTTACCTGGTTAAATAAAGGTGAAATAAAAAAAAAAAAATGTGGAAAAAGTTATGGGGTCTGAATACTTTCCGAAGGCACGGTATTTGACTGGTCAAATTGCTCTTAAGTGCCTAGTCCCACGTAGGCCTAGCTGTGGCAAGGGTTCCATTCACATGAGGTTCCCCCCCTCTTTTGAAATGTTGATGTATTGTCAGGGTGCGAATTACCAGGGGCATCAGCCTTCCTGAATGAGACATTATCTCCCCTAAATGCAACAAATCAAACTTTGGGTGTTCTCTGTGGACAGAAATGTAACATTTATTTGTTTTCCTTCCTTCCTGGATCAGTTACTGATGGTCGCCAATATCACTAGACAACTAGCCTACAGCTAGACACCAATGCACATCCAATCCATCCAGCAATGATGGTAGGCCTATAGTTGACTTTTGGTTAGAAACATTTGATTTTGCAATGGCATAGGCCTACATGATTTTGGATTTGTGTGCGCATGAGAACTGTTCTCACAGCGAAACATTAAATGTGACATAGGCATTACACACAGTGCATTTTCAGAGATCCAGGAATCGTACAGGGTTTAAGTTCAATGTTCTAATTCAATTGTTAAATGCTTAATAATTACAAATAACACTCGTCATTAATGTAAGGAAAGAAAGGTAGTGTTTTGTCACATGATCTGTGAAGACTCCAAGCATTCAACTCATGAATTATGGACAGCTCATGAACTAGGGTGTAAAGATGTTTTGATTCAACTCATTATATTGAATGTAGGCTACCTGTTCTGCATGTGTTCATGTGTGTAAAATTGCCTCTGCTGAGAGGGTGGTCTACTGGCAGTGGTGTAGGGTAAACGCGACTTAACGCAGTTTACCCACTTTTTCAGAAAAATGCATTGAAAGTATAGGGACTTATACTGAACAAAAATATAAATGCAACATGTAAAGTGGTCCCATGTTTCATGAGCTGAAATAAAAGATCCCTGAAATTTTCCATACACACAAAAAGCTTATTTCTCCAGTTTTGTGCACAAATTTGTTTGCAAGGTCATTGATATAATAATAATAATAATATGGCATTTAGCAGACGCTTTTATCCAAAGCGACTTAGTCATGCGTGCATACATTTTTTGTGTATGGGTGGTCCCGGGGATCGAACCCACTACCTTAGCGATGCAAGCGCCGTGCTCTACCAGCTGAGCTACAGCTCAGATTAGGAATAACAAAGGTCCAATTATCAAACCCTGTGGGATGCACAGGATATCTTGGCCCTGGTAGCTGCACAGCAGTTTGCATAAACAAATTGTTCTCTATCATAAACATAACTATATAACCAATTATATGTATAATCATGAAAACCGTAATAATGCAATTTAGAAAGTAATATGTCAAACGCTTTGGATAAATCTAAAAGGATGCCAAGAGCATATTCATTGTTGTTAAGGGCTGTAAATATTTTATCCACAAGTTGCAAAAGAGCCATATCTGTGGAGTAGTTTTTTGTTGTTGCTCATACAGTGTTGATTTAAATGTTTCAACACACCCTTATACACACATTTTTCTAGGATTTTAGAAAAACATAGTAGTACAGATATAAAACATGGTAGTACAGATATTGGGCGATAATTTGTAAAAGACCTTGGATCCCCAGATTTATAGAGGGGGAATAACTTTGGCAATTTTTCAAATCTTGTTTGCATAGATTTGGTGAAGATACGTTAGAGGCTCAGTGATCGAGAAAGACACCGATTTCACCAATATCATCATGACCTGCTGCTGATATCTTTAAGTTACCAATTACCGCCATCACCTCCATTACATCAGGAGGATAACACTGAAGTAGAGAAGGGAAATGTCCCTTAATGTAATCCAAGGGATTTCCTTCAGTTTTCTCAATTTTCTTTGACAGCGAAAAACCCACATTCACAAAAAAGTGATTAAATAGACATAAAATACCATCAGGATCACTATAGGTCTCATTTCCAACAATAAATTGAGATGGGATAGTTGGAGATGCCTTTTTCCTATTAAACAGTTGATAAACGATTTTCCAAGTTGACTTTCTATTATTTAAGGATTCTTGGAATTTGTTAGTAAAATATCCGAAGTAGGGGAGTAAATTTGTTCTTATACTTTTTGTGATTTGCAGAATTCAGGGGAGAGGGATTCGTGATAAACGTTTTATACAACCCCTTGTTTTTTTGAGACCGGTTGTAAACCAAGGTTTCCAGAACCCTTCTGCTGCTCTCTTACGTGGTTTAACTAAAGGAAAGCAGTGATAAAATACAGAGTTGAAAGATGTGATTAAAGTCTGGTAAGCAGACTCCACATCGGCCTGATTATTTAAAAAATCCCATGAACTGTTATCAACCATCTTAAAGCGCTCACAATTACTTTAGTTAAATATTCTACCGTACTAATTATTCCCATCTGCTCATTTCCAGCTGCCAAAGAGAAGGGTAAAATTGGAAAGTGATAAAAAAATTCAGTATACCACATTATTCAAAGAATTTGTAAAAAAATATTATCAATAAGCGTGGCAGGTGAACTAACTGGTCACTCTTGCGGGCTTATAGATGAGGGGATACAGATAGCTGGAGTATAAAGTATTCGAAAAGTCTGATGTCAGTGAGTGGTTCTCACTTTTAAATACATGTATGTTGTAATCACCCAATATAAAAATACAAAAATCTTCATTATTATATCAAATCCAAGGTTCATGCAATGATATCAATGAAACTACCAATGTCAGAATCGGGTGGCCGATAGATGCATCCAATTACCACTTCTTTACAACCAAAAAATGAACTGGAGGTAATTTTTATGAAAAGAGATTCAACAACAATGTTATCAGATGTAAGTGTGAGGTCCTCTCTTACAAAGAATCGAACATGTTTATGAACAAAAACGGACACGCCTCCTCCCCCTCCTGAGGTTCTACAGTGGTGAACAGTATTATAAAGAGACATGTCATAAAGCATTGCTGTCTCTTCAGTCAACCATGTTTCTGAAAGTGCAACAATGGAAAATTCATGAGGTGGTCATGTTTTTTTAGGAAGACGGCGAACATTGAAATGAAAGTTAGAAAATAAGCTTGTCTTTGAATTAGATGAGCAATTTACAACCTGTATAGCAGTTTAACATTACAATAATCACAAGTGATACTTATTTCTGGTACATTTCAGGACATTTGAACCTAGATCAACACAGTCATTATATTTATCGTTCGCTTCATTAATATCTAATGGTTTAAAGATCATGTTATCAGGGTTGATATCCTGCCCAACTAAGACATACCGTCGGAATCATCTAGAGTAGAACGGAAACATAGAAGTGCTTGGGTCATACTTTGGTGTCAATGTAACTAGGCAAGAGTAGTATGGTATGTCCCTTGTTGTCAGTGTGACAGGAGAAGTAGGAGGGCTCTGACCTCAGCATGGCCAGGCAGAGGGAGGATACGGAACATGTCGCCACACTGACTGCTTAGTGATAGGGTGCACGCCAACAGGGGGGAAAGGATTCAATGTTTCAATGCGTATGGTCAAGTCTGATTTAAAAAAAATTCAGGTCAAGGTTTACACTTTAACATTTCTTGAAACAAAACCATGTCAATAAACAAGTTAATGAATCATTAATTTACCAATAGCTTCGAATCGAGGTTCAAAACCAGTAAATGCCAAGAGCGCAGACACCACAAGACATCTATCCCGACACTTAACCTGAACAGTTCCTGAAAGACGAATTAAAGTTCATACCAATCAGGTTTCCATTGATTTAAAAACTATTCTAAAAAGCATCATAGGCTAGTAGAAGCCACAAACAATGCAAGCAGTATAAAGGAAACGCTAGATGGGTGAGAATTAATAAATTACTGCCCTGCAGTAGAATTTAAGACGAATTGAATCACTATTATAGAAGTTAGTACAATGTTATAAAACCATTTATATTAATGAGTTTACCTGAAGTAAAATCCAGTTGCCATTTATTTAATGAAGATGCAGCTCCTTGACCAAAGATTTCGATTCTAGCAGCATGCAAAGCACTACAGCAACGTCTTTATAGTGTTCTGCCCATTATATTATGGAAAGTCAGACTGCATGTTTTTTTTAATTGTTTTTTATACTCGCCTATCTTAACGATATAATTGACCACATATTTAAGACAGTTGCCAATCTGCAATTTCACTGATCTACAAAGCATCTCGATAGTTTTATCATTTATATCATTGAAAGTAGGTTTAATGGATTTAGAAGTGGTCTATACAGATATTATTCAAATCAGAGACGATTAATTCCTCCCTGAAATGGCCAGCTGGTGGCGCCATGCTCATTTACCAAATGCCAATGCGCATCAAATTGGCTATGACGCCTGTGGATCAATCAACAACAAAACTTGTGCGAACATGTTTCCGTACCTTGAGAGCTTATTGCTAATTAATTAGAAATAATTGAAGCTTCCAAAACAGTTTTATTAGCCTATTTTCATTGTGCATTGATCGTTGCTGCTCCTTTCAGATTGCATTTGTTGTAGTGAAAGATAAAGGTCTTTGCAGCAATATGAGCGACAGACATGGAAGTTCTGGAAAGGTCAATGTGAGTTTTCCAGCATTATATCCTACTGATACAGAAGTAACAATTTAGTAGACTTCGAACAACACACTACAATTGAATTGCAAAGTAGTAGCCTACAACAATAAACATCAACTGAGTAAATGGAGATGACATAAAAACATTACCATCATCTTGACTGGTGTGTTTGCTGTTTGACAATTATGCTTGAAATGAGATATCAGCAGCCAATACCTTTGTCTTATTCCAATATCTGTGTTGTCTTTCCTCCAACAACAGAGCCCAAGGCAGGTGGTCCTTCTCCATTCTCCAACAGGACCCTCCACCATCCCTCCTTTCTGCCCCTGTACATGGCAGCCATGGGGTCAGCCCAGTACCCCTGGAGACCCCACCAACAGCCAGGTGAGGACAGGACAGGTGCACCACCACCCCTCTCAGGTGCCTATGTAGCTCTTGGACCCTCTGCTAACCTTTGACCTTTAGGGATTTGGTACATACCAGTCTGGGTCAAATTTTACAGGGCTTTGACATAGCCAGGGTTCAAATTACACATTTACTTTTGGGGGTGACTTGGAAATAGTAGGGCTGTATTATTTTTTTTTTACTCTCATCATCCGTTTAATGTTCATCAACACTTTTGGTACCTGAATTGGATCCGAATCCCGATTTGACATGGCTTTATTAGTTTATTAAGACCAGCCTCCCAAATGAACCAAGGCCTATATTTGTTTATTGAACCATTTTTCCCATCAGTTCCAGTTATGACTCCCTCTGAGTTCTTCTACACGGACCCCACCATGCACCGGGGCCGACGGGTACCGAACATCGTGACCGAGTTGCAGGTGAGAGCATCATTGGTCATAATCCAGCTCATCAATTATGCAGTCATCTTACCTTTTGCACATTGAAACCCCTTAATTGCAGATAACTGTAGTGTGTTAATGTCAACAGAGAGAGAGGGAGGGAAGGAGGGAGGGAAAGAGAGAGAGTACATCCCCCAAACCATCCCCCCTGTGTATTGACTAAAATCATAAAGCACAACATATTAAATGCCCCCTTTCAGTGGGGTTATCCAGTTTACTAGAGATTAGTGGAGAATATTAGGGGCCATGATGGGGTAGGAGTGAGCTATCTCTGTGGCCTTGGGGGGGGGGGACTGGGATCCCGTTGGGGGGTTGTTGAGAGATTAAAGGGGGATCAGACAGACTGGGGGAGTGTAATTAGATTGCCTCCCTCTAGTCAGACAGGGCGAGGGGGGTGGAAAGAAATTGGGACGGTAGGACACAGTGTAGAGTAGAGGTCACTGTTTGTTTTGGTGTGGAAGTGAGATGGGGTTAGAACAGTAGGAGGATCCTCTGTTTTCAGTGCTTCTGGTGGTATATTTAAAAGCTTACATTCCTTGAAGGTAGTCATGAGTAGATCTTATCACAAATGAAACTTGAAATGAAGCAGTTTCTCATTTCACATTTACATTTTAGTCATTTAGCAGACACTCTTATCCAGAGTGATTTACAGTAGTGAGTGCATACATTTTAATACTTTTTTTGTACTGGTCCCCATTGGGAATCGAACCCACAACCCTGGCGCTACCAACTGAGGTACACAGGACTCCACAGTCTACATTATGCACTGGATATACAACAGACAGCTTGTAGTGTATTTGGCACACAAAAGCAGTAACTACACATGACCCATACCTCTCCCTTCTTACCCTCCACCCTTCTTCATGGCAGGTTTTTGAGTGCTTCCAACTCAACACCCCTCGCCCCATCATGTCCTCTTGCCCCGCGCCCCTCATCAGACCTGACCCCTTCAGAACACAACCCCACCCTACCAGAGACCTGGGTGGCCACACCTGGAGGAGGGACCCTCCCCATCTGCCCATCACCCCCAGGCCGAGGCCCCTCGCACCCAGGCCCAGAGAGAGGGGACAGAGTCGGGCTGTGATCCAGCTAACCCTGGAGGAGGACCAGGCTATAACCAACCTACTGAAGCTCCATCACCAAGAGCCTGTCCATCCAGAGGTCACCACCGCCGTCACCTCCACCCAGGTAAATAAGGAAGTAGGATGAAATGTACCTCTAGTAGCTGATCTAAGGTCAGTGTTAGGTTTTCCTTCTGAAGGACTGGGGTAGTAATCTGATCCTAGATCTGTGTTTATGGGCAACTTTATGGGAGTCTGTAAAGATACAAAATACATTCCTAATAATATACATTCTTACTAACAGGTGGATTGTCCTGAAGGAACATCACCAGTTGATCACACCTCAACCCTCAGCCAGCTATCAGTGGGTCAGTTCATTCCCACCTCCAACCCATCTCCAGCTGAAGAGATGGGGCTCTTTCACAGAGAGGACCAGCTCTTTGTGTCAGCCATCTTGGAGCCCCAATATCAGAACCAGCCCAGACTGAGGTCTGATGTGGAGCTGGAGGCAGCGAACGCATTGCTCACTATGGATGAGGAGTCGGCCGGCCTGATGGATGATGAAGGGACCTGGAACCAGATTCAGACCCTGGACAGGCCCTCTAACAGAAGCCCTGAGAATCTACACCTCCAGTACTTCTCACCCGAAGAGTGTGATTGTGATACACTGCCATTAGAAGACGATGAAAGCTGCCTATCCCCCAACGCTTTGCCTCCAATAACCAGTACTTGGGATGCGGTGGCCCTGAGAAATGGGACTGTCACAGAGTCTGAAGGGACGGCTGTGGATGCCCTGTTAAGACTGGGTGACCTCACAACCCCATGTTGTCCTCATTTCAGTTAAATCGGCCACAAATGTACACAACATATTTGACAGTTAATCTCAGTTTCAATTAGAGAAAATAAAACTGTGAAGACCTTTTTACAAGTTAAGTGTGTACCACACAGTTTAATTAACCACTACATTTTCCTATGTGCCTTTTGGATTTTGTTACTTGCCAAATAGTTAATAAATATTATAATATATTCATATTTTAGACTCAAGTCAATCTTATTTGATCTGTTGAAAGAAACACTCCCATTGAAAAACACTATAGAGTTTTAATAAGAACACTACGGTCTTGAACCAGATTAAACCCACTCACTCACTCAAACAAACGGTATGGAATGCGGTTTTAACCAATCAGCATTCAGGATTAGACCCACCCCGTTGTATAAAGAAGTAATAGAGACCTGTTGATATCTTAGTTTGGCTCCACTAGATGATGAAGCTCCATGTTACCAATATTACTACCGTACATCACATACAACCAGGTTTTGTGGTTTTGACATTATGTACGTGACTTAGCTATGACTTTTTTTGTGTCCAAAAATGGCAGTCAAATGTATTCAATCCTGTAGTGAGGACGATAAAACAGCTGTAGGCTTCTAGTACAATCCATTGGAAGGCACTTCAGAGTTTGATCTATATGCCTGATACACCCAATGATACATGATATGTGCAAACTGGTATGGTATACCTGACTGACATATTGATACAGGGGCACTTTTCAACTGGGGCTTTCCTATGGCAGTGAGTGGAGTGGGGTTAGGTGCAGGTTCACACACACACAAACAAACTCATACTATACACTCACTCAAATACATACTCAACTTTTGGAAGCATGTCAGAGAGTAGTCCATTTTTGTTTGCCTGAAGTCCATCTTTCTCCAAAAAAAAAACATTCCCCCATAACTTCCAACAAATTACTAATTTGTACAAAATGAAAACATGCTAATTGCACGATATGATAACGTCGGGTTTTCACCAACAACGAATTCAGCATGAGAAGTTCCGCCCCATTCATTTTCAACGAGGGCACGTAGAGAAATATGTGGGGAATTGTGGGAAGGTGAGCGGGGAGAACCCTGCTAGCAGAGCGGTAGAAAAAGTTGAGCTCTGCTCTACTTTATGCAAATGTAGAGTGAAGTGTTGTAAAGAAGAGTCAAAACCCACTGTAAGATAGCTGGAGATATGAGATTTCTGAGGAGCGCTGAGTGTTATTCAGGTTAGCATGCATGGCAAGCACTGGTTCACTCTCCCTATCCAGTTTAATGTTCTAGTGACGTTCTGTCAACGTTCGATTGATGTTCTGTCAACGTTCGATTGACGTTCCGTCAATGTTCTCCTGATGTTCTGTCAACATTAAGGTGATCCTAAAGCATGGTCTTTACTATTCTGAAATGTTCCCTTGACGTTCCGTCAACATTATGAAAGGGTCTTGACCTTGTTGGTGACGATGCTGGCGGCCTGAATGACCCGATAGCGTTCTCGAAGGTTCCGCCGCCGCACGTGCTCGTTGGTGATCTCTAAAACGTTCTCCACAGGGAACCAACCCTTCTGTCCGTCGGAAAGACGGATCCCCTCGTACAAACCTGGAGAGATGGAGGGAACGAGGGAGGGAAAGGAAGTGGAGGAGAGGAAGAAGGATGGGTGAATGCGGGGGGGGATAGGATGTTTATATATAAATCATGCAAAATAACATTCACAAATCAATCAACTGCTACAGTATAGAGGTTAAGGTAGGTTAAAGGGTTGAATTAGAATTGTCGGGATAAAAGACAGTTGGGGAAAAGAAGTGGGTTTAATTCGATAGGTTATTACTGTGTTATTAGTAAAGTAAAGACCGGATCATTTCTGGATTTGTAAAATAAAGTGCTACCCAGTTTCCTAATTAACCACATTAAAAGGTCACTAGTGTCCTGCCAGGTCTTACCCTCGTTGGTCTTCCGCACCACGTTGATGATCTCAGTGGGTTCCAGGGTGAGCTCATCAGCCTGCTGAGCAACGTACTGCTCCACACACTGCACCTGAGGACAGTCTGAGGACAGAAACAACAGTAAATATCAAGAACCCACAAACATAAACCACAAGTACAAATAGCCCAAAGTTTGTCCATGTAGGCAAACAGAGTCATTTTTGTGTGGATGGTTGAATTTGGCAACTAACTCAGTCACTAATGGCTGCCTAACTGCCGCTAGCTAACCCAGTCACTCACCCCAGTCCTCATATATGACCTCCTCCTCGTCTCCATCAGGGTTACTGGGGTTAGGGAACGCTGCTATCCACCTGTGCAGGTCAGACCTGAAAAGAAATGAGGGGAAAAATAAACGTGAGAATGTGAAACAGACCATAGAGTGTGAATAGTCTTATTTGTATTTGTAAAGGATGTCACACTGCTTGCTTAGCGAGTACCACTTCCTCCCGATTCGGCTCACACAGACTCGAACCCAGTACCTCTGCTTTGTTAGCACACGTGACCACATTCGTGAAGTGTTTTACCAGTCGGTGTCACCGTAAATTTAACTATTCGGTGCGCAATTTGGGACACTTCAGGCTGAGGAGTAAGTTTCATACGTCCCCATGTGCTGCATATCACTCACTCACACACACACACACACACACACACACACACACACACACACACACACACAGTGTTGTACTCACTGTGAGGGGGCCTTCATCAGTCTCTCCATCATGCGTCCCTGGTGGTTCTCCAGTAGAGTCAGACAGAAACAGTGTTCATAGCTAGGGCTCAGGGCCTGGTCCGCTCTTATTGGCTGAACCTGGACCAGGGAGCGGTGGGCGTGGTCCATCACCACGAAACGCTCCGAACTAATGGAGATAAGAGGAGGAACCAATCACATTGAAGGGCTAAGACAGTAAAATGAGTCAGAGACTGTATGAATGTAAAATGAGTCAGAGACTGTATGAATGTAAAGCCTTATGAACACCATAAGGGGAACTCACCCCTTCTTGGTGGCGATGATGAGCAGGTCGTTGAAGAGGAAGAGGTAGACGGGGGTGAACTTGGGACGCAGGTTGAAGAGGGTGCCACCTTTGGCCATCTCCTGTACCTCCCCACGTTTCTCCAAGAAACGGGTTTGGGAGATGATGGGGATAGCCTGATAGAGAGAGGTGGGGGAAGGAGAGAGGGGATAGATGGAGAGAGGGAGAGAGAGAGGGGAGAAAGAGAGAGAGATAAATGTATAACAATCAAGCAGAAAGGGATAGGCTCATAGTATATGTGGGTGGTGTAATAACTGATTGACTGACTGACTGATTAATTAATTGATTACCTTGAGCTTGTCAAACTCCAGCGTCTTGGAGAGGTGGATCAGCTCCTCCACCTGTTTCATCTTCCCCACTTGGGTGTTGCACTCCTCTATGATCTGAGAGAGCGAGAGGGAGGGGAAGAGGCAGAGAGAAAGAAAAAAGAAAAAAATCGTGTGAGACAAAGGACAAGAGACTGAATGAAAACAGTAGATCAGAGACACCTTGGCTGCCTCTACACTTTTCCTCTCAGACAGAAGAGCGAAACAGTCCTAATAGCCCGTCTCTAATTTCATGAAAATACATTTTCCTCTCTATCACAAGTGTATCAAGTTCTTCTCTTTTTCAAGAGGATCCCTCCCTTCTTGAATAACACTAGCTGGTACAGCAGTGACCGACAGCCCAGGTAGCACATAACGTCCTGAGAACCATATGTTTCTTAGAACTTGGTGAGAGCATGGTTATTTTGCATACAACCTTCCCACAATGTTCTGGTAATGGTGAAGGATACCCTGAGAACGTTCTGAGAACCATATGTTTCGTAGGTGGGAATTTCAGTACTTCAGCATAACGTTTTCTACAGGTCTCCTCATGGTTCTACATAAAGTAATGTTCTCATAACGTACCGAGAACGTTAAGAAACAACGTTCTTCTGTGGGAATTGTAGTACTTCAGCATAACGTTTTCTACAGGGTTCCCCATGGTTTTATTTAATGTCGTATTCTCAGAACATTAAGAAAACTTTCCATAAAAACCACAAGAAAATATTAGTAACGTTCAAAGAACATTCTAAGAACGTTATTTAAAAACATATACATTCCGTTCTCAGCATCAACAAAACTCTCTATCCTCTATCTTGCTAACTGTGTTAATAAGTGCTTGTTTCCTTTGAAATTGGGTGTTTGAATAGACTTAAAAGAACAGCTTTGTATGAGCCGACTAGGTGAAAAATCTGTCGATGTGCCCTTGAGCAAGGCACTTAACCCTAATTGCTCCTGTAAGTCGCTCTGGATAAGAGCGTCTGCTAAATGACTAAAATGTAAATGTAAAATGAGTTTGAAAAAAACATGGCATGTTGCTCCATCCTGGTGGCGCAGTGTACCAATTCCACGGATAGAGAACAGAAGACCATAGGTTTGAATCTCACTGACGCCAAGCCACAGAAGAAAAAAAAGAAATATGTTAGCATGATTAATGCCTAAGCAAATTAATTTCCATGTGTCCTATCTGTGCTTGGAGTTCAAAACAGTTAACCCAAACTAAGCTAGCAGTGTTACTAAAAGTCTTATTCTCAGAACATTAATAACACCTTCCAGGAAAACTTTCAGGGAACCATAGTAAAACGTTCCCAGAACAGGCTAAATTTTCACTTCCGTTCTCAGAACATTTAAAAAACATTCTGTTTTACCAGTCAGGAAACGTATGGCTTCGTTCCCAGAACCAATGGGAAACCAAAAATGTACGTTCCCACAACTTCCAAGGAACCAAATGTGCTAGATGGGAGTCCTCATCTCTCATCTGTCTCTTCTGCACTTGGTCATATTGTCATTGTCTGCAGTGACACACTGAGTCACTATCTCTGTCCTCTCACAATATGATATCCTCTTTCTCACACAATAGACCAGGGGACTGACGTCATTGTTCCATATTCCAGAACGGTGTGGAACAGTGCTTTAGAATGGAACAATCGGAATGTCTGTGGGCGGGTGGGCGGACGGCTGGATGGAAACAGGAGGTGTGTTACCTTGGAAACAGAGTCCAGGGCCTTGGAGGCGGTCTGTTCCTCTGTAGTCCCCTCCTTTGTTCTTTTCAGAATGTTCTGATGAACAACAGCAACAATAAGCCATGTTACACATACAAACAAATGAGGATCTGGATTCAAGACAAAAAAAAATCTAATATTCATGTGGTTTCATGCTTTTCATTGTGATAGAAAACACTTTGTAGTCCACTTCACAGTGGCCACAAAAACTACAGGTCCCATGATACCCCTCACCTCGATGAGCATCTTAATGCGTGTGATTCGTTGGAAGGGCAGCAGCAGGAAGGACATGAATGGCAGCCGCTGGCACTGAGGAGACTCCTGTAGACGGGTGATGACTGTGGCAAACGCCACATTGGTTTTCCTGTGGGGGGACACACATTATTCAGGGTCCCATCTTTGTCTGGTTTGCTGAGTAAATTATAGGACCAAGATGCCTCCATCAACATTCCCAAAATTCCCAAGCTTTCCAGAAATTCCAGTTTTATTACTGGAATCATGATGGAATAAGCAGGAAATCCGGGAATTCTCCGATCTGGATTTCTGGAAAATCTGGGAATTTGGGGGAAAATTACCAAGATTTTGCAACCCTACCTCTGAGATCTAGTAATAGACCCATACTTACATGAGGGATGTGTAGGTCTTCTCCTGGTAGATCTGGTTGCGGACATAGTCGATGTAGGCCGGAAAGTTGTGCTGTGCATGGTAGTGGATGATGTCACAGATGTCAGAGAACATCAGACCTTCGTCCATACGGTCCTCCAGGTCCTTCAGAAACCTAATGGGGGGGGGGGTTGGAAAGGGCAAAGGTTATGGTTTATTCTATTGATGAGGGGTTTATTAAAAAAAGGTCCAATGCAGCCGTATTTATATCAATATTAAATTATTTCTGGGTAACAACTATGTACCTTACTGCAACAGATTTCCATAAAAATGGACAACATTTTTCAACAAAGAATTTAGCTAGGACTGTCTGGGAGTTGTCTGAGTGGGGAGGGGAAAACTGAAAACTAGCTGTTATTGGCAGAGAGGTTTGGAACTCTTTTGTTATTGGTCTATTAACCAATTTACCACGTGATGTCACCATGGAAAGCCGAAACTCATGCCCATACAAACTTGCTGATTAGAAGGTCCTGTGTAGATTGCATTTTTAACTAGCAACTGTCAGGAAATAACTCTAGCTAGGTTTCCATCCAATTGGCGACAGATCTTCATGTGAATATTCTAAAATTTGATGGAAACGCATCTCTGGTGGCATACAGTGAGGGAAAAAAGTATTTGATCCCCTGCTGATTTTGTACGTTTGCCCACTGACAAAGAAATGATCAGTCTATAATTTTAATGGTAGGTTTATTTGAACAGTGAGAGACAGAATAACAACAAAAAAATCCAGAAAAACGCATGTAAAAAATGTTATAAATTGATTTGCATTTTAAATGAGGGAAATAAGTATTTGACCCCTCTGAAAAACATGACTTAGTACTTGGTGGCAAAACCCTTGTTGGCAATCACAGAGGTCAGATGTTTCTTGTAGTTGGCCACCGGGTTTGCACACATCTCAGGAGGGATTTTGTCCCACTCCTCTTTGCAGATCTTCTCCAAGTCATTAAGGTTTCGTTGCTAACGTTTGGCAACTCGAACCTTCAGCTCCCTCCACAGATTTTCTATGGGATTAAGGTCTGGAGACTGGCTAGGCCACTCCAGGACCTTAATGTGCTTCTTCTTGAGCCACTCCTTTGTTGCCTTGGCTGTGTGTTTTGGGTCATTGTCATGCTGGAATACCCATCCACGACTCATTTTCAATGCCCTGGCTGAGGGAAGGAGGTTCTCATCCAAGATTTGACGGTACATGGCCCCGTCCATCGTCCCTTTGATGCGGTGAAGTTGTCCTGTCCCCTTAGCAGAAAAATACCCCCAAATCATAATGTTTCCACCTCCATGTTTGACGGTGGGGATGGTGTTCTTGGGGTCATAGGCAGCATTCCTCCTCCTCCAAACAAGGCGAGTTGAGTTGATAACAAAGAGCTCCATTTTGGTCTAATCTGACCACAACACTTTCACCCAGTTCTCCTCTGAATCATTCAGCTGTTCATTGGCAAACTTCAGATGGGCATATATATGTGCTTTCTTGAGCAGGGGGACCTTGCGGGTGCTGCAGGATTTCAGTCCTTCACGGCGTAGTGTGTTACCAATTGTATTCTTGGTGACTATGGTCCCAGCTGCCTTGAGATCATTGGCAAGATCCTCCCGTGTAGTTCTGGGCTGATTCCTCACCGTTCTCATGATCATCGCAACTCCACGAGGTGAGATCTTGCATGGAGCCCCAGGCCGAGGGAGATTGACAGTTATTTTGTGTTTCTTCCATTTGCGAATAATTGCACCAACTGTTGTCACCTTCTCACCAAGCTGCTTGGCGATGGTCTTGTAGCCCATTCCAGCCTTGTGTAGGTCTACAATCTTGTCCCTGACATCCTTGGAGAGTTCTTTGGTCTTGGCCATGGTGGAGAGTTTGGAATCTGATTGATTGATTGCTTCTGTGGACAGGTGTCTTTTGTACAGGTAACAAACTGAGATTAGGAACACTCCCTTTAAGAGTGTGCTCCTAATCTCAGCTCGTTACCTGTATAAAAGACACCTGGGAGCCAGAAATCTTTCTGATTGAGAGGGGATCAAATACTTTTTTCCCTCACTGTATGCCACCAGAGATGCGTTTCCATCAAATTGACTTGTTGCGTGATGACTTACTGCACACACAAATAACTTTTGTGGTTAAATTCCCATGTACCGGATAAAAAAAATACAAGCTTTCATTGCATTTTGAACTCTAATGATGGTTTTGTCACAAAAAATTTTGCGTTATATAGCGAATGTGCCCACTCTGGTATTGGCACATGCTCCTTAGCCAACACCTCGCAGATACAGTGCTGGTATAGCTTCCATGATGAGATTACTATGGACAAAAGAGCGAGATTATTTTTATTTGTCAAACGGCAGCGAAGCAGCGATCATCAGAACACACGTGTTGTAGGCATATTTGGAGGCTGGTCTTCTAGAATGTCTATGAGCCAAATGGATGTAAAAATTAATTCAAAAGATAACGGCCAGTGGCTGTAATTGCCAATGTAGTTTTCAATCAATAAAATTGATGTACTGAAAGTCAGATTAAAGGGGGTTTAGTAATATATTCACGAAATGTCTCCATAGATAAAAAATGTAATGTGATTAGACTGGTAATTTGTCTTTCAAGGTCATGCAAGATCATAGAACAAAATGGAACACACAAACATTTGATTTTTGTTTCCTTCCTTCTCTTTGACATACTTTACTCATAAATTAAGCTACATAGTAATAGATTTCTACAAAAGCAACACCCAGGGGTGGTAATCTCAATCATTAACCTTCTTTACCAAAACACACTTAGGGACAAAGGGGAGATTGCTTGTATTCAGTATAAACATTGTGCATGGACTGCATAGGAGCCACTATACATCTACGCAAAATACCAAGGGGGGCATTATCTACAGTAAATAGAGAGATCCTGACACGCCATACACTCTCTACAGGTTTAAACGTCCGGCAAAACACAGCCTCATTGTTTCATGTCACATCAAGGATAAAGCGGTTGCCTGTGGCTGGGGTGGTCACTGTTGTGCTGGGGTAGGGCCTGTACTCTGCACACATCATAGCTCTGCTACAACCAGGATTGTCCTGATCTATCGGTATCGATTGTCCTGGCCTAACGGTATCAATTAGATCATTGGATTTGTTCTGACATTCTTGATTTCTTGTTTCTAGTTTGTGATTATCTGTGTACTTGTTTGACATTCTACTGCACTGTTAGGAGCTAGTAACATAAGCATTTCGCTGCAACGGCTATGACATCTGCTAAACTGTGTCCGTGAACAATAACCTTTGATGTCATAATCTAACGGCATTCATTGTTATGATCTAACGGTATAAATTGTCCTGATCTAATGGTATGAATCTATCAATCTGCGTCAGATGCTATTCCTTATTTCTTTCCTTCCTCTGACTCCAAACGGTTTTAGCTGAGTATCCTTTTACTTCTCTCGCTTACCTCTCGCTGACCTCCCGGACTCGCAGGACGTTGGAGAAGAGGGTCTTCCTGTCCCGGATGTTCAGCGCCTCGTCCAGATCCCGGGAATCCAGGAAGTGTTCTGTGAGAACTCGTAGGGAACGCAGGTACGACGCTTCCGATGTCAACACCTCAAACATACTCTGAGGGAAGAGAGAGAATGGGACGGTGAATTCATACATTTTATTCATACACTACCATTCAGAAGTTTGGGGTCACTTAGAAATTTCCTTGTTTTTGAAAGAAAAGCAATTTTTCTGTCTATGAAAATAACATCAAATTGATCAGAAATACAGTGTAGACATTGTTAATGTTGTAAATGGCTATTGTAGCTGGAAACGGCTGATTTTTTATGGAATATCTACATAGGCGTACAGAGGCCCATTATCAGCAACCATCAGTCCTGTGTTCCAATGGCACTTTGTGTTTGCTAATCCAAGTTCATCATTTTAAAAGGCTAATTGATCATTAGAAAACTCTTTTGCAATTATGTTAGCACAGCTGAAAACTGTTGTGCTGATTAAAGAAGCAATAAAACTGGCCTTCTTGAGACTAGTTGGGTATATGGAGCATCAACAATTGTGGGTTTGATTACAGGCTCAAAATGGCCAAAAACAAATAACTTTCTTCTGAAACTCGTCTGTCTATTCTTGTTCTGAGAAATGAAGGCTATTCCATGCGAGAAATTGCCAAGAAACTGAAGATCTCATACAACGCTGTGTACTACTCCCTTCACAGAACAGCGCAAACTGGCTCTAACCAGAATAGAAGGAGGAGTCGGAGGCCCCGGTGCACAAAGAAAGTTATTTGTTTCTGGCCATTTTGAGCCTGTAATCGAACCCACAATTGCTGATGCTCCAGATACTCAACTAGTCTCAAGAAGGCCAGTTTTATTGCTTCGTTAATCAGCACAACAGTTTTCAGCTGTGCTAACATAATTGCAAAAGGGTTTTCTAATGATCAATTAGCCTTATAAAATGATCAACTTGGATTAGCCATTTACAACATTAACAATTTTTACACTGTATTTCTGATCCATTTTATGTTATTTTAATGGACAAAAAAATTGCTTTTCTTTCGAAAACAAGGACATTTCTAAGTGACCCCAAACTTTTGAATGGTAGCGTACATTCAAACCGTTATTGAATATCACCATCAGAATTGAGTATTTCCTACTGATGATTCTCTAGAAAACCTGAACCCTTGCTCTTCCCTCACTGGGGGATTCCATGTTAATACATGACAATGTCCTTTCAACTGTTCCTTAGGCCTAATTTCTCTTATTTGACTTGCCTCTCCCTACCCCCTTCCCACCTCTTCCTCACCTCCTGGTACTTGCACTGTTCAGGGCTGAGGGTCTCCAGCACCCCACTGTCCCGTACTCCTGGTAGGTCCTGCCACAGGGTGCTCTGGCCCGGGGTGGGCAACGGAATAGTACCACTGCCCACCGCCCCCACGCCACCCGACCCAATGCCCACGCCACTACGGCGGGCGGTCCAGTCCATGTGGTAGTCGGCGCTAGTCTTGCTGATGTTGCGGCACACCGTCTGGCGCCGGATCTCCTTGGTGATGACAGTGGCGCGGTACGTCTGGTACAGAGGCTCTAAGGGGGTACAGAGGGGTCAAAGGGCAAACAATCTCTCAATACAAATAGATTAGGTATTAATATGTGGGGTATTACTCTATGGGTGACCCTCAAACAATGATGATATACCAAACATTTTCTGTTCTTTTACACCTATATTTGCGTGTCACCTGTAACCTGATTCAGCAGTGTCTGATATTTTGGGTGTGTCAGATAACCTTAATGTCCTGCAGTCTGGACTCACAGTCAATATAGGATCCTCTCCTGGTAACCTTACCGTCCTGCAGTCTGGACTCACAGTCAATATAGGATCCTCTCCTGGTAACCTTACCGTCCTGCAGTCTGGACTCCCAGTCAATATAGAATCCTCTCTTGGTAACCTTACCGTCCTGCAGTCTGGACTCCCAGTCAATATAGAATCCTCTCTTGGTAACCTTACCGTCCTGCAGTCTGGACTCCCAGTCAATATAGAATCCTCTCTTGGTAACCTTACCGTCCTGCAGTCTGGACTCCCAGTCAATATAGAATCCTCTCTTGGTAACCTTACCGTCCTGCAGTCTGGACTCCCAGTCAATATAGAATCCTCTCTTGGTAACCTTACCGTCCTGCAGTCTGGACTCCCAGTCAATATAGGATCCTCTCCTGGTAACCTTACCGTCCTGCAGTCTGGACTCCCAGTCAATATAGGATCCTCTCTTGGTAACCTTACCGTCCTGCAGTCTGGACTCCCAGTCAATATAGAATCCTCTCTTGGTAACCTTACCGTCCTGCAGTCTGGACTCCCAGTCAATATAGAATCCTCTCTTGGTAACCTTACCGTCCTGCAGTCTGGACTCCCAGTCAATATAGAATCCTCTCTTGGTAACCTTACCGTCCTGCAGTCTGGACTCCCAGTCAATATAGAATCCTCTCCTGGTAACCTTACCGTCCTGCAGTCTGGACTCCCAGTCAATATAGGATCCTCTCCTGGGTGGGGCTGCAGGAGCACTGGGACAGGAAAGAAGGGCAGAGTGTTGGATAACTGACTAAGCTGAGAAAGTGTGAATGAGTGAAAAATAGGCCAGATTCTAACACTTTGGAGGCGAGGTGCTGGCTAGCAGAGTAGAACACATGAAAAAGAAAAGGAGAGTCGAAGACTCTAGGAGCTCAGATGCAATCATTGAATTACCAACGTTTTGACAGCCAAGCTGTCTTCATCAGGGTATAATGACAAACACTGCGGGTCACTAGTTTATATAGTTTGAAAGGACACACAGGTGTCTGTAATTGGTTGATTTACAGATATCAATAGAACATATAAAAAAAAGCCTGAATGGAGAACATATGATCATAGATCCAACTTGGCTACATAGGCCTCCATGCATCCTTCCTTCCTTCCTTCCTTCCTTCCTTCCTTCCTTCCTTCCTTCCTTCCTTCCTTCCTTCCTTCCTTCCTTCCTTCCTTCCTTCCTTCCTTCCTTCCTTCCTTCCTTCCTTCCTTCCTTCCTTCCTTCCTTCCTTCCTTCCTTCCTTCCTTTAGGTAATCACTGATATGTGATTGGATAAGTCATACCCTATCGCCTTCATTGATCCAACCCACACTGATCTGTGGTAACTTACAGGAAGGGAGGAAGGATTTTCAACAGGGCCAAAACAAAGACATATGAGATGAGAGTAGAAGAGGAAGAAGGAGGGAAGAAACAGAAGAAGATCAGGGATGAGTTAGCTTACCGGTCTTCCTCTGTGTCCTCCTCCTCTCCTTTAGTGTTTCCATCCTCCTCTTGTTCTAGAGGGAGACACAAAAGAATGAACAATATACCCTTCCTTTTATATTGGATCCTCTCCTGGTAACCATATATATAACCTCGCACTAGAAAATATGCTAGAAAACAGGTTTATTGCATGTTTACTTTTATACCAACCTTTTATAGCTTGGTTGATAGAATGGCCGGAGATGTTACTGAGTCTCCTGTCGTCCCTGCCCGTCTTGGTGGGCTGAGGTGGGGGGACTCTGTGGGGCAGCAGGGGGCTGGTGGGGGTTGGAGGGACCACCCGGTGGGGTACTATGGGGCTGGAGGAAGGGTTGGGGGATGAGGGGCGCAGGGAGTGCCACTCCTCCGTGGTGGGCTGGGGTAAGGCGATACCCCCCCTGTGAACGGGCGTGAGGTTGTGGCCAGGTGTTTTGGACTTGTCCTGGGCGAGGGGTACCCGAGGTGGGATGGCGGGGGGGGCGTCCTCAGTAGTCTGGGTTTGGGATGGGTCCGAATCGGACTGGATAGAAGTGTTGTCCTCCGAGTTGCTGGAGGACAGTTTTGACCGACGGACCGGTTTCCGAACCATGATAAGAGGAATGTCCAGTTCTTGACAGATCTTTCTGGGTTTTGGCTCCACCATTAGTAGAGTAGCTTCATATATAGAGTCCTCCTCCTCTATGGAGGCATTCAAATGGCTTGGGGGAGATTGAGTTCTTTTAGGGGGGATGGGGGGTGACTGGGGGCGTTTTAGGGCCAAGGAGGTCAGAATGACCTGGTATCCTGGGTCTGACCTTCTCCGGTTCCCTTTGTCTATCATCACATTCAGAACCTGGTTAAACTTTGCCTTCTTGAATCTCTGCCCCGCCCCTTCCTCACTCGACAAACCGCTCCCCTCCTCCTCCTCCTCCTCCTCATCCCCAGCCTCGCTCTCCCCCTCCCCTCCTCTCTCCTCCTCCTCTGTTTCATCTTCCAGCAAAATCTCCTCTTCTTCTTCTTCTTCTTCTTCTTCTTCCTCTTCCACCTCCTCCTCCTCCTCCTCGTTGATGGGCACCCATACCAGCTTCATGCCGGGCCGGTGGAGGTGGCACACACAACTGCAGTCCCGGTCGCAACATGGGCTAAGGGGTGTGCCTGAACCGTGCTCCGGCTCAACTTCCACTCCTCCAATCAGCTGAAGCTCAAACTCTTTTCCGTCAGGTGCTGGGGGAGAGGGAGGGACACAGAGTTAGATGGTTTGGGAGGCTATAACATATCACTAACATAACACATCATGTTTTACATCCACTGCCCCCTTTTTGCCTATATACACAGTACCAGTCAAAGGTTTTAAAACACCTACTCATTCAAGGGTTTTTCTTTATTTTCAAAACTATGAAATAACACATATGGAATCATATAGTAACCAAAAAAAGTGTTAAACAAATCAAAATAGATGTTATATTTGAGATTCTTCAAAGTAGCCTTTATGACAGCTTTGCACACTGTTGGCATTCTCTCAACCAGCTTCATGAGGTAGTCACTTGGAATGCATTTCAATTAACAAGTGTGCCTTGTTAAAAGTTAATTTGTGGAATTTATTTCCTTCTTAATGCGTTTGAGCCAATCAGTTGTGTTGTGACAAGGTAGGGGGGGTATACAGAAGATAGCCCTATTTGGTAAAATACCATCTCCATATTATGGCAAGAACAGCTCAAATAAGCAAAGAGAAACTACAGTCCATCATTACTTTAAGACATGAAGGTCAGTCAATCCGGAAAATTTCAAGAACTTTGAAAGTTTCTTCAAGTGCAGTCGCAAAAACCATCAAGCGCTATGATGAAACTGGCTCTCACAGGAAAGGAAGACCCAGAGTTACCTCTGCTGCAGAGGATACGTTAATTAGAGTTAACTGCACCTCAGATTGCAGCCCCAATAAATGCTTCACAGAGTTCAAGTAACAGGCACGTCTCAACATCAACTTTTCAGAGATGACTGCGTGAATCAGGCCTTCATGGTCAAATTGCTACAAAGAAACCACTACTAAAGGACACCAATAAGAAGAAGAGACTTGCTTGTGCCAAGAAACACGAGCAATGGACATTAGACCGGTGGAAATCTGTCCTTTGGTCTGATGAGTCCAAATTTGGGATTTTTGGTTTCAACCGCCGTGTCTTTGTGAGACGCAGAGTAGGTGAACGGATGATCTCTGCATGTGTGGTTCTCACCGTGAAGCATTGAGGAGGTGGTGTGACGGTGTGGGGTGCTTTGCTGGTGATACTGTCTGTGATTTATTTAGAATTCAAGGCACACTTAACCAGCATGGCTACCACAGCATTCTGCAGCGACACACCATCCCATCTGGTTTGCGCTTAGTGGGACTATCATTTGTTTTTCAACAGGACAATGACCCAACACACCTCCAGGCTGTGTAAGGGCTATTTGACCAAGAAGGAGAGTGATGTAGTGCTGCATCAGATGACCTGGCCTCCACAATCACCCGACCTCAACCCAATTGAGATGGTTTGAGATGAGTTGGACCGCAGAGTGAAGGAAAAGCAGCCAACAAGTGCTCAGCATATGTGGGAACTCCTTCAAGACTGTTGGAAATGCATTCCAGGTGAGGCTGGTTGAGAGAATGCCAAGAGTGTGCAAAGCGGTCATCAATACAAAGGGTGGCTACTTTGAAGAATCTCAAATATAAAATATCTTTTGATTTGTTTAACACTTTTTTGGTTACTACATGATTCCATATGTGTTATTTCATAGTTTTGATGTCGTCACTATTATTCTACAATGTAGAAAATAGTACAAATAAAGAAAAACCCAGGAATGAGTAGGTGTGTCCAAGCTTTTGACTGGTACTGTATGTTTGCAGTAATAGGAAATTAATAAAGCATCAGAAAGATACATGTTTTTTGGTTTGTTTTGTTTGGCTTTTATGTGACCAAGAACTCCAAGACTTTGGGATTACTTGCTCCATTCCAGGTCTGTATTGACCCTTGAACCTTGGCAGACGTAAACCCTCTATGGAGTTCACTGATCACTGTGGTTGCTTCCTGTCTAGTCTGGTCCTACATCTGTATCCTGTGATAGCAGGGCATATCGCTTTCACTGTGTGTGTGTGTGTTTTCTAAGGAAAGTTAAACATTAAGCCTTAGGCATTATAAGCACAAACTGGACTGTCCAGTCAGCACAAGTGCTATGCAAATAGACGAAGTCTCCAGTGCCTTGACAGTAAAGATTGACGAGGTAGAAACTGTCTGATGAGCATGCCATAAAATATTTATGGGAATGGAATGCACATCAGTCAAATCATGTGAGCATGAGCATGTGTGTGTGAGAGAGAGAGAGAGAGCATGCGTGTGTGCGTGCAAGCGAGAGAGAAACTTCCCTGTTTTAGCCAAATTAACATGCAACCTTCCTATTTTGATAATGGTTTCAATAGTTGTTTCTACTTTCATGATTTGTTTTTTGCTTTGTCAGAAACTTGGGGAAGTATTCTTAAGTTGTTTAGCCTGAGGGTTTAATACTAACAAGAAACAAGTAAACATATGTACTTGTGTTTATCTTTTCTGCAGTCAGAAATGCTACTAGTTCCTTGATTTTCTTGCAGTTTTGGACAGGAACCCTCTGGCTTTCTCTCAGACAGCTCTCATTTCAGCTCTCCTTCTCAGACAGCTCTCATTTCAGCTCTCCCTCTCTCCTTCTCAGACTGCTCTCATTTCAGCTCTCCCTCTCTTTCTCTCTCTACCGCTCTTCTAGATTTCTACCCAGCCTCTTCCTCTCTTTGCCATTCACTCACTCACTCACACACATACATGCATGCACAAGCAGACGGACGGATATGTTTATATATAAATGTTTTCCTTTATTTAACCAGGTTAGTCTCATTGAGATAAAACACAATTCAAAGGAAACCGGTTTACCTATACAGGTGCACTGACAGAACCTGTTTCTGGCTGTTAGGTAAAGGGAAAACATGTGTCCCCCTCTAGGCTTCAGAAATGAGGCAACACACCTGAGCACAGATTCCGCTCTCAAAGGAACATACCGCACTCGCATGTGGCATGCATATAGGTGACTTTTGCTGCATATGGTAAAGATCAAACTGACAACGAAACGTGTAGAGGTACATGAAACCGGTCAATGTTTGTAACACTCAAATACTAAACAGATTTTTTTCTTAACCTCTCACCCTAGGGCTAGCTTGTTGGTTTGGGACTATTGTTAATGCTTTCTGATGATTATGTCATGTGTTACTGTTGACAACACTTGATTTATGGGCATCCATGGGAAAGCTAACCTGTACAAATACAGTTAATTTTGTTGCTCTGTCTGTTTTGCTTGCCTTGTAGATAGGTAGGCTACATTGCTAATCATAACAAATGATCAGTCGCTATCATAACATACGTTTTTTTGTATTAATATTGATTCATTAATTGATCGATCGATATACTGACTGGCTGGGTCCAAATTCTGGTTTGCCAACTACTTACTATTTATTTATTTTTATTTCATCTTTATTTAACCAGGTAAGCCAGTTGAGAACAAGTTCTCATTTACAACTGCGATCTGGCCAAGATAAAGCAAAGCAGTGCGATAAAAACAACAGAGTTACATATGGGGTAAAACAAAACATAGTCAAAAATACAACAGAAAATATATATACAGTGTGTGCAAATGTAGCAAGTTATGGCAATAAATAGGCCATAGTACAAAATAATTACAATTAGTATTAACACTGGAATGATAGATGTGCAAGAGATGATGTGCAAATAGAGATACTGGGGTGCAAATGAGAAAAATAAATAACAATATGGGGATGAGGTAGTTGGGTGGGCTAATTTCAGATGGGCTGTGTACAGGTGCAATGATCGGTAAGGTGCTCTGACAACTGATGCTTAAAGTTAGTGAGGGAGATAAGAGTCTCCAGCTTCAGAGATTTTTGCAGTTTGTTCCAGTCATTGGCAGCAGAGAACTGGAAGGAATGGCGGCCAAAGGAGGTGTTGGCTTTGGGGATGACTAGTGAGATATACCTGCTGGAGCGCATACTACGTGTGGGTGTTGCAATGGTGACCAATGAGCTAAGATATGGCGGGGATTTGCCTAGCATTGATTTATAGATGGCCTGGAGCCAGTGGGTTTGGCGACGAATATGTAGTGAGGACCAGCCAACAAGAGCGTACAGGTCACAATGGTGGGTAGTATATGGGGCTTTGGTGACAAAACGGATGGCACTGTGATAGACTACATCCAATTTGCTGAGTAGAGTGTTGGAGGCTATTTTGTAAATGACATCGCCGAAGTCAAGGATCGGTAGGATAGTCAGTTTTACGAGGGCATGTTTGGCAGCATGAGTGAAGGAGGCTTTGTTGCGAAATAGGAAGCCGATTCTAGATTTAACTTTGGATTGGAGATGCTTAATGTGAGTCTGGAAGGAGAGACACCTAGGTATTTGTAGTTGTCCACATACTCTAGGTCAGACCCATCGAGAGTAGTGATTCTAGTCGGGTAGGCGGGTGCCAGCAGCGTTCGATTGAAGAGCATGCATTTAGTTTTACTTGTGTTTAAGAGCAGTTGGAGGCTACGGAAGGAGTGTTGTATGGCATTGAAGCTCGTTTGGAGGTTTGTTAACACAGTGTCCAATGAAGGGCCAGATGTATACGAAATGGTGTCGTCTGCATAGAGGTGGATCTGAGAATCACCAGCAGCAAGAGCGACATCCTTGATATACACAGAGAAAAGAGTCGGCCCAAGAATTGAACCCTGTGGCACCCCCATAGAGTCTGCCAGAGGTCCAGACTACAGGCCCTCTGATTTGACACATTGAACTCTATCTGAGAAGTAGTTCGTGAACCAGGCGAGGCAGTCATTTGAGAAACCAAGGCTATTTAGTCTGCCAATAAGAATGCGGTGATTGACAGAGTCAAAAGCCTTGGTCAGGTCGATGAAGACGGCTGCACAGTACTGCCTATTATCGATCACAGTTATAATATCGTTTAGGACCTTGAGCATGGCTGAGGTGCACCCATGACCAGCACGGAAACCGGATTGCATAGCGGAGACGGTACGGTGTGATTCGAAATGGTCGGTGATCTGTTTGTTAACCTGGCTTTCAAAAACGTTCGAAAGGCAGGGCAGGATGGATATAGGTCTGTAACAGTTTGGATCTAGAGTGTCACCCCCTTTGAAGAGGGGGATGACCGCAGCAGCTTTCCAATCTCTGGGGATCTCAGACGTTACGAAAGAGAGGTTGAACAGGCTAGTAATAGGGGTTGCGACAATTTCGGCGGCTAATTTTTGAAAGAAAGGGTCCAGATTGTCTAGCCCAGATGATTTGTAGGGGTCCAGATTTTGCAGCTCTTTCAGAACATCAGCTGTCTGAATTTGTGTGAAGGAGAGGCGGGGGCAAGTTGCAGCGGAGGGTGCAGAGCTGGTGGCCGGGGTAGTGGTAGCCAGGTGGAAAGCATGGCCAGCCGTAGCAAAATTCTTGTTGAAATTCTCGATTATTGTAGATTTATCGGTGGTGATAGTGTTTCCTAGCCTCAGTGCAGTGGGCAGCTGGGAGGAGGTGCTCTTATTCTCCATGGACTTAACAGTGTCCCAAAACTTTTTGGAGCTAGTGCATTTGTTTGAAAAAGCTAGCCTTTGCTTTCCTAACTGCTTGTGTATATTGGTTCCTAACTTCCCTGAAACGTTGCATATCGCAGGGGCTATTCGATGCTAATGCAGTACGCCACAGGATGTCTTTGTGCTGGTCAAGGGCAGTCAAGTCTGAGGAGAACCAGGGGCTATATCTGTTCTTAGTTCTGAATTTTTTGAATGGGGCATGCTTATTTAAGATTGAGAGGGAAGCACTTTTAAAAGAACAACCAGGCATCCTCTACTGATGGAAGGAGATCGATATCCACCCAGGATACCTGGGCCAGGTCAATTAGGAAAGTGTTTTAGGGAGCGTTTGACAGTGATGAGGGGTGGTCATTTGACTGCAGACCCGTTACGGATGCAGGCAATAAGGCAGTGATCGCTGAGATCCTGGTTGAAGACAGCGGAGGTGTATTTAGAGGGTAAGTTAGTCAGGATGATATCTATAAGGGTGCCCATGTTTACGGATTTAGGGTTGTACCTGGTAGGTTCCTTGATAATTTGTGTGAGATTGAGGGCATCTAGTTTGGATTGTAGGATGGCCAGGGTGTTAAGCATATCCCAGTTTAGGTCACCAAGCAGTACGAACTCTGAGGATAGATGGGGGCAATCAGTTCACATATGGTGTCCAGGGCACAGCTGGGGGCTGAGGGGGGTCTGTAGCAAGCGGCAACAGTGAGAGACTTATTTCTGGAAAGGTGGATTTTTAGAAGTAGGAGCTCAAACTGTTTGGGCACAGACCTGGATAGTATGATAGAGCTCTGCAGGCTAACTCCACCCCCTTTGGCAGTTCTATCTAGACGGAAAATGTTGTAGTTGGGGATGGACATTTCTGAATTTTTGGTGGCCTTCCTAAGCCAGGATTCAGACACTGCTAGAACATCAGGGTTGGCGGAGTGTGCTAACGCAATGAATAACTCAAACTTAGGGAGGAGGCTTCTGATGTTAACATGCAAAAAAACAATGCTTTTACGGTTACAGAAGTCAACAAATGATAGCTCCTGGGGAGTAGGAGTGATACTGGGGGCTGCAGGGGTTAACCTCTACATCACCAGAGGAACAGAGGAGGACTACAATAAGGATATGGCTAAAGGCTTTAAGAACTGGTCTTCGAGTGCGTTGGGTACAGAGAATAAAAGGGGCAGATTTCCGGGCGTTGTAGAATAGATTCAGGGCATTATATACAGACAAGGATATGAGTACAGTGGAGGTAAACCTAAGCGTTGGGTAACAATGAAAGAGATAGCATCACTGGGGGCACCGATTGAGCCGGTCTCCGCGTGTATGGGGGGGTGGAACAAAGGAGCTATTTGAGGCAGTACTAAAACTACATACTGTGTACTTATCGTACTACATACTATTTAGCACGTACTGTTTAGTAAAAACGAATGCAGTAAGCAACAAAATCAGCATACTAGTATCATCCTACTGAGAATGTGTCATCTAATGCACAGTTGTGTTGATTCCCGCCTTTCCTTCATTGTGGTACAGCGAGTCCCTCAGCCTATTATCAGCTGTTGTCAAAACACACATGGGTCTGGAAAGACGATTCTCTTCCTCAAGTGTGCAGTGAATTCTACTAGATGAAAAGGCAAAATGAGTATGACATCCTGGCATTTAAAGTATACTACATTTAAAAAATGTCATATACTATAAAAATAATTTCTTGCATACCCAAAATGCCTACTATTTAGAATGCAAGTACGGATATTTCAGACACGCCCACTGACCGATTGCATTAAAAACTAACTCTACCTGATCGACTGACTGGGATGCCATTCCCCTCCTCTCCTCCAGGGGTGTCCCTCTTGGCCTGGTTGCTCTGCTGCCGCAGGATCCGGCTCCTCTTCATGGGCAGTGGAGGGGCCTGGTCTGGACTCCCAGACTGCTGGATGGAGGCCCGGGATGGTTTGGGCTTGACCGTGGGGGCCCTCCTGGGCCCTCGGATCCGGAGAGGAGGATTGATGATGGTGCCATTGGGAGTTGGTGTAGCATATCCCATGGTGGTTGGTGTAGTCTCTGGGTGGCTGAACTTGCTCACAATGCTCTTGACTTTACCTCTGGAATTGCTGGCTGTGCTGCCCCTCTCTCCGAGTTGGGAGGGGATGGAGGGGGCTCCGTTGGAGGGAGGGGGTTTCCTAGAGATGGGGGGCCGGGGTTTGGCCTCCGGTCTGGGGGGTAAGGGGGATGTGGGGCGTATGGAAGGTTCCGGGAGGGACATAGTGGAGGGTGGTCTGTATTTTCGGGAGTATTCCAATCTGAGCCCTGACCTGTCAGGAGGTCAGGCTTTCAGGTCAAAGGTCAGTTTGGGTGTGTCATTTTCACCTGGAGAGGACAAAGAGAGAGACTGAATACAGCATGTCTGAATGAGGACAGTCTAGTTTCGCACTACTAGGGTCATTATACTGTTTTATGTTCTCAGGTCTGATATTCGGCAATACAACCATTATAAGTATTTAATATGACAGTAATAAACATTTTCATACACACACACACACATCACAAGAAACAGAGCATCCTTTTGCAATCAAATCCAAATAATTTAATAGAGTTCTCTGAGCTCTGTCGCTGCAGTAAAGATTCCTAAGTTAAAGAAAGAAAGGAATGATAACTTTGTCCTGGTGAGAGAGAGGATTGGAACTTTGGACCGGAAGGAGGAGGCACACCTTCCATTCTGATAAACCTGCTAACCACAGATCAATAACCATGATAATGCTATAGGACAAGTGTGTCTGTAAAATAGACCCAGTAAATTCAGGGAGTGCCATTTCCCCAAGGCATGTCGATAATAAATGGATAGCTAACATCACCTCCTATACATACAGTACACTGATAATTTGTCTACAGCACAAATAGCAAATATGAGTTACAGTTAAACACATATTGCAAGCATGCCACCTAGAATAATAATTATACGGCTTCCAACTAGGAAAACAGGTTACGTAATGAGTTTCACAATAGGAAGCTCAACAATAACCAGAGCAAATCTCCTTAATGATTTATGCCAGAGTCCATTCAGCCATTTTAAGCTTGTTAATGAACAACAGCAAAGTAACGGAGAGAGAGACCGAGACATTTATATTTGGAGGAGAAAGGGGAGGAAGACAAGAAAAAGATTAGAAACAGGGAAATTACTGTACCATTTTGGAATGGATCATGTTGTGAAATCAAATAAAAATGTATTCATCACATGCTTTGTAAACAACAGGTGTAGACCAACAGTGAAATGTTGACTTACTTACGGGCCCTTCCCAACAATGCAGAGAGAAGAAAATAGAGAAATAATAGAAAAGTAAAACACATAATAATAAAAGATGCATAATGAGTAACGATAACTTGGCTATATACAAGGGGTACCAGTACTGAGTCCATGTGCAGGGGTACGAGGTAATTGAGGTAGATATGTACATATAACTAGGAATAAAGTGACCGATAGTAAACAGTACCAATAGCATATGTGATGATTCAAAAAAGTTAGTGCAAAAAGGGTCGATGCAGATAGTTAACTAAATAGCTACCCATACTATTCAACTAACTATTTACCAGTCTTATGGCTTGGGGGGTAGAAGCTGTTCAGGGTCCTGTTGGTTCCAGACTTGGTGCATCGGTAACGCTTGCCGTGCGGTAGTAGAGAAAACAGTCTATGACGACTTGGGTGGCTGTAGTCTCTGACACCGCCTGGTATAGAGGTCCTGGATGGCAGGGAGCTCAGCCCCAGTGATATACTGGGCCGTACGCACTATCCTCTGTAGCACCTTATGGTCAGATGCCAAGCAGTTGCCATACCAAAAGCGGTGACACAGCCAGCCAGTCAAGATGCTCTCAATGGTGCAGCTGTAGAACTTTGAGGATCTGAGGGTCCATTTCAAATCTTTTCAGCCTCCTGACGTCGAAGAGGCATTGTTGTGCCCTCTTCACGGCTGTGTTGGTGTGTTTGGACCATGATAGATCCTTACTGATGTGGACGTCGAGGAACTTGAAGCTCTCGACCCGCTCCACTACAGCCCTACATTTCCTGTAGTCCACGATTAACTAATTTGTCTTTATGACATTGAGGGAGAGGTTGTTGTCCTGGCGCCACACTGCCAGGTCTCTTGCCTATAGGCTGTTTCATTGTCGTCTGTGATCAGGCCTACCACCGTTGTGATGATGATGTTGGAGTTGTGCGCGGCCACGCAGTACTGGGTGAACAGGGAGTACAGGAGGGGACTAAGTACACACCCATAAGGGGCCCCCATGTTGAGAGTCAGCGTGGTGGATGTGTTGTTGCCGACCCTCACCCACTGGGGGCGTCCCGTCAGGAAGTCCAGGATCTGCAGAGGGAGGTGTTCAGTCCCAGGGTCCTTCGTTTAGTGATGAGCTTGGAGGGCACTATGGTGTTGAACGCTGAGCTGTAGTCAATGAAAAGCATTCTCACATAGGTGTTCCTTTTGTCCAAGTGGCAAAGGGCAGTGTGGAGTGCAATAGAGATTGCATCATCTGTGGATCTGTTGGGGCGGTATGCGAATTGGAGTCATGTGCTTTGGCCAATAAAAAGATAACACACTGTAATGACATTACAGTTCCATGTGTCAATGCACTCTGAACCCATCTCTACCACTTGTGGCTAGTTACAGTAAGAACCCCTTCATTGAAGAAAGACATGATCAAATGTTACCCTGGAAGAATTTAAGTCATAACCACAATGTGAATACTCGCTAAGGGTGTGTGCACCGCAAACATTCTGAACGGATGATCAGGCATCGCATTTGATACTCTGTAAGGGCTCGGTACATGACATTCAATAACCTCATTCCTTACATACACTACATTCATTCAAAACAGCTGAGGGAAGTATACCTCCTTTTCTGTTCCCTTCTTTCTATAAAAAGGGAAAAAGTTGATGTCATGAACAAACTAATTTCATTGCGAGGTCATTCAAGACACCAAAACAGCAGTTAGATAGCCACAGCTCTTGCCATATTAAACCAAAAGAGAGATTAGGTTAGTCACCATACCAATTACTCATCAGCCTATACAGCAAGGCTTCTCTATAGGGTGGGTATTGCATCACTCTCTCTAACTGCAGTGTGATCATAGATCTGTACAGATTCCAATGGCTCACCTGTATCCATATTTCTGCATGAACGATTGCCTAAGGCACACTTTCACACTTGACACTTGACTTGAAACCCCGAGACTCCTTCAGCACATAACACCAACTTCGACTTGTTGACGGCTTTCAACTTGATGTGTCAGTGTGGGTGAATTCTGGTTCCAGCTTTAGCCTCTGGTTTTGATTAACAATGGAAGTAGGAGTGGCTGCTTGTTGGTAATGAACATACACAAAGAACTGATCGACACATACAGTCTGTATTATGTCTCCTTAAGTGTACACCCCTCTGCCTGTCTGTGACCAACCATCAGTATGGAGAACTATTGTCCACTCTTGCTTTCTGACCTGTTTCAGTCAATAGCCGCATTATTCTGTGTTTCAGGCAGGCAGGCAGACAGGCTATCAGGTCTAGCTCACTAGGCCAGTCTTTCACTCTGTCAAAACGTTCAGCCATTGTATCTCTCAATCAATCCTGGAGAGCCCCAGTGTGCACCGACCCACTCAGTTTTTTAAGATTGATTTTCATTGTGTTATCCATTCAGTTTGGCAGTCCAGCTGACGATCCTAAGTGCTTTAGTGGACCTCCATCCATTAACCACATGCATTCTGTGTGTGTGTGTGTGTGTGTGTCTGTGTGTGTGTGTGTGTGTGTGTGTGTGTACATGGCCATCTGCTCTTAAGTGTCACAGGACGGGGGCTTTAGGAAGAGAAATCTAGAGCACTGGACACAGCGTCTAGGGAAGAACTGACAATAGCCATTATAAACAATTCCGGCTCTCTATGTCTGTTTGTCAGGAAGAGCGGAAAAGGTGTGTTTTGACAGGAAGGAAACACACACACAACACTGGCTCGTAGTTGAATTTGTACACACAAAAATATTCATATTCATGTTTCAAACCTTAGAGTTTATTCAAGGTTATGAAAATTGTTAATGAAAAACTGTACAAGAAAAAACATTTTTATATACTGTCTTGGACCATGTATGCAATTAAAGTTTGCAATCTGAATTAAAGTGCAACAAATGTCACAACCACATTTGATGTGTCAATTGATTTTGTCAAACAACTGTCAAAATCGGAGGCAGCCAGACAGTGAATCAAGTGCATACTACTCACCAGTAGATTCGCATCCACGTCCGTTAACAATCATCCAACGACAATCCAGAAGTGTTAATGTAAAATTGTTGATTTGCCAAAACCCCTGTCAACGATTAGAAATCGTCCTCCTCCGATTAAAAAACAAGTATATTTAATCAGTCGCGGCTACACTAGTCAGATTATGCATCAACTTCACTAATTCCACAAAAATGTAAAATCCATAAAAGACAATGTAGGGTACACATACACGGTAATAATAGTACAACGAACTATAGTGTGCTCTGAGTATTCCTTATTGTTTCGCTGTAGGTCCTAGTATGCTTTTATCTGTGCGGTTCGGGAGCGATGTCATCATTGCCAGTTCTTTGTTTCCTGCTTGCGTTTGCGTGCGTGCGCCTGCTGTCCGCCCGCGAGTGTGGGGTTGTGCCCCCCCGAGATTTATCCACCCCACTCCCCCTCCCTTTCTCCCCTCTGTCTCCCTCTCCTCTCACAACACAAACAGAACACAACTCGCCCTTTCAATGGACTAAACATCCTTTCAAAACAACACACTGACACACTGGTGGCGAGATATTATAATAGAAGTGCTTGAGCAGCATTTTCAGGAATAGGCTAAATAGCCTAACTCCTTTATAAATAGGCCTACTTTTTTTTAAATAATATAGATCTTCTCTTTCTTTTTGTATTACTATAGGTTCCTTACTACCATACTTCAGAATTACATAGACCCAGATGATTAATTTTGTAATGCTTATTAATTTCCTTCCGTGCAGGTGCACAAATTGACAGGTGCTCAAGAGTTCCTTGTGAGAGTGTCTGTCTCTGGTCCCGCCCCTCGACATAGCCTTAAACCCCTATTCATTTTTTTTTGTTTACTACTCTCATCTAAAATAATAATAATAATAATAATAACAATAATCTGGAGTCTGTAGAAACGTTTACACTGTATTTTTGACTGTCATATCATACTCATAATAATCTATTGGGTTATAGTCCAGTCTTGGTTATTCTATGCATTTTTTTATTGAATAGCCATACCATTTCTAATTGTCTCACTTTATACATTGAAACCATGTTTTCCAAATATTACAGTGCTATTCTATGGAGGACTAAAAGTGCCACAATTAAATAAATAAATACACCATTAAATAATTACTTAAATGTGTCATTAATTAATTAAAATTAGAATTAAATACATAAATGTGTTATTAAATGTGTCATTAATTAATTCAAATACCGATTCATTTTATGTAAAATACATATATAATAATTTCACTATTTACATTTACATTTCATGGTCCTGCGTTGGAGTGCTTCCTGAATTACTTAAAACTGTCAAACTGACCCATCAAAAGTTGGTAGGCGGAACCTAACGCCTGATTGGTTACCCTCTGCATCAAGCCAAGACAAATCAATTCCGGATAATGTCAGCAGGTCCTGCTTCTACATCCTCTGCTAAGTTTAAAATGTCTCTAACCAACTCCCTGGAAAGTTCACGGAGATCCTCCATTGTCTCTATCCAGGTTGGCCTACTCTACTTCAGACCAAAGCAATGGATCAGACTAGATTCGCGTTAGCCCCGCCCACTGACTTTGATGGGTCAGTTTGACAGTTTTAAGTAATTCATGAATCACTGCAATGCAGGATCATGAAATGTAAATGTAAATAGTGAAATAATTATATATGTATTTTACATAAAATGAATCGGTATTTGAATTAATTAATGATACATTTAATTACACATTTATGTATTTAATTCTAATTTTAATTAATTAATGACACATTTAAGTAATTATTTAATGGTGTATTTATTTATTTAATTGTGGCACTTTTAGTCCTCCATACTATTCATGTATGCAGTTTGTGTTTAAAATTAAAGATTGCATACAATGAATGAGAAGTAGATCCGGTCAATTACATGGCAATCTGAAAAGTTGCTACATTTTCAGAAGGTGGAGGCAAAGCATCTCTTCATAAAGTGCTGTGGGATTTGTGCATTTTCCTAATCATTAATAATTCGATCAGATCAATTGGGTCATTTTATTCTATATGCAATGGCTATTTTATGAATGGCGAGAGAAAATGCATTACGTAGCCTAGTACGTATGTAATGCATTTTTCCATTGCATAGAATAAAATACGTAGTTAGGCAGAGAACGCTCTATTTAACTAGGGTAGCTACTCCTGCCGCGAGAAGATACTGCGGCTTTTCAGTGGTGAGGGAGTGGTGTTTTCTTTGGGGTTGACGTTGTGTGCGTGAAAGGAAAAGTCTAAATGGCATCCTTGGGACGTCCCAACTCTGACGTCACCCCATTGAAGTTTAAATTTAAAACGTTACGGTTAGGGTTATGGTTCAAGGGGTTAGTGTTAGTGTTAGGATAAGGTTTATGGTAAGGGTTAGGGCAAGGGTTAGGTTTAGGGCAAGGGTAGGGGTAAGGTTAAGGTTAAGGTAGGGACGTCCCAAGGATTGCAGATAGCACTAACCGTTCGTGAAACCCCTCCGCCGCTAGGTGAAACGCTTTCAGACCAATCAGTGGTTGAATGTGTGAGGGAGCGTGTGTTTACATCACCTGTCAAATTGATGAGTATTTAAATTTCGACTTACAAGGTACGATTACTTACACGTTAAAATATGTGTGTTGTTATACAATATGTCATTTCAATGTAAGAGATTGCAAGTATTGTGGAGAACATGATCACAACAACGTACAGTAGCTAGAAAATGTGTAACAACAACAGCTAGAGTTAGCAGTACAGCTAGCGATGCAAAATACTGTTACCGCTATCTGGCTGGCTAGTTAGCTAATGTTAGCTAGCTAATCCATATGCATTATAGCTGGCTTGTTAGCCGATTATCAGTCAACGTTAGCCAGTCAGCCACACTGTTAGTTAGCTGAATGCCTAACGTTAGCTACAGTAGCTAGCTTATGTTCATTATGTAGCTAGTAAGCTAGCTACTGTAGCTAGCTACCTAGCACAAAATTGGCTAGCTATCATAGATGAAACAATAAATGCTTAGTTATGCGCATTATTCAGCACTGTACTAGTTCACTACCCACTCTACCTGTGTGTGTGTGTTTTACACGTAGTGAACAATGTGTTGTTGTTTGTTAACTCTGTTTGCATGTCAACAATGCTGTTGATCAGATTTAAGTTTAAAGCTCAGAGCAGTGTGTGTGTGTGTGCGCGCGAGCATGCGTGTATGCTGTATGTGTGGGCTGTACGTGTGTGTGTGTGTGTGTGTGTGTGTGTGTGTGTGTGTGTGTGCGCGTGTACTGTGAGTCTCATCCCAACGGGAGGTAGTCGGTGCTCCTTTCTGCTCACAGGCAGAGGGTCCAATTAGGCCGTCAGGTCTTCAGGGCACACACACACACACACACACACACACACACAGGTGTCCAGGGAAGGGACCAGAACAGGAGGAGAAGAGAGAGGGAGTCTATCCATAGTACCATCTATTTACTCCTGCTGCTGCTAGCCCCTGGACATGAACCACCACAGCAGGGGCCTGGGCCCTACCCTTGAGGGCTAGCAAAGTCACTGGGGCTGGGGGGTGAGGTAGCTTGTTGTTTTGGTGTGAGGGAGAGATAAAAAGATAACGAGAGGGAGGGGAAGGAAAGAAGGGGGATGGGGTAGAAGAGGGGAGTAAGCCAGAGAGAAAGGTGAAAGGTGTGTTTGATAAATATTTGCTTGTCAGTGTTTTCCCCTCTGTGTTTGTTAGTAATGTTTTGACCAGCCCCCACACTGTGCTTTTGGTTCTTCTATCCTCTGTATGTCTCTGTCTTTCCCTCCAGGACCAAACCCACAGACTCTCACTGAAGCGATTACGGTAGCCACCAACAGGACGGACTCTCTGGTAACTGACCTTTTGCAGGTGAGTGCGGGTCTCTCTGGCCAGGAAAGGTGGATAGCTATTTGCACAAAGTTTAAATGCATGTCTTCCATTATATGTTATCTCTGTATTTCCTTCACGAGATCGAAACCGTACTCTGTTGTAACTCAAGGTTTAGCCTGTAGATGTGTTTTAGTTGATGTATTTTCCATCAAGGTGTGTGTGGTTTTAATTGGTGCTGAACCACTACCCTAGTGGGAGTCTCTCTCTCTTCTGGGACTAGAAACCCACTGAGGATATAATACTGGAGAGAACAGTAGGCCTATATTATAAAGAGAGTGCAGTACATGAGGAGAGGGGTGGTCTAGAGAACACTTTATCAGGCTATTAGTGATCAAATAATTGGCTACAGTCAGTATTTATGGTGGGCTGTCACACTTGAGTAAGCAGTTTGGGATCCACAAACGTATGGCTCAGTGTTTAATACTATCCCCTTCCTGTGTCTTTTTCACCTTCTCTTCCAGTGGAATAACTCTTGAACCATGAGCTCTGTGGCTGTGTTGACCCCGGAGAGCTTTGCTGAGCACCGCAGTGGGATCAAAGACCAGGAGATGACAGGTATTATACTGATCTGGGACCAGTGGATAGACTCCTATTTATTCACCCTTATTGGAGTTGCCAACAACCGGATGCATATTTGAATGCAACCTTTGGACAAGAAAACGCATTTAGGCTTTAGCTAAGTCTGTATGGATTTTGGATTGTGTTTTGTGTGACGGTTTGGCTTTTTCTGCCTTTGAGGTTGCATGAATCTCTCTTTCTGCCTTTTTCTACCTCTCTGTTTCCATGTCTCTGTCTCTCTCCATCCGTCCACCCCTCCCCTCCTTCAAGGTGGTGTACCCGAGGATGAAGCCTATATCCCCACCTACCTGGAGGCCTTCCCTCCCCTCCCTGAGAATAAGGGCGCTCCGGGGGACAAGTCTGGAGAGCCTGCCGGGGTGTGGGGCTCCAAGATCAGACCCATCAAAGCCTCTGTCATCACCCAGGTAACGCGCACATTCGCACAAGCACACGTACACACGGTCTGTTTTGGCCTCACCATCACACCACCTTCTCGTTCCTCCCCCTCTCCTTCTCCCAGGTGTTCAACGTACCCCTGGAGGAGCGGCGCTACAAGGACAACAGCCAGTTTGGCGACGGGGGCGAGGAGGCCAAGGTGTGCCTGGACATCATGCAGCGGACGGGGGCTCACATCGAGCTGTCGCTGGCCAAGGACCAGGGCCTCTCCATCATGGTCACTGGGAAACTGGACTCTGTCATGAAGGCCCGCAAGGAGATCGTGGCTCGGCTGCAGACACAGGTTCAGATTTTAGTTCTTCTATTTTCTCCTTTTGTTTATAAACCCAATCGCCATCCCCAGGTGCAGAACTTTATAAATGCTCTCAATATTCAGATTAGGGTTGGACGGTATATCGATGTAATATCGATCATATTTATCGTTATTGCGATATACATTCGCGTTTATCTCTCTCCATCCATCCCTCCTCCCCTCTCCCCTCCCTCCACCCATCCTCCCCTCCCTTGTTCCCAGGCTTCGGCCACGGTGGCCATCCCCAAGGAGCACCACCGATTTGTGATCGGTAAGAACGGTGAGAAACTCCAGGAGCTGGAACTGAAGACAGCCAGTAAGATCGCCATCCCCCGATCTGACGACCCCAGCCTCAACATCAGGATCACAGGCACCAAGGAGGGCATCGAGAAGGCTCGTCACGAGATACTGCTGATATCAGCCGAACAGGTCAGAGGGGGCCAGGGGTCAAAGTGCTGGTGATGATGATTATGAAGATGCTTCGGTTTTCAACAATATGTTAATTCTTTTTATATACTAATTATTAGGGCCAGGACGATGCCAATATCGCGACACTCGTTAGTATCCTGGCAAGGGGAAAAAAACACGAAGTGGCTTTAACTTCTTTAGGAAAACAGCCCTAATGTTGGAAACAAACATCATTATGTTGTCATCCAGAGTCACATTTATTTATTTTCCAAGCTATAGCACACACTATTTTACATACAGCAGGTTTTTAAAGGACAAAAAGAGTTTGGTCCGCTTTGTGTTTTTATTTTTGCCATGGAAAAAATATTGCGATACTGGTATCATCACAGCCCTACTAATGATATGGCATGAAACCCAAACAAAAAGACCCAGATTGATATGGTTATGTATGGTGTAGATATGATATGTGTGTGTGTGTGTGTGTGTCAGATGCAATACTTGATCGTTTCTATATTTCTCCATCTCCTGTCCTCCAGGACAAGCGAGCAGTGGAGCGTCTCTCCCTGGAGAAGGTGTTCCATCCGTTCATCGCCGGGGCCCACAACCGTCTGGTCCAGGAACTGTGCCAGGAGACGGGGGCCCGCATCAGTATCCCCCCGCCCAGCCTGCACAAGGACGAGATCGTCATCACCGGGGAGAAGGAGGCTGTCGCCCTCGCCATCAGCCGCATACGGGCCATCTACGACGAGAAGGTGTGTGTGTGAGAGAGAGAGAGCTGACCCGAACTTGACGTCACCACATAATATCTAAGCAAATGTATCACTGAATGACATTGGCTTACCTTTTGTCACTGTTTGATGTCAAAGTTGGGTTTGAGAGGGAGCGGGTTGCTTAGGAACCACAATAAAAAAACCTACACAGGCATGCTAGCTATCCACTGTAGGAACCTACAAAACAGCAGGAAGTAGTCAGTCAGTCATAGAACATCAACACAAATTGATTTTTCTCCCTCTGTATGTGCCTGTGTGTGCACGCCTGTTCAAAACGCACCAGCCTGGGGGTGTTGTGGTTGATGCTGGTCTGTATGGATCTGTGTGTCTTCGTCTGTTTCTGTGAAACTGTGTCTGTGTTAGACAATAGAGGTTCATGGTGAGGGATGGAGGGAGGGATGGATGGAGAGAACCATGGAGAGGGATACATTGTGGAGCTGTAGTGGGTTGATGATACAGAGCAGGCAGAGATAATGGGTGTGGATTCTAGTGGAATAGAAAGACAACAAGATGGGAATGCTAATGTTATTTTACTGCATAAAACTGTACTGTATCTGAGACTAGCTCTCTCTCTCTCACACGCACACTTCGTCTCTCTTTTATCTGTCACTCTCAATCTCTTTCCTTTCTCCTCTGTCACCCCTCCATTTTCCTCCCCCTCACCTCCCTCTTCCTCCCCCTCTCCTTCCCTCCATCCTCCAGAAGAGAAAGACCACCACCATCTCAGTGGAGGTGAAGAAGTCGCAGCATAAGTACATTGTGGGACCTAAAGGCAACAGCCTGCATGAGATCATGGAGACCACAGGGGTTTCTGTGGAGATGCCCCCGCTGGACTCCGGCTCGGAGACTATCATCCTGAGGGGCGAGCCGGACAAGCTGGGACCTGCACTCACACAGGTCTATGCCAAGGTGATTGGAGGAGAAGGAGGAAGTGGGAGAGGAGAGGAGTAATTATCTTGTTTGCTGATTGGTTGTCTGGTACACTATGTGAGAGAGAGAGAGCTATACAGCGTGTGCGTGTCTGATCCCAATTGCCTCTCTGTCTGCAGGCCAAGAGTGTGATGGTGGTGGAGGTGACGGCCCCGGCCTGGCTCCATCGCTTCATCATCGGAAAGAAGGGACAGAACATCGGACGCATCACACAGCAGCTACCCAAGGTGAGAGAGAGAGATGAAAGGAGGGACTGATGGGGGCAGAGAGGGAGAGAGAGATGAAATTATTCAAAATAAAATTGGAGAGCGAGGCGGGATAGGGGGAGAGATGGAGGGTTGTGGCGAAATATTTGGTTGTGGCCAGAAACATGACTTTATACAGTACCAGTCAAAATTCTGGACACACCTACTCATTCAAGGGTTTTTCTTTATTTTTTACTATTTTCTACAGTGTACAATAATAGTGAAGACCTCAGAACTATGAAATGACACATGGAATCATGTAGTAACCAATTTTAGATTCTTCAAAGTAGCCACCCTTTGCCTTGATGACAGCTTTGCACACTCTTGGCATTTTCTCAACCAGCTTCACCTGGAATGCTTTTCCAACAGTCTTGAAGGAGTTCCCACATATTCTGAGCACTTGTTGGCTGCTTTTCCTTCACTCTGGGGTCCAACTCATCCCAAACCATCTCACTTGAGTTGAGGTCGGGTGATTGTGGAGGCCAGGTCATCTGATGCAGCACTCCATCACTCTCCTTCTTGGTCAAATAGCCCTTACACAGCCTGAAGGTGTGTTGGGTCATTGTCCTGTTGAAAAACAAATGATAGTCCCACTAAGCGCAAACCAGATGGGATGGCGTGTCGCTGCAGAATGCTGTGGTAGCCATGCTGGTTAAGTGTGCCTTGAATTCTAAATAAATCACGACAGTGTCACCAGCAAAGCACCATCACACCTCCTCCTCCATGCTTCACGGTGGGAACCACACATGCGGAGATCATTCGTTCACCTACTCTGCGTCTCACAAAGACATGGCGGTTGGAACCAAAAATCTCCAATTTGGACCAGACCAAAGGACAGATTTCCACCAGTCTAATGTCCATTGCTCGTGTTTCTTGGCCCAAGCAAGACTCTTCTTCTTATTGGTGTCCTTTAGTAGTGGTTTCTTTGCAGCAATTCGACCATGAAGGTCTGATTCATGCAGTCTCCTCTGAACAGTTGATGTTGAGATGTGTCTGTTACTTAAACTCTGTGAAGCATTTTTTTTGGGCTGCAATCTGAGGTGCAGTTAACTCTAATTAACTTATCCTCTGCAGCAGAGGTAACTCTGGGTCTTCCTTTCCTGTGGCGGTCCTCATGAGCCAGTTTCATCATAGCGCTTGATGGTTTTTGCGACTGCACTTGAAAAAACTTTCAAAGTTCTTGAAATTTTCCGTATTGACCTACCTTCATGTCTTAAAGTAATGATGGACTGTCGTTTCTCTTTACTTATTTGAGCTGTTCTTGCCATAATATGGACTTGGTCTTTTACCAAATAGGGCTATATTCTGTATACCCCCCCTACCTTGTCACAACACAACTGATTGGCTCAAACGCATGAAGAAGGAAAGAAATTCCACAAATATTAACTTTTAACAAGGCACACCTGTTAATTGAAATGCATTCCAGGTGACTACCTCATGAAGCTGGTTGAGAGAATGCCAAGAGTGTGCAAAGCTGTCATCAAGGCAAAGGATGGCTACTTTGAAGAATCTCAAATATAAAATATATTTTGATTTGTTTATTTAATAGTTTTGATGTCTTCACTATTATTCTACAATGTTGAAAATAATAAAAATAAAGAAAAACCCTTGAATGAGTAGGTGTGTCCAAACTTTTGACTGGTACTGTATATTTAGGTGGTCAACAACAACAACAATAACACCACATACCCGCCTGGGAAATGCTTGGCTCAGACACATGTTTGTCAGTAGCTCTACTAGTCTGACCTAGGGTACACCCTATCTCTATATAGTGCACTACTTATGGATTACTTTGAAAAAGCCTGATATACCTGCTGCTCTCCAGGGATTGGAGCTCTTTATGTCCCTAGCTACATTGAGACACACTTAGCTCACTGAGCTGACATATGGAGGGTGCCAGAACCAGATGACCCCTTTAAGTGGCTTGACCCCTGACCTTTAACCCCTGTGTGTTTAGGTTCACATTGAGTTCACAGACGGCGAGGAGCGGATCTGCCTGGAGGGCCCCACGGAGGAGGTGGAACAGGCCCAGGTTCAGATACAAGACATCATCAGAGACCTGGTGAGTTTGAGCCCCACCGCAGAGCTGCATGACAGCACCTAGTTCCCACCGCAGAGCTGCATGACAGCACCTAGTTCCCACCGCAGAGCTGCATGACAGCACCTTGTTCCCACCGCAGAGCTGCATGACAGCACCTTGTTCCCACCGCAGAGCTGCATGACAGCACCTTGTTCCCACCGCAGAGCTGCATGACAGCACCTTGTTCCCACCGCAGAGCTGCATGACAGCACCTTGTTCCAACTGCAGAGCTGCATTTTAACATCTCACTCTCACACACACAACTGATCAATATTGATTTATCGCTCAATAAGTTTTGTTCAAATGACATCAGCCCAGTCTTAACCCTCCAAAGAGCAAGTACAGGCAACCGTAGCAAAGAGAAACTCCCTAGATATGAGGACATCTTGCAAGGAACGAGACCATCTACTCTAACATGTAACCCTGTTTCCTTGTGTTAAGCTGGTGAGGATGGACTACACTGAGGTCAACATAGACCAACGCTTTCACAGACACCTCATCGGCAAGAACGGCGCCAACAGTGAGTACACACACCCGCACACACACACCCAGACCCACACACACACACACCCACACACACACACACACACACACACACACACACACACACACACACACACACACTTTAAATTATATAGTAATGTAAATCCCATGCTGTATTTTTCAGTTAACCGGATCAAAGAGCAGTACAAGGTGTCGGTGTGGATCCCCCAGGAGCCGGATCGAAGCGGCCTGGTCCGGATCGAGGGGGACCCCAAGGGGGTGCAGCTGGCACGCAGGGAGCTGATAGAGATGGTACAGAGGATGGTGAGGACAGGGGGTAGTAGGGGGGTGCCAACCTCTCCCATTAATTTGGGATAATGGCCTGGCAACTTGGATGAAGTCCATATTCAGTGGTGACAACTGTCCTTTTCCCTGGGCAGGAGAATGAGCTTACAAAAGACTTGATTGTGGAGCAGAAGTTCCACCGCACCATCATCGGCCAGAAGGGAGAGAAGATCAAAGAGGTTCGGGATAAGTTCCCAGAGGTAACAAGGTTCTATTTTTTTTGTCCCTTTATGATGTTAGGAATATAACTTCCCATTCTAGTGTAAAATCAGACTTATTTTGGACGCTCTCTTTCAGGTCATGATCAATTTCCCCGACCCGGCTCAGAAGAGTGACATTGTGCAGCTGAGAGGGCCCAAGAACGAGGTGGAGAAATGTGCCAAGTTTCTGGCAAAACTCATCGCAGACCTGGTACGACCTCACTGATTCATGCATTACTTCCTGTTTACAATGGACTACTTCTTGGTTACTCACCTCTCCTTTGTTTTTCTCTCTCTCAGATAGAGAACAGCTTCTCACTCTCCGTCCCCATCTTCAAACAGTTCCACAAAAACATCATCGGCAAAGGAGGTGCCAACATCAAAAAGGTGAGAGATTACATTTGTGTGAAGTCAAAAAGCTGGATTTGAAGAGTAGGACAAAATATTGGTCTATCTTGATAGTATCCATATATACAGAGAAGATTTTCAATATAGGTTATCGGTTACAAGTTTGCCGTTCTTATGACGTGTGTGTGTGTGTGTGTGTGTGTGTCTCTGCGTGTGTGTGTATGTGCGTGAGTCTCACAGATCCGTGAGGAGACCACCACTAAGATTGACCTGCCTACAGAGAACAGTAACAGTGAGATGATAGTGATCACTGGGAGGAAGAACCACTGTGAAGCAGCCAGAGACAAGATCCTAGCCATCCAGAGAGAACTGGTGAGAGAACACTGTGTGTGCATCTCTCTGTCTCTCTGTCTCTGTGTGTGTTTCCCTTGTCTCTTGCTGATTCTACTTTTATTTATATCTCTCTGTTTCGCTCTCTCTGTTTTGATGATTCAACCATTCCCCCTCCCTCCCTTCCTTTCTCTCTCCAGGCCAACATCAAGGAGTCAGAGGTGACCATCCCAGCCAAGCTCCACAACTCTCTGATAGGCTCTAAGGGCTGCCTGGTGCGGGCCATCATGGAGGACTGTGGCGGGGTGCACATCCACTTCCCCTCCGAGGGCTCTGGGTCAGACAGGGTGACCATCAGAGGGCCCGTCGTAGAGGTAGAGAGGGCCAAGAGACAGCTACTACAACTGGCTGAAGAGAAGGTGAGGGAGGGAAGGAGGGAGAGGAGGGAGGGAGGGAGAGGAGGGAGGGGGAGGAGGGAGGGAGAGGAGGGAGGGGGGAGGAGGGAGGGAGAGGAGGGAGGGAGGGAGAGGAGGGAGGGAGGGAGGAAGGGGGAAGGGGGGACAGAAGAGGTGGAGAGGGCCAAGAGACAGCTGCTGAAGGTGAGGGAGGAGGAGGGAACGGAGAAATAGCAGGCAGGTCTGTCCCCCACTGCTTAAAGAATTAGGCAGAATGTGGAAGTATTGGTTTCACATTTTTGGGTTTGATTGAATAGCACGAGTCTCTTACACCTCTCCTTTTTTCCTTTCCTCTCTTTCTCTCCTCTTTCTGCTCGTTTTACAGCAAGTGAACAACTTCACGGCGGAGCTGCAGGCCAAGCCGGAGTACCACAAGTTCCTGATTGGAAAGGGCGGGGTCAACATCCGTCGTGTGCGGGACAGGACGGGCGCTCGCATCATCTTCCCGTCTCCAGACGAGCCGGAGCAGGAGCTCATCACCATCGTAGGCAGGGAGGAGGCCGTCAGACTAGCCCAGAAAGAACTGGAGACACTCGTCAAAAACCTGGTACTAGTCCGGATGATTTTTGTTGAACAGAGTCATGCTCGATAGGGAGAAACAGAAGCAAGAGCTTTAAACAGAGGAGCTAGTCGAGTACCTTAACATGTTCAAGAGAGATATGAAACTGTGGATATTAACAGGATATAGAAAGGGAAGTTGAAATTATTTTGGAAAGAGCTTTTATTGATTTGAATGCATTATATATATTTTTTTGTTTGTCTTTAATTTACAAAGCTCAGCGGCGTGCTAACTACATTATTTTTCTACCCCTCTGTCTTACTGATCCCCCATCTTCCTCCTCTCCCTCATATTCCTTCCTCCTCCTCCCTGTCCCTTCTCCTCCCTCCCCGCTCTCTCTCAGGATGACATGGTGGAGGACAGCATGGTTGTGGAGACGCGGCACCACCGGCACTTTGTCTGCCGGCGGGGCCAGGTGTTGAGGGAACTGGCGGAGGAATACGGCGGCGTGGCGGTCAGCTTCCCCCGCACCGGGACTCACAGCGACCGCATCACACTGAAGGGGGCCAAGGACTGTGTGGAGGCAGCCAAACTAAGAATTCAGGAGATCATAGAGGATCTGGTAGGTACTAGGTTGGTGTGTGTTGGGAGGGAGTGTGTGTGGGGGTCTGGGGTTGTGTGTTCGATTTATGTTTATAATGTGTTCTGAAGTGTGTAGCCTTGATTGATTTAAACTCAAGCCGATATGTAAAATAGTTGGTAATACCACATGAACGACAACTCAGTACAGTAGCAAACAGGGGTTTTGTTGCCCGTTGTCTGATGGATAGCATGACAGACTTTATCTGCCTCTGTCATCATAATGGTCAAGTTCCTCCCCGATTTTACAGATCATACAATGCCTGGATAGGTAATTTAATATATCAGCTAACCAAATGAAATGATTTTTATCAGGATCCCCATTGGCCAATGGCGGCAGCTAGTCTTCCTGGGGTCCGACATATAAGGAGAAAGACATTACAGACAAAAAGACTACAATTGACACATTTAAAACATGAACATAGACATTACAGACATACATTTAAAACATGAACATAGACATTACAGACATACATTTAAAACATGAACATAGACATTACAGACATACATTTAAAACATGAACATAGACATTACAGACATACATTTAAAACATGAACATAGACATTACAGACATACAGTGCATTCGGAAAGTATTCAAACCCCTTCCCTTTTTCCACATTTTGTTACATTACAGCCTTATTCTAAAATGGATTAAATAGAAACATTTCCTCATCAATCTACACACAATACCCCATAATGACAAAGCGAAAACAGGTTTTTAGAAATGTTTGCAAATGTATTACCAATAAAAAACAGCTACCTTATTTACATAAGTATTCAGACCCGTTGCTATGACTCGAAATTGAGCTCAGGTTTAACTACAACTAAAGACACAAGTTTACACATTTAAATGTTATAGCAATCTGATGCCTGACTGCACAGTTGATGACGTGGCACGTAACCCTTGGTTGATGCAATGCAACGCCTGCGCATCTAGTCGTGCAGGCACTCGACCATTGTGTAGTCTGTTTTGATGACCATCTTCCTCCCTCCAGGAGGCCCAGGTGAGTGTGGAGGTGGCGGTCCCCCAGCGGTACCACAGGGCTGTGATGGGTCCTAAAGGCTGCAGGATCCAGCAGATCACCAGAGACCACGAGGTGCAGGTCAAGTTCCCAGAGAGAGACGACAATGCCAACAACACAGCAGGTCAGCCAAGGGGGTCTAGACACCATTTTACATCAGTTAACCCCCTAAGGTTGATGTATGCCCCCCTGGGGAAATCGAATTAGCATAAAACAACAATCCCCATATAAATCGGTCAGTTTAAGCTAGAGATATCTGTTTTTTTTGCATTGGCTGCGTCTCAATCCACCGCATCCGTCGATGTCGCACTTCCGCATCTGCGGTGAAACGTGACCGAGCTAGAGCGGTGTTTCTCAGACCATGAGACATCTCTCTATGGAAAGATGTGACTCTACCGTTTTGCTCTACGACCCCCACAAGCGTCTTGGGACTCGTCTGAAGTCGGTACAGCCGATCTGACAACTTCTGTCAGTAGCGTCCGAACAGTTTTGGCTACACACTAATATGATCCCTCTGTGGAAAGGTGAGACTCTCACAAACACGTACACTACCGTTCAAAAGTTTGGGGTCACTTAGAAATGTCCTTGTTTTCGAAAGGAAAGCAATTTTTCTGTCCATTAAAATAACGTCAAATTGATCAGAAATACAGTGTAGACATTGTTAATGTTGTAAATGGGTATTGTAGCTGGAAACGGTGGATTTTTTAAAGGAATATCTACATAGGCGTACAGAGGCCCATTAACAGCAACCATCAGTCCTGTGTTCCAATGGCACGTTGTGTTTGCTAATCCAAGTTTATCATTTTGAAAGGCTAATTGATCATTAGAAAACCCTTTTGCAATTATGTTAGCACAGCTGAAAACTGTTGTGCTGATTAAAGAAGCAATAAAACTGGCCTTCTTGAGACTAGTTGAGTATCTGGAGCATCAGCAATTGTGGGTTCGATTACAGGCTCAAAATGTCCAGAAACAAATAACTTTCTTCTGAAACTCGTCAGTCTATTCTTGTTCTGAGAAATTAAGGCTATTCCATGCGAGAAATTGCCAAGAATCTGAAGATCTCATACAACGCTGTGTACTACTCCCTTCACAGAACAGCGCAAACTGGCTCTAACCAGAATTGAAAGAGGAGTGGGAGGCCCCGGTGCACAACTGAGCAAGAGGACAAATACATTAGAGTGTCTAGTTTGAGAAACAGGCTCCTCACAGGTCCTCAACTGGCAGGTTCATTAAATAGTACCCGCAAAACACCAGTCTCAACGTCAACAGTGAAGAGGCGACTCCGGGATGCTGACCTTCTAGGCATAGTTGCAAAGAAAAAGCCATATCTCAGACTGGCCAATAAAAATAAAAGATTAAGATGGGCAGTCTGAGATATGGCTTTTTCTTTGCAACTCTGCCTAGAAGGTCAGCATCCCGGAGTTGCCTCTTCAATGTTGACGTTGAGACTCGTGATGAGCTCCTGCTCCGGCTCGTCTGGAGACGGGAAGATGATGCGAGCGCCCGTCCTGTCCCGCACACGACGGATGTTGACCCCGCCCTTTCCAATCAGGAACTTGTGGTACTCCGGCTTGGCCTGCAGCTCCACCGTGAAGTTGTTCACTTGCTGTAAAACGAGCAGAAAGAGGAGAGAAAGAGAGGAAAGGAAAAAGGAGAGGTGTAAGACTCAAAACTTTTGAACGGTAGTGTACATGTTGTTTGTTTTGCATTAGGATGCCCACAGGCCTCACAAGACTCATCTGAAGGTCCCCCGGTACCAGTTGAAAAAATGAATGGAAGATGCAGTATATGGAGACTGTTTAGTGCAAAAAATAAGGGGTTAAAAACATGTAAAACGATAACAAATGTTTCCTGATCTTTCTTATCTCTCAAAAATAGGACAGACACTTCAAAACAAACTTCCTTTAGATTTTTGTTTGGGGGGGGGCTATCTGTTGTTCCATGTAGTGAATCTCTTATTCAATGCATTTGTATTGGTTAATAGCAATAAGGCCCCAAAACAATTGTAATCAAAACAAATATTAACTTTTAAGAAGGCACACCTGTTAATTGAAATGCATTTCAGGTGACTACCTCATGAAGCTGGTTGAGAGAATGCCAAGAGTGTGCAACGCTGTCATCAAGGCAAAGGGTGGCTACTTTGAAGAATCTAAAATCTAAAATATATTTTGATTTGTTTAACACTTTTTTGGTTACTACATGATTCCATATGTGTTATTTCATAGTTCTGATGTCTTCACCATTATTCTACAATGTAGAAAATAGTACAAATATAGAAAAACCCATGAATGAGTAGGTGTGTCCAAATTTTTAACTGGTACTGTATATATTTGTTTTATACTTCAAGGGGTCTCAAAATTCAAAATGAAAGTGTTCTTGTTGCCATGGTGACGCCGCAGGTCAGGAGCCCCCTCCCCCTCGGGAGAACGGTGACGCCAGCCCGGAGTCGGAGTTTGTCCTTCGCAAGTGTGACATCATCACCATCTCGGGGCGGACGGAGAAGTGTGAGCTGGCAAAGATTGCCCTACTGGTAGAAACTGTCGCTTTTCTTTCTATTTTAAGATGTTCACTTTTCACATTCTGTTGGGAGAGGGCTGTGTCCATATTCTTTTCTCACTCTCTCTCCTTTCACCCTCCCTCCAGGCTCTGGTCCCAGTCACAGAGGATGTTAAGGTGTCCTTTGAGCTGCACCGTTACATCATTGGTCAGAAGGGCAGTGGCATCAGGAAGATGATGGAGGAGTACGAGGTATGGCGCTCCATGTCGCTCCTCTGGTGGACATATAGAATTACAGCACTGCCGTTCAATCTTTATTGCCGCACACTGCATTTGATCATCATAGCACTTTTGTAAAGCAAACTACTGTCATCCCTGATTCAATTCTGCAAATAATGTATATTTTAGGACAATAACTCAAACGTTAAATTGGTCTTGATCAGATTGCCATCAAAGGATGCCAAAAGCAATAGTTATTCTACTGTGCCTGTTCTAAGAAACCATGGGAAAATCCGACTAAATTTGACTCTGTACTGTAACTCCCTGTGTGGAACTGGTGTGTGTAGGTGAACATCTGGGTGCCCCAGCCGGAGCAGCTGTCAGACGTGATCAAGGTGACAGGTCAGGTGGCCAACGTAGAGCGGGCCAAGCTAGGCCTGCTGGAGAGGGTCAAAGAACTACAGGCTGAACAGGAGGACAGGGTAGGAACACACGCTAAATAGGGGGACACACACACACACACACACACACACAGTACTGACTAGTTTCTCTCTCTGTCCCTCCAGGCCTTGAGGAGCTTCAAGGTGTCCATCTCAGTAGATCCTAAGTTCCACCCCAAGATCATCGGCCGGAAGGGAGCGGTCATCTCTCAGATCCGCAAAGACCACGACGTCATCGTCCAGTTCCCTGATAAAGGGGACGAACAGCAGGTCAGGAGTGTGTGTGTCTTGCTCTGTTCTGTTGCTCTCTCTCTCTCTTCCACCACTCCCTCTCATCTTTCCTTTATCCTTTTTGTGTGTTTGCGGTTCGTCTCTCTCTTCTCGCCCCGCCCTCTTCTCCCTCTGTTCTTTCTCGTGTTCCCATCCTCTCCCCTCTTGTTCCTACACTCCATACTTCCCTCCTCCCCCTAATTCTTCTCTCCATCTCTTGGGCTGTATTTCTCATTTACACATTCACTCTCTCTTATTCTCTTTCCCCCTCTTCTCCCAGGATGTGGTGGTGTCTCTCTCTTTCTCTCTCCCGGATTCTGATTGTGTTCTCTCTCAGATGTATGTGTCTCCTCTTTTTCCCTACCTCCCAGTTTTCTATTCTTCTCTCCAGGATGTGATGTGTCTCTCTGTTCTCCTTCCCTCTTTATTCTCTCTTCTCTGTTCTCTCTCCCTGGATGTGATGGTGATCTCTCTCTGTTATTCTCTCTCCCAGGATGTGATGGTGATCTCTCTCTGTTCTCTCTCCCAGGATGTGATGGTGTTCTCTCTCCCAGGATGTGATGGTGTTCTCTTCTCTCCCAGGATGTGATGGTGATCTCTCTCTCCCAGGATGTGATGGTGATCTCTCTCTGTTCTCTCTCCCAGGATGTGATGGTGATCTCTCTCTGTTCTCTCTCCCAGGATGTGATGGTGATCTCTCTCTGTTCTCTCTCCCAGGATGTGATGGTGATCTCTGTTCTCTCCCAGAGTGATGGGTCTCTCGCCATGTGATGGTGATCTCTCTCCCAGGATGTGATGGTGATCTCTCTCCCAGGATGTGATGGTGATCTCTCTCGTTTCTCTTCCCGGATTGATGGTGATCTCTCTCTGTTCTCTCTCTCCCAGGATGTGATGGTGATCTTCTCCCAGATGTGATGGTCTCTCTCCCAGGATGTGATGGTGATCTCTCCTCTGTTTTCTCTCTTCCCCTCCCAGTTGATGTGATGTCTCTGTTTCTCTCCAGGATTGATGTGATCTCTCTGTTTCTCCCAGATGTCTCTCTTGTTCTCTCTCCCAGGATGTGATAGTGATCTCTGGGTATGAGCGTAACACCGAAGAGGCGCGGTCAGCCATAGAGCTGCTGGTGTCAACGCTGCAAGAGATGGTCAGCCACGACGTGCACCTGGACCCCCGCACACACGCACGCATCATCGGGGCCCGCGGCAAGGCCATCCGCAAGACCATGGAAGAGTTCAAGGTACGGGTGTGAGGGGGTGATTGAACACCAGGGTAAATTAAGGTGTCACAGGTACACACACAACATTGCAACACACAACCAACATACACATTACAAAAAAAGGTTTTTACTTTTTGTTGTAGTACCTCTGGGAATCAGTTTAACTCTTATTTTGAAATGTTAACAACTACAGTATGTTGTGGATGCAAATTAAGGCGTGTTTGTGTCACACTCTGACATGGCATGGTTTGGTTTCCCTCCTCTGTCCTGTGTGTGTTTAGGTGGACATCCGGTTTCCCCAGCCGGGTTCAGAGGACCCAGGCAGGGTGACAGTGACTGGACTACCAGAGATTGTGGACAACGCCATAGACCACCTACTCAATCTGGAGGAGGAATATGTGAGTGACGGAGGGATGGATGGATACAATTATGAATATATGGAGAAAGCATGAGAAACTGTATCTCTGCCTATGCCACCATGCAAAGTCTTTCGATGACAATGTCTCTCTCTCTCTCTCTCTCCCCATCTCCCTCTCTCTCTCTTCCTGCTACTTCTTATTTTACTACTTCCATCTCTCCATCATCCCATGCTAGATGTTGAGTGTGACAGAGACCGAGACGATGGCTGCCTACATGAAGCCCCCGTCCCGCTATGGAGGTGGGAGAGGCGGAGGGGGTGGCGACAACAGCGGGGGGGCGGCCAAGGGCTTTGTGGTACGGGACGCCCCCTGGAACGACAAGGTGCGTGTCTGATTCTTGTCATTATACTCTGTCATCATCATCATCATCATGTAGGCCTATATCTTTGTCCCCTCATCATTAAGTTGTTCTAACGTTGTGTTGTTGTGTGTCTCAGGCTCCTGATATGAGCAGTGCTGAGGACTTCCCAACCTTCGGCGCTGGCCTGGCCCCTAAACAGACCTCCGCCTGGGGTCCCAAGAAGTTTTGAGAAGAGAGGAGAGAGGAGAGGGAGAGAACAAACACTGGACAAATCGATACTCGCCTTCACCCCTCCGCTTCTCTCGCAGCTATTACCCTCAACCAACAACCCAGGAAGGCCAGAGGAAAAAAGAGCACATCCCCCGCTCCCCATCTCTCTCTCTCTCTCCTCCATCCCTCTCTCTCTCTTCCATCCCCCTCTCCCCATCTCTCTCTCTCTCCTCCATCCCTCTCCCCTCCATCCCTCTCTCTCTCTCTCCTCCATCCCTCTCTCTCTCTCCTCCATCCCCCTCTCCTCTCTCTCGTCAACATACAGTGAGGGAAAAAAGTATTTGATCCCCTGCTGATTTTGTACATTTGCCCACTGACAAAGAAATGATCAGTCTATAATTTTAATGGTATGTTTATTTGAACAGTGAGAGACAGAAAAAATCCAGAAAAACGCATGTCAAAAATGTTATATTGATTTGCATTTTAATGAGGGAAATAAGTATTTGACCCCTCTGCAAAACATGACTTAGTATTGGTGGCAAAACCCTTGTTGGCAATCACAGAGGTCAGACATTTCTTGTAGTTGGCCACCAGGTTTGCACACATCTCAGGGAGGATTTTGTCCCACTCCTCTTTGCAGATCTTCTCCAAGTCATTAAGGTTTCGAGGCTGACGTTTGGCAACTCGAACCTTCAGCTCCCTCCACAGATTTTCTATGGGATTAAGGTCTGGAGACGGGCAAGGCCACTCCAGGACCTTTAATGTGCTTCTTCTTGAGCCACTCCTTTGTTGCCTTGGCCGTGTGTTTTGGGTCATTGTCCTGGCTGAGGGAAGGAGGTTCTCACCCAAGATTTGACGGTACATGGCCCCGTCCATCGTCCCTTTGATGCAGTGAAGTTGTGCTGTCCCCTTAGCAGAAAAACACCCCCAAAGCATAATGTTTCCACCTCCATGTTTGACTGTGGGGATGGTGTTCTTGGGGTCATAGGCAGCATTCCTCCTCCTCCAAACACGGCGAGTTGAGTTGATGCCAATGAGCTCGATTTTGGTCTCATCAGACCACAACACTTTCACCCAGTTCTCCTCTGAATCATTCAGATGTTCATTGGCAAACTTCAGACGGGCCTGTATATGTGCTTTCTTGAGCAGGGGGAAATTGCGGGCGCTGCAGGATTTCAGTCCTTCACTGTGTAGTGTGTTACCAATTGTTTTCTTGGTGACTATGGTCCCAGCTGCCTTGAGATCATTGACAAGATCCTCCTGTGTAGTTCTGGGCTGATTCCTCACCGTTCTCATGATCATTGCAACTCCACGAGGTGAGATCTTGCATGGAGCCCCAGGCCGAGGGAGATTGACAGTTCTTTTGTGTTTCTTCCATTTGCGAATAATCGCACCAACTGTTGTCACCTTCTCACCAAGCTGCTTGGCGATGGTTTTGTAGCCCATTCCAGCCTTGTGTAGGTCTACAATCTTGTCCCTGACATCCTTAGAGAGCTCTTTGGTCTTGGCCATGGTGGAGAGTTTGGAATCTGATTGATTGATTGATTGCTTCTGTGGACAGGTGTCTTTTATACAGGTAACAAACTGAGATTAGGAGCACTCCCTTTAAGAGTGTGCTCCTAATCTCAGCTCATTACCTGTATAAAAGACACCTGGGAGCCAGAAATCTTTCTGATTGAGAGGGGGTCAAATACTTATTTCCCTCATTAAAATGCAAATCAATTAATAAAAATTTTGACATGCGTTTTTCTGGATTTTTTTTTGTTATTCTGTCTCTCACTGTTCAAATAAACCTACCATTAAAATTATAGACTGATCATGTCTTTGTCAGTGGGCAAACGTACAAAATCAGCAGGGGATCAAATCCTTTTTTCCCCTCACTGTAGACCCTTGGAGGAAAGACTTTCACTCTCTTGTTTTCTTGCAGGGTCTTGCCTCTCCACGTCACTTCAACATCGCTGGAGTTGTCCACGCATTTTAAAGGACTTGTGTTTAGTCAGTGGACCCCACTGCCAAACCCCAAACCGACACCTCCCTTTCTGACACTCCAGGCATCTTTTAACGGTCCTTTGAACCAACTTAACCCAGCAAGTAGTGAAACTGGAGAGCACCAGCCAACCAACAGCCCTCTTTACAAGACAAGAGGGGTGTGTAGGACTTTAGGTTAGCAGGGTGGCAGAACTCGCAAACCATGAGTTGTAAAGCAAACACTGCTTAATTTGTGTGGTTTTTAAGGATAAAAGGGGATTTTAATGTTTTACTGTGTGAGGGGAGTTTTTAACTATGTACTCCTACATGTTTTACTGTGGGGTTTTTACCGGAGTTTGTGGCTAGCTGATCCTTCCAAGTACATTACAAGAGGATGTGTATAGTTCCATCTTTCATTTATTTCTACCTGAGCTAAAATAGCTTCCATCGTTTTTTGTTCTTTTAACCGTGAGAGTCCTGCGAGGTCTGTGTACCGAAAGTTGTTTATTTAAGCAATAAGGCACGAGGGGGTGTGGTATATGGCCAATATACCACGGCTAAGAACAGCCCTTAAGGTGCCTTATTGCTTTTATAAACTGGGTACCAACATAATTAGAGCAGTAAAAATACATGTTTTGTCATACCCGTGGTATATGGTCTGATATACCACAGCTGTCAGCCAATCAGCATTCAGGGCTCGAAGCACCCAGTTTGTAAGTCTTGTTATTTATGTTTTTGTTTATTTATAACCCATTTTATTTATTGACATTTCTGTGATCTGGTGTTTTTATAAAGCGCTTCGCTTGATGCTTATAACTTTTCCAGAAGTGTAATGTGTGTATGGGAAGGAGGGGGACCATTGGTTATGTTCCAGTATGTTGTTGTGGACCATTTCTGAAGTTGTTTCTCTTTTATTTCCGCACTTAATTTGAAAGACTGTGTATGTGTGTGCGTAAGGTGTACATTGGAAATAAGCTTGACCAATCTTTTACTTCCTCTTTCAGTTATTTCCCCTCCCTTTTTTTCTTCTCCTAGTTCCATCTCCATCACTCTTTCACTTTCTACACCCGACCCCCTCTGTTCAGTCACCTTGTGTAGTTTGCGAAGAATATTACATTGTAACTCCCCCAAATACTTGTGCACTCCCAATAGTAGCTCAACTTGTGTCAGTGGAGGCTGCTGAGGGGAGGATGGCTCATAATAATGGCTGGAACGGAGCAAATGGAATGGCATCAAACACTTGGACACCATGTGTTTGATGTATTTGATACCATTCTGCTTCAGCCATTACCACGAGCCCGTCCTCCCCAATTAAGGTGCCACCAACCTCCAAAACTGTTGTGTATTGCTGGGAAAATAGGACTCCAAAACTCTGTTGAATCAAAACATTGCACTTATTTATATCATTTGTAGCACCAACTGTTTTTACATATATTTATTTTACCACACACTGGCCCTTCCCTCATTCCACGACAGAGTTGGGGTGGTATTATTGGTCAGAATGACTTTCGTTCCATTGCTCTACTGTAGTTAGAAACTGATCTAGGATCAGATATCCAGAACCCTACCCCCTGGCGATGCAAAACAAACTCACCCATTGTACCTACTTGGAATCAGCACTTGTAGTTCCAGAAGTGAATCTGTTTTAACTTCCATGTGCCTGTTGTCGCCATATAAATAGATTGACTAGAATGGGAAAAAAAGCCCCTCAGACCATGTTGGCTTGAATGGGAATGACCGTTCTACTTATTGTATTTCTATGGTTGTATGCTGATGTAAAGGTCAGGACTGGTGCAGAACAGTCTGTAGGTTTGTTTTATTTCCCTCCGAGGATGGACAAGTTAACAAACTACAGACAATTCAACCCAACTGGAAGAATAGATTGTTTGTACGTGTACACGTAGGTGTACAAAACATTAGGAACACCTCCCTAATATTGAGTTACACCCACTTTTGCCCTCAGAACAGCCTCAATTTGTTGGGGCATGGACTCTACATGGTGTGGAAAGCGTCCACAGTGATGATGGCCCATGTTGACTCCAATGTTTCCCACAGTTGTGTCAAGTTGGCTGGATGTCCTTTACGTGGTAGATAATTCTTGATACACATGGGAAACTGTTGTGTGAAAGACCCAGCAGCGTTGCAGTTCTTGACACACTCAAACCGGTGCGCCTGGCACCTACTACCATACCCCGTTCAAAGGCACTTACATCTTTTGTCTTGCCCATTCACCATCTGAATGGCATACACACAATTCATATCTTAAGGCTAAAAAAATCCTTCTTTAGCCTGTCTCCTCCCCTTCATCTACACTGAAGTGGATTTAACAAGTGACATCAGTAAGCGATCATAGCTTTCACCTGGTCAGTCTCATCATAGAAAGAGCAGGTGTTCCTAATGTTTTGTACACTGTGAATGTACTGTATATGTCACTAGTTTAAGCTTTGTGGGAAAGCAACCCATTTTGCACTACTTTACATTTGTTAAACACTCATCTCCTTTGTGTTTGACCTTTCACCACACTGTCACTGGATCACTGAGGTCAGACACTTTATATTGACGTTACTGATGTGGGTGGGTGTGTCACAACACGTCGGCAAGGCAGTGGCGCCTGAGTCAGCCGCTGTTTTTTGGGGGGGAGGGGAAAGCTGAAAGAACTATTGGCCTTAAGAAATAATTCTTAGGAATAATTTAGAAAAAATGTGATTTGCGTAAATATGCAACACTGCAGTATGTCAGTGACTGGATTTTCTTTCCTACTCTGAGTAAAATTTTCAAAAAGGAATCAAAACAGCCTCTATCCTGTGTCTTATTGATTGGTGTAAATTAAGTATATTGTACTTAATACAAGAATAGAGGAAAGCCTTAAAGGGGCACTCAGCAGTTGCTACATCCATTTTGACTGAAACTAGATGTACCCAATCAATGATTATTGAATACAACTTAAATTCCACATGAGCTTAGTTCAACTGCCCTACCCCATCAGAACCCAACATATAAGCTTGCTTTAATCAAACATGACTCAATGTTTGTGAACAAAGTAAATGTAAACAAAAAACTGTATAGCCTCAAAACATGGTTAAAACTATATTTTTGATATCATGGATGGTCAGTCCTTGCATCCATAGCTGTCTGTGAAAGGGTTTACATTCCTCCAGCCCAATTCCTCAGCTTTTTACCAAAAAGGGCAGGGATGACACTTTGTTTCTACTGCTAATTGCCACTTTAAAAGGAGAAACACACAAAGCCAGTCCAGAGTCATAATGTGCATACTCTGTCGGTTTATTTTTTACAAATCAGGAAGATATGATTTCATGTTATGTAACAGCCTGTACAACGCAACATACAGAAAAACAATACATATTAATTATCATAAAAAGCAGCACTGGGCCTTTAAATAACCCCATACAATTTTTCACATTTTGATTGGACGTTGCAAGCAAGTTAGTTTTTTTCCAAACCCCACTTTTTTGCAATAAATTAGGTTATACACAGTTGTGTGAGTAAAGTCAACTGAACCTTAGATCTTGACTAAAAACCTGTTGTTTTCCTCTCCTTTATCAAAACAATGACTTGGCAAGATGGCGCGGTTATGTATGTAGACTGTTATACGTAAGTATATCAGATTGGCAACAAAATAAAACAATTATGGTTAAAAGAAGATATGCTTTAGAGAGCTGTCCACATACAATCAAATATTTGGGGGAATATTTGGATGAAGAATTAACCCCGGTGTTAATCTTTAATGTAATATGTCAAATGAAGGGTGTTAATTTTAACGTAAAGCAGATAGGTAGAACGTAAACGGACAACGAAAAACAAAATCCCTAATGAATCACATTCGCAATGTAAACTCCAGCATCAGGGCCTGCATTTTGTAAAAATACTCAATTTCCCAAGAGTCTTTGCATGAACACACCCCTATGACTTTAGTGGCTCTGAACATTTCTCCCTGTTAAAACGATGACCATAGAGTTGTGTAGAGGACTCGTGCCCAAACAGCAGTTTTAGCATGGGCAGCGCCATTAGGGACTTTCACAATTTTTAAGTAGTCAACTGGGGGTTAAGGAAGCATCACATACAGTGGGGAGAACAAGTATTTGATACACTGCCGATTTCGCAGGTTTTCCTACTTACAAAGCATGTAGAGGTCTGTAATTTTTATCATAGGTTCACTTCAACTGTGAGAGACGGAATCTAAAACAAAAATCCAGAAAATCACATTGTATGATTTTTAAGTAATTAATTTGCATTTTATTGCATGACATAAGTATTTGATACATCAGAAAAGCAGAACTTAATATTTGGTACAGAAACCTTTGTTTGCAATTACAGAAATCATACGTTTCCTGTAGGTCTTGACCAGGTTTGCACACATTGCAGCAGGGATTTTGGCCCACTCCTCCATACAGACCTTCTCCAGATCCTTCAGGTTTCGGGGCTGTCGCTGGGCAATACGGACTTTCAGCTCCCTCCAAAGATTTTATATTGGGTTCAGGTCTGGAGACTGGCTAGGCCACTCCAGGACCTTGAGATGCTTCTTACGGAGCCACTCCTTAGTTGCCCTGGCTGTGTGTTTCGGGTCGTTGTCATGCTGGAAGACCCAGCCACGACCCATCTTCAATGCTCTTACTGAGGGAAGGAGGTTGTTGGCCAAGATCTTGCGATACATGGCCCCATCCATCCTCCCCTCAATATGGTGCAGTTGTCTTGTCCCCTTTGCAGAAAAGCATCCCCAAAGAATGATGTTTCCACCTCCATGCTTCACGGTTGGGATGGTGTTCTTGGGGTTGTACTCATCCTTCTTCTTCCTCCAAACACTGCGAGTGGAGTTTAGACCAAAAAGCTCTATTTTTGTCTTATCAGACCACATTACCTTCTCCCATTCCTCCTCTGGATCATCCAGATGGTCATTGGCAAACTTCAGACGGGCCTGGACATGCGCTGGCTTGAGCAGGGGGACCTTGCGTGCGCTGCAGGATTTTAATCCATGACGGCGTAGTGTGTTACTAATGGTTTTCTTTGAGACTGTGGTCCCAGCTCTCTTCAGGTCATTGACCAGGTCCTGCCGTGTAGTTCTGGGCTGATCCCTCACCTTCCTCATGATCATGGATGCCCCACGAGGTGAGATCTTGCATGGAGCCCCAGACCGAGGGTGATTGACCGTCATCTTGAACTTCTTCCATTTTCTAATAATTGCGCCAACAGTTGTTGCCTTCTCACCAAGCTGCTTGCCTATTGTCCTGTAGCCCATCCCAGCCTTGTGCAGGTCTACAATTTTATCCCTGATGTCCTTACACAGCTCTCTGGTCTTGGCCATTGTGGAGAGGTTAGAGTCGGTTTGATTGAGTGTGTGGACAGGTGTCTTTTATACAGGTAACGAGTTCAAACAGGTGCAGTTAATACAGGTAATGAGTGGAGAACAGTAGGGCTTCTTAAAGAAAAACTAACAGGTCTGTGAGAGCTGGAATTCTTACTGGTTGGTAGGTGATCAAATACTTATGTCATGCAATAAAATGCAAATGAATTACTTAAAAATCATACAATGTGATTTTCTGGATTTTTTGTTTTAGATTCCGTCTCTCACAGTTGAAGTGTACCTATGATAAGAATGACAGACCTCTACATGCTTTGTAAGTAGGAAAACCTGCAAAATCGGCAGTGTATCAAATACTTGTTCTCCCCACTGTAACTCCATCCAGGTCATCAGGAGGGATCGGCCAATTAATTATACTCGTGAGAAAACATTCCATGACTGCAAAATGGAGATGGCCTCAATGGTGCTGCCCGTGTGCTCACCGACGCCATAATGGGACAGATACGTTGCAATCTCTAAAGACTTGAACGTAACTCTAGTGTAAACGACGACGTGTGAAAACGGGCACGTTCAGCAGGCCACAACATTGTGTAAAGTTCAGATAGAACTATGTTATGAAGAACAAACATGCCTATCTGGTACAGAATCATGATCCGTCTGCTCCTTTCCTTCAGATCAGTGCAGATGAAGGAAAGGAGACGAGGACTCAGGAGAGGAAGCCACTTCACACTATTCAAAGATGCAGATAGTGTTGATGGTTATACAGATAGAAATGTAATGTATAGAATAGACTCCTTTTATCCCATAATAAACAGTCTATATATCTATACTCTGCAACATGGGAAGGAGAAAGTGCCCTTGTGTTAGGGAAGTTCTTTCCACTGACGAAGAAGAAAAAAATAGGACAGTCGTGAGTAGAGGGGAGAGAGATGGAGAGCACGAGCCTTACACACAGAGACAGACGTACGCAGACATGTAGACAGACAGTGGTTAGCGTTCCACCTGGAAACATTTTTCTCCAGTTTTTTGGGGGTTCCTCCCTCTAAAACCTGTACAGGTGCTCTCAGGTCCTTCTCCTGTTCAGGGTTATTTTCCAGTCTTTTTCATCCGTTGTTCTTTTGGGTCATTGTTTGATCCATCACTTTTTTTCCTCCATTGACACACGGTTAAGTCCTTAGTTTATAAAGTCCAATAGTCAGTGACCGTTCTGCGCAGCAGGCGATGGCGGGTGGCGGTTGCCGTTGCGAGGGAGTTTAAAGAACGGTCCAAGTCTTGGAACGCAACGTGTCGGGTTCCGGTTGTGCACTCCGCCTTGAGAACTGAGGAGAACCATCCCCCTGTACTTGAAAACCAAAAGAAGAGTGAGGAGAGTGATCAGCCTGGGGTAAAGGGGTGATAAAAACAAGAGCTAGAGGAAGGAGGGAATAAGAGCGAGAGGGGGGAGGACAATAACAGTGCTAAAATAAAAATTGCGGGGACCAAAAACGAGTGTCGTATTATGAATGAGAAGTTGATCTTTCCAAACTTTTTTTTTTTTTTTTTTTAAATCGCCCACAAAGTGTCCAAAACATAAAGTGCAGGCAGCGTCAGTCTTGTTGTTCTTCTCTGAATCCACCAAAGCCCCATCCTGTTAAAATTATTCCAAAACAAACAAAAATGTATTTGTCCAAAATAAACTAAAATAATGCTGAATTGTCAATGTCAACAATCCCCCCCCAGCAACAGGAGAGAAATTCCCCAAATTCCAAAGAGTCTCAAAGTCTGGAATTTGGTTGATGGAGTAGAGGTTTTGGAGGCACCGCTGGGATAGAGAAGCTCCCTTATCTCTACTCTATCCATACCGCCGTTCATCCCTCCCTCACTCCACCCGTATGAGAAGGCCGTAGAGGAGGGTGCCCCCCTGCTCCTTGGTGATCCACTCGATCTCTGTGTTGCTAAAGCGGGGGTCAAGGGGCTCGCTGGCCCCAAGTTTCTGGGGCCCCACCTTGTAGGAGCCCGGCCGCACACACACCTGGAAACCCACCTGGGCCTGGTGACAGCAGTGAGAACGAGGGTCCCGGAATCTGGAGGGAGAGAGTGGAGAGTGAGGAGAGCAGGAGTTATGGGAATAAGAATGAAAGAAAGAGTGAAAGAACAAGAGCGAGAACAAAAGCAAGAAAAAGGCAGAGGAGACCAAGACAGCATAATAATTTCATGGTATACAGTATACACCCAGTGGCCAGTTTATTAGGTACACCCATCTAGTACCGGGTCAGACCCCCCTTTGCCTCCAGAACAGCCTGAATTCTCGGGGCATGGAAACTTTGCTCAATTGGTATCAAGTGACCTAAAGTGTGCCACAAACCCATTCCCCACACCATTACATCACCAGCCTGTACCATTGACACCAGGCAGGATGGGGCCATGGACTCATGGCTGCTTAAGCCAAATCCTGACTCTGCCATCAGCATGACGCAACAGGAACCAGGATTCGTCGGACCAGGCTCTGTTTTTCCACTCCTCAGTTGTCCAGTGTTGGTGATCGCGTGCCCACCGGAGCCACTTCTTCTTGATTTTAGCTGATAGGAGTGGAACCCGGTGAGGTTGTCTGCTGCAAGAGCCCATCTGTGACAAGGAACGACGAGTTGTGTGTTCCGAGATGCCGTTCTGCACACCAATATTGTACTGTGCCATTGTGGCCCGCCTGTTAGCTTGCACGATTCTTGCCATTCTCCTTCGACCTCTCATCAACCAGCTGTTTTCGCCCACAGGACTGCCACCGACTGGATGTTTTTTGCACCATTCTCGGGAATCCGTAGATTGTCGTGCGTGAAAATCCCAGGAGGCAGGCTGTTTCTGAGATACTGGAACCAGTGCACCTGTCACCGACGATCATACCACGCTCAAAGACGCTTCGATCACTCGTTTTGCCCATTCTAACGTTCAATCGAACAGTAACTGAATGCCTTGATGCCTGCCTGCTTTATATAGCAAGCCACGGCCACGTGACTCACTGTCTTTAGGCGCGAAACACTTTTGTGAACAGGGTGGTGTACCCAAAATAGACTGGCCACTGGGTGTATACTTCAATTTGAATAAGAGCAAAAGGCAGATAAAAAGGTAAGAGCATGAGAGAGACAACGATAGAGAAATCAAGGTAAAGACAGGAAATAGAATATTCTCCTTGTTGTGATGACACATACTGCACTTTAGGGGCGAACATCTCCAGTCCGGAGTAGCGCATGGTGGGGGACAACTGTACCCGGGGCACCTCCCTGTCCCTGTCTCGTTCCCTGTCGGGGAGGCTGTTGCTGTTCTCCTCTGGCTCACTGTAGCCATTAGGACCCTCCATCTTTACCGGAGACACAGAGAAGATGGACGACGTCCCTGCAACACCAAGACAACATGGGTTAGTTAATTTACAACACCATCATGATTCTTGATGATAGAAATTGTTCTGGAAATCAACCATAAGTTTAAAAAGGCTAGACATCTGCTTATTGCTTTCGGAGAGAAACAACACCTTGAGGTGATATGCTCATCAAAATAAGGTGACCAGTGGTCAATTCACAATCTTTTTTGGGTCCAAAAAAGTGGATAAGGAAACAAAATGCTGTGTCGTACCAGAGAGCAGCTGAGCATGGTCCAGGGTGCGTCTCAGAGCCCCTACACTGGTGCCGTGGTAGGCTATGTGCCACTTCTTAAACGCATTAGACACCTCGCAGTGGGGCTTGATCCTATAGGGAGGGAGAATACACACACACACAAAATGGTTAGATAACCCTTCTACCTGTGTCCCAGGACATTGATTCTCAAAGCCAGTTCTCAAAGTTTAAACTGTATACCATTTCTATTCACATTCTTCCCTTATCTTTTGCCAAGGTGAGAATAGATAAGATCTATTAATCAATTAATGAATTAGTTAATTGAACTAGATTAAACTAATTCAGTGGACATGAATAGCACTGTGACTGATCTAACGTAATTGGTTGAAGACAGTTTTTGCAGTCCACTTGATTGGCTTTTTGCGACCTCTGACCTCAGAGCGAAGCAGCACCAGCCGAAGGGCAGGGCGTAGTCCCGGAGGGGCTCCCCTCTCTTGTAGTAGGCCTCGTCCCCCCGCAGCTTGTGGCACGACTCACAGTAACACAGGTTATACTTGGCATCCTCGTTGAAGTAACCATCTGAGAGAGATGGATAGGGGGAGGGGGGAGAGAGGATATAGAGAAAGAGCGGGGGGGGGGAGGGAGAGAGAACAACAAAGATGGAGAAGAGTTATGACTGAGCCAAGGATACTCAACTGGATAACATGCCCCCCCCACGCCACTACCCCCCATGCTGACAGGACAGCACCCCCCTCCACCATTGAGACCAACAGTCCAGCAAGACAGCTACAGTATGCAGAAGTGGCACGAAGAATAGAGCACCCTGCTGCAGCCGAGCTCAACCAGATAAGGCATCTGCTGAATATAATCTGCTCAAAAACCATTCATTCCTTCTTTGTTATTATCAGAAATATAATTATCCAATTATTAAATGGTTTTAAATTATTATTATCCAATTCCTAACATCTGTATTGTTAGATTTTAGTGCAGCCTTTGAAGTTATAGATCATCATTTGTTACTGAAAAAACTAACTTATGGCTTTACGTCACCTGCCATCACACAATTGGAGAGTTACTTACCCAATAGAACCCAGAGAGTGCTCTAGTTATGCTAAAGTGGACAAACAGAAGTGAAATGACATGTGGATTGAAGATCTAATAATGAAAGAGAAGGATTGCTATTTGAATTTGGTCAAGTTTGTGTCAAGAATGATAAGCCACCAGGTAGAGTACCACAGCATGAGTCATAAGACCCATAAAACCTAACGGTCAAACAAGGAAATGGTTCCAATAGTTTTTCCACCATTCATTTTTCCCATAGGGGATTGTAGAACCACTTAAAATAAGGGCTGTGTTTTGTGTAGGCTTACCCTGACGTGACGTTTTGATAACCGTGTAAATCTCTCTAGGACAAGGTGACTTTTATCAATATATTTGCCTGTATTTATCCCCCCAAAATTACATGCTAATTAGCTGCTAATGTGGCTATTATAAAGAACTACAAATGCCATGATGATCGGGACAAGACTGCAGAATCAATCAAAAGTAACTATCTAATGTTAACTCAACTTAGTAATTCATACACTTTCTAAATGTCTTTAAAATTGACAATTCTGTAAACTCTCTTGTGCAAGTTTTAAATTGACACGATACCTGTTAGCAAAGGTTTCTGCTAGAGATGGCATGCAGGAGCTTGTAGGGATTTGTAGTCTTGCATGATGTCTACTTTGATGCTAATTAGCATTTTCAAATCTGAGAGTAAATAGAGCCGAATATCTTGATAAAAGTCACCTTGTCCAAGAGAGATTTACATGGTTATCAAAACGTCACGCCAGGGTAAGCCTGCACGAAACACTGCCCATATTTTAAGTGTTTCTAAAATTGGTAAAAATGATTGGAACCATTTCCCTGCTTGACCTCTAGGTTTTATGGGTATTATGACACATCCACTGTGGGGCTCTATTGACAACCTAGACGGGAAACTATTGAGAATGGTAGCAGACTATTGGCACCCCTATTTGCCATGTCTTTAACCAAAGCCTAAAGGAGTGTTTGTGTCCACAGGCGTAGAAGGAAGCTCAAGTAATTTCACTACCTAAAAATTGTAAAGCATCCTTTGCTGGCGCTAACAGCCAACCAATCAGTTTGCTGCCTGTTCTTAGTAAAGTGATGGAGAAAATTGTGTTTGAACAAATACAACGCTATTTTTCAAAGAACAAGTTACCTACTGACTTTCAGCATGCATCTAGAGAAAGGCTGTAAACTTGTACTGCACGGACTCCGATGACTGGCTTAAATAAGTGGATAATAAGATGATAGCTGGAGCTGTATTATATTTTAGTGCAGCCTTTGATGTTATTGAAAAAACTAAGTTGTTATGGCTTTATATCATACGATTGGAGAGTTACTTATCCAATAGAGCCCAGAGAGTGCCCTTCAATGGAAACTTCTCTAACGTCAGATGTTTACAGTGTGGTATCCCTCAGGGCAGTTGCCTTGGGCCATTACTCTTATCTATTTTTACAAATGATTTGCCACTTGTCTTACAATAAGCTAAAATGACTATGTATGCTGATGATTGCACACTACACATCAGCACCTACACCCAGTGAGCTCGCAGAAAAGCATTGCATTAGGTTCAAAGCATTCTCTTATACCTAAACCTCAAATGGAGTTGTGCATAAAGGGCGTGACCATTGATCAAGCTGAACTCCTAGAAGTAACACTGGATGGTCAGTTATCATGGTCAAGTCATATTAACAAAGTTGTTGTGAAGATGGGGAGAGGTACACTATAAAACACAAAAGTATGTGGACACCCCTTCAAATTAGTGGATTCGGCTACTTCAGCCACACCCGTTGCTGACAGGTGTATAAAATCATGCACACAGCCATGCAATCTCCTTACTGAAGAGCTCAGTGACTTTCAACGTGGCACCGTCATAGCATTCCACCTTTCCAACAAGTCAGTTCGTCATATTTCTGCCCTGCTAGAGCTGCCCCGGTCAACTGTAAGTGCTGTTATTGTGAAGTGCAAACGTCTACGAGCAACAACGGCTCAGCCGCGAAGTGGTAGGCCAAAAAACCTCACAGAACGTCTGTCCTCAGTTGCAACACTCACTACAGAGTTTCAAACTGCCTCTGGAAGTAATGTCAGCACAAGAACTGTTCGTCAGGAGCTTCATGAAATGTGTTTCCATGGCTGAGCAGCTGCACACAAGCCCAAGATCACCATGCGCAATGCCAAGATTTGGCTGGAGTGGTGTAAAGCTCACCACCATTGGACTCTGGAGCAGTGGAAACGTGTTCTCTGGAGTGATGAATCATGCTTCACCATCTGGCAGTCCAATGGACGAATCTGGGTTTGGTGGATGCCAGGAGAACGCTACCTGCCCAAAGGCATAGTGCCAACTCAACGTTTGGTGGAGGAGGAATAATGGTCTGGGGCTGTTTATGGTTTGGGCTAGGACCCTTTTTTCCCAGTGAAGGGAAATCTTAACGCTACAGCATACAATGACATTCTAGACGATTCTGTGATTCCAACTTTGTGGCAAGAGTTTGGGGAAGGCCCTTTCCGCATGACAATTTCCCCGTGCATGACAATGCCCCCGTGCACAAAGCGAGGTCCATGCAGAAATGGTTTGTCGAGATTGGTGTGGAAGAACTTGACTGGCCTGCACAAAGCCCTGACCTGAATTGGAACGCTGACTGTGAGCCAGGCCTAATCGCCCAACATCAGTGCCCGACCTCACTAATGCTCTTGTGGCTGGATGGAAGCAAGTCCCCGCAGCAATGTTCCAACATCTAGTGGAAAGCCTTCCCAGAAGAGTAGAGGCTGTTATAGCAGCAAAGGGGGGACCAACTCCATATTAATGCCCATGACTTTGGACTGAGATGTTTGACAAGCAGGTGTCCACATACTTTTGGTCATGTAGTGTATGTCTGTTATAAAGATATGTTCTGCGTTTTTGACACAAAGATCAACTGTACTATATTTTCAGGCTCTGATATTGTCCCATGTTGATTACTGTCTGCTAATATGGTCAGGTGCAGCAAAGAAAGACCTAGCAAAGCTGTAGCTGGCTCAAAACAAAGCAGCATGCCTTGCCCTTAACTCACACACAGAACTAACATCAACAACATGCATGATTTTACATTTTTACATTTTAGTCATTTAGCAGATGCTCTTATCCAGAGCGACTTACAGTTAGTGAATAATTTTTTTTTTTTTTTTTTTTTAATACTGGCCCCCCGTGGGAATCAAACCCACAACCCTGGCGTTGCAAACGCCATGCTCTATCAACTGAGCTATATCCCTGATAGTCTTTCATGGTTGAGGAGAAATTGACTACTTCTCTTCTAGTCTTCTTAAGAAACATTTGTGTGTAGAAAATGCCTAACCACATGTATAATCTATTTGCATACATTTCAAACAGACACACCCCACCAGACACACCACTATGGGTTTCTTCACTGTACCCAAAACAAAAACAGATTGAATGTGTTGCTCAGTTATGTATAGAGCCATGTAATCATGGAATGCTCTGCCACTGGAGGTTACTCAGGCAAAAAGTATGTTTTTTTTTTTTTTTTACTGTGTGTGGTACTCACCTGGCAGCGTGAGCAGGTCCTTGAAGCGCGAGCACAGGGCCTGGTACTCACAGGTCTTGTTGGGGTTGACCTCTGGAGGGGGCGTCCAGCACACACTCTCTTTGATCCCTGGAGTTCAGATAGCAAAGGTCAAAGGGTAGCACCGGTTGAGGCCAGTCAAAGATGTTGTACACAGAGTTTGATATTACTTTGAATTCAAAATGTTTTACTGTCAAAGAACATTTGATGCCAACATGGACAATAATTTGGTAAACTTTGCATCTATAGAATACATGAAAATAACTTAACACAACAACAATATGAAAGACATTGATCATCATCATCATCAACTGTAAAAGGCCTGTTTTGAGTTGACATCATCATCCTCTCACCATCAACCATGTCCGCCTTCTCCATGTCGCCTTGGCAACGCGCCTCGCCGCTCTCCCCTCCCATGGTTGGCACGTTGTTAGTCACTATTGTAACCTGCCAACGACATCAGAGGGTGTCACTGACTTGACTTCCCTCGGCCCCCAGGAAGTGTGACAACAGATTACATTGTACAGGGCCAGGCTGGGAGACAGATTATTAAACCCGGCCTGACGGGAGGGCTGGGATTACAGAGTTACAGACCTACTGAGGACGGAGTGTCTAAATGAGATTGGGATTATGACTTTGGCCAGGTGGATGTATTTCAGGATTAGAGGTCATAGAGCAACAGACTAGCAGATTAGGGTTTCTAGCTACTGATCTAAAAGGGGATCTGAGTAGGACTGGGTCTCAAATGGCACCCTATTCACTTTATAGTGCACTACTTTTGACCAGGGGCCATAGGGCTCTGATAAAAAAGTAGTGCACTATATAGGGAGCCATTTGGGAAGCACACTGTTTGTGTAGAAGTAAAAAGTGCAGAGGGATAGCCTGGGTGGCGGTTTAGTTTTCCACTGAGGCTGTTAATCATTATTAAAATAGGGTTAACTGCTTTACCGGGGGTTATATCAGTGGCTACACTAAGCAAGTAGAACTTTAACTTCCCTCAACCTCTTTTAAGAGGGGTTAGATTCAGAGTTCTGACTGTTTTGGGGGGAGGATGACAGACGTACCTGTTCACACTGCCCGTAGAGGTCTATGAGGGGGTAGCAGGGGGTGGGGATGTCCTGGGCTGCTACCCCCTGGTCCATCCCGTTCACATGGAGGTGCAGACAGCTGTTCCCATCCACTAGTAGACCCAATACTGTACCCTCTGGACATGTGTCCAGGTTAGGACCATAGTTCTCACAGATCTGGGATGGAGGAAAGAGGGGGAGGGAGTGATGCAGGGAAGAGGGGGAGGGAGTGATGGAGGAAAGAGGGGGAGGGAATGATGGAAGGAAGAAGGGAAGTGAAAAAGAGGATTAATCAATCAAAAAAAATCGATCAGGTTGTTCATTTAAAATGACAAAAGTTCTCAAAAGCCAAGTAAAGTGAGTTGTGAAGGGTGCTGTGTGTGTGTGTGTGTGTGTGTGTGTGGGTGTGTCCAGTACCTTGAGTGAGTTGTGGAAGACAGAGTCTCTCTGCAGCAGCCAGGCAGAGCGTTTCAGACAGCACGCCGTGGAGGGAAAGTTGAGGCGGTCGGGGGAGTGGCCTATCACCCCTAGCGACAGGGACGACGTCCACGACGGGTTCAGGCGGTCGATCTGAAACTATGGCAACAGAGACAGTCGGACTGTCAGTCACAAACAATGGTGACAGAACGCACTATAATATATAATGTGTCCCTAAACAACGACGCTGCCCCAATCAAAAAATCCAGACACACACACACACACACTACAGTGTAGCTACCTGGAACAGATGTTGTCTGGGCAGGGGTTGTGCTGTGACCAGGAGGCCCTGGTTGTAGCTGGAGACACGGGCGGCCGTCAAGTTCTGATTGGACAGCTGGATGTTCTTCCCATGGTTCTCCAGGAAGGCCATGGCGGTGTTGGGCACCAGGGCTGGCTTAGTGCGCTCAACCTGATGGATGGATAGATGGAGGGGAGGAAGAGAGAGAGAGAAATCAACAAACTATTGTTTACTTCTGTTGCTCAATTTGTGCAAATCTTAAACCACCTGTGGAGCAGTTGTAGGCTTCCTACTGTCCTTAAAGATATTTGCATGAAAAAAAGCTACAAAATAAAAATGTACAAATGTTCTTACTTTAGAAGACACATTAGTCTAACTTTAGATAGCTGTCAAGCTTGTTTCACTCTGAAGGTCCAGGCAAAAGCATGCTGTCCATCTGCCCCGCCTTCCCATCCCTAGGTCTCCTATCCCCTCCCATCCCACTACATCCCTCTCTCTGTGTGTCTCACCGGCGTGCTGTCCTCCTCTCCATCGCTGCAGCTGTCTGAGGAGAGGGAGGGGGCCTTGATGCTCTCTGCGTCCCCCAGCACTGAGGAACTAACAATGGACACAGCCGTCACACGACCATACAGGTCCAGTACCGCATAGACGTTCTACAGGGAGGGGAGAGAGATTGGGGTTAGTGGGGTGGTGTGGTGTGTGTGTGAGAATTGAACACATATGACGTATGGATGAGAGAACAGTTTGTACGTTCATTAAGTGTTTGTGTGTGTGTTAATTGAACGTGTGTGTGTGTGTGTGTGTGTGTGTGTGTGTGTGTGCGCACCTTGGCCACAGCGGTAGCAGCTGGTCCCATGTCCTCTCCGTCGATGAGGACGTGCATGGTGTCATCACTGCATCTCTTCACCCCCACGCGGTTCCCCACCTAGACACAGAATCCACCTCAGTATCCATCCTATTTCTGTATTCATCTCAATCCTTCAATCTGTTCCAAATGCACTCATTTTTCTAGAGACTATTGGAGTATAATAATGACGTTGTTCCCTCTCCCCCCTCTCCTTCCCCCTATATATTTCTTTCTTCCCTTCTCTCACCGTCAGTCTGTCCAGGGATGCCCCGTAGTTCTGTCTTTGGAGGACCCCATTGCGTCTGACCTCTGACCCCACTAGCAGCCAGGTGACCTTGGTGCGGAGCTGTGTGAGGGAGGGGGACAGGCCCGACATAGGGCAGGAGGGCAGCTCTGGGGGGGCCAGGCTGGTCAGACCCATGTGGAGGGAACCAGACCACTGGTTATCTACCTCGTCTATCTTCACCTGGGGATGGGGGGGGGGTGGTGGGAAAGGAAGAAGTGGATGAGTAGATTGACAACAAACCAAGGACTAGCGATGGTAAAATGGATTGATTAAGCATTTGTTTGTTTTTCTGGATGGAAATAATACAATTTACAATTCCTCAATTCTAATGACCTACAGTGAGGGGAAAAAGTATTTGATCCCCTGCTGATTTTGTACATTTGCCCACTGACAAAGAAATGATCAGTCTATAATTTGGAATAATTGGAATCTGATTGATTGATTGCTTCTGTGGACAGGTGTCTTTTATACAGGTAACAAGATGAGATTAGGAGCACTCCCTTTAAGAGTGTGCTCCTAATCTCAGCTCGTTACCTGTATAAAATACACCTGGGAGACAGAAATGTTTCTGATTGAGAGGGGGTCAAATACTTATTTCCCTAATTAAAATCCAAATCAATTTATAACATTTTTGACATGTGTTTTTCTGGATATTTTTGTTGTTATTCTGTCTCTCACTGTTCAAATAAACCTACCATTAAAATTATAGACTGATCATGTCTTTGTCAGTGGGCAAACGTACAAAATCAGCAGGGGATCAATACTTTTTTCCCCCTCACTGTATAAGAGCAGTAGAAAATAAACTATGCTAAACTCCACCCCAGCTCGTACCCTTCAACTCTACTTTCACACCTTGACTATCTCTCCATTGTATTCCCTCTACCCTGGCTCACCTCGAACAGTTCGTCTGTTTTCAGTTCCTTGGCGCTGAAGACGATGCCGTGAGCGTATCCTCCCACCCGGACGGCCTGGCAGCCCTCTCCCAGCAGAACCACGTTCTTACCATGTTTACTATGGAGCCGGTGTGCCACGCTTGCCACTACACACACACACACACACACACACGTATGTACAGAGAGAGACACACGCACAGGGAAAAAGGAGATGCGAGTCAGTTTATTTACGGTCTGTCGTTTAACAACTTATTTAAATCCAGAACCGGAGAGAAAACACACATGTCCATGGTGGTTACCTGGTGAGTGTATGGGGAAGCTCTTCTCTGTTATGTTGCTGGTACACAGACTGTTGTCCAGAGGGCCAGAGGAACTGGTGATGGACACCTGAACACACTGACCATAAAGGTCTATCACCGCATACACCTCTAATGGAGGGAAGGAGGGAGGGAGAGAGGGTTTCACCATTTTTGGAAAGTCTCCCTTGACCAAGATATTTAATCTTAATGAGACGAACATTGATAAATAAAAAGTAAAATATTAAACAAAATAGCAGTGATATTTTAGCACAAAAGAGCTGCTATGTGTATTTATTCAGAGACGCTTGTAGCAGCTAACTAAAAAGTGCATAGTAAACACTATCAATTCCATTTCAATCAATTCATGAGCTTTTCTTCCCCCCAGACCCCTAGCCCATATATGGGGTCGTGATAAGGTGTGCATGATAACTGGTTCCATTCACCTTTACCTGGCGGCAGCCCGGTGCAGGCCACACCCTGGTCCACCCCGTTGATGTAGTAATGGAGGTCGCCGGTGGCCGAGCGCATCATGCCGATCCTACTGCCCGTGGTCAGAGAGTCCAGGTCACAGCCGTAGTTGTTACGCATGGTGTTGCCGTCCTGCATGATGGCCGTGCCACTGGGGTGGCAGAGGAGAGATAAAAAGTTAGAATTACACTGTTTCTTCAGGCGTAACAAAGACCGCTAGGTGACGCGCGCATGTCCGAACAGACCTGAAAACTTTCCTTAGCTCCCTGAGCGAATAGGCTTTAGCTCAGTGGGCTAAAACAGGCGAGCAGGAGACCCGAGTTTGAACACGAACAAACATAAACCCTTACCTAAGCATCCAGGTGTCGTAATCTATATCAGTCATAGTGTTAGGAAACTCCAGCTCTTCTGGCCTGATGGCAGTCACACCTGGATAGAACACACACACACAAACATATCACCCCTCTGCTGTGAGCGTGGATAGGGCTGTGTGAGAAGGTAGAGGGGGATGAAATAAAAACACCTTACCTGCCATTATCTTACCTGCTTCTATTGACCCCGACCAACGGTCCACCATCTTCTGAATGACTATCTCAAAGAGCTCTCCGTCTCGAAGGCACCTGGCAATGGACAAGACACAGTCAGGACACACAAATGATGTGTGTGTGTGTACATTCTGACCTGTTGGAAATGACGTTGGTGTGTGTGCGCGTCACACTGACCTGTTGGAGATGACGTTGGTGTGTGTGCGTCACACTGACCTGTTGGAGATGACGATGGCGTCGTTGAACTCGGAGCGACAGTTCTGTCTGAAGGCGGTGCGCCCCCCGTTGGTGATCACTGCGTTGGTGCCGTGCAGCTGGTGGAAGCGCAGGTCGTTGGCACTGTTGTCCCCGGCGACCGAGCATGGGCTGCCGGGCGACATGACGGTTGGGCCCTCCGAGCTGTCCTCGGGGAGAGGGGGGAGGTCCGCTAGAGAGGGGAGAGAGGTGGGGTTAGTCATGAATGGTTGTTGAGACAAAGCTAGTTGAATGAGGAAATTCACATACTACCTACAGATGCATTCCCATGTAATCGGTATACAAAACCTTTTTGATCGGTGACACACTAGAAGCCTTTAGAATGTTCTTGTGAACCTCTAACTTCTCCACTCCTGTCTCTCACCCCTTCCTCCCCCATCATCCCTCTCACCCATGTCGTCCATGATGGTGGCCTGCGCGGCCTGGCCGTAGAGGTCCACCACGGCGTAGACGCTGGGCGGGACGTTCCACGCTGCCGGGCCCTGTGTCACCCCGTTCACAAAGAAGTGGAGGCTCCCATCCTCCTTACGCACCACGCCCACCGTGTCCCCCGCCTGGAGAGAGAGAGAGACAGAGAGCGGAGTGTTAAACTAACAACTGCGAAGCACAACAGGCAGTAAGTAGTAGAATGATAGTGTCATATGTTGATAATGAGGGATCAAGTGGGTGGGGGGGATCGAGTTAGATAAATTAAGGCTGAGTGTAAAGAACATCTCCCACTCACTTTGAGTCGGTCCAGGTTGTGTCCGTACTCGTCCAGTATGGTGGTTCCGTTGTGCATCACCCCATTCCCGGTCATCATCCACGTCCCTGAGGAACGTCAACGTCAAATCAGCCAATCTATACCTCTATCCAAACATTCTGTACATTGAGTATGGAAAAGTAGATAAATAAAGCCCCTATCCATAGACACTGCTCAAAGGATTGGAAGGGTATGAGGTGGAAACTCAACCTAGCCTAAAAGAAGAGAGGTCGGTATTACCTGGGGTGTCTAGGGGTAAGAGGTCGGTATTACCTGGGGTGTCTAGGGGTAAGAGGTCGGTATTACCTGGGGTGTCTAGGGGTAAGAGGTCGGTATTACCTGGGGTGTCTAGGGGTAAGAGGTTGGTATTACCTGGGGTGTCTAGGGGTAAGAGGTTGGTATTACCTGATTGGTTGGTATTACCTGAGCGCAGGTTGGTCATGGTGGAGGGCAGCTGCAGGTAGGCGGGGTTGTGAGTGGTCACGCCAATCTCGATGGAGCCCGCCCACTTGTCCACCATCTTGTCGATGCGCACCTGGAACACCTCGTTGGAGCGCAGTGGGCGGCCGCTCAGGACCACGCCGTGGTTGAAGTCGTCCGTCGCACTGCCCGATGAAAAATTCACACAATCAAATGTATTTGTACATTTATCTATTTAGTAATATATTGTATAAGGTATGTTACATATATGTCATTATTTATAAAGGCCCTTTAACATCAGCAGTTGTCAAAAAGTACTTTTACAGTAACCCGGCCTAGACCCCAAAGAGCAAGCACAATTGTTTTTGGGGTCATTTTAGCAGACGCTCTTATCCAGAGCGACTTACAGTTAGTGAGTGCATACATTTATTTATTTTCATACTGGCCCCCCCGTGGGAATCGAACCCACAACCCTGGCATGCAAGCGCCATGCTCTACCAACTGAGCTACATGGGACAGTAATGATGACATTGAGTTGGTACTGGACTGTAATGATGTTGCCACGCCTAGGGGGCAGGGTCAGAGGTCATCACATAAGAATAGCTTATATTTTTGACCTGTGAGAGTGTAATAGGAGTGCATCATCAATAATTATTTCTAGAGAAACCAAATATCTGTTTTTCTGATGTTGCAAATTATATCCTTATCCTAAACTGTCTACGGAGTCGACTGGTCATTTTCTACATATACAAAAACGGCCGTAAACTGACCATTTGAATCTTACAGACAGTTGGTAATAATATTGTTTGGAACAAGGCCATGGTTACGTACTGAGGGCGAAGAGCTGTCCTGCCTTCACTGATGATGGCCGCCTTTTGCCCACAGTTGGAGTGGAAGAGGAGGCGGTCGGTGGTGTCAGGGTCCGAGGTGAGGGAGAGGGTGTGCCGGGGGCGGCCCACGTCGGGGGACAGCGCCCGCATTATGGCGTTGTTGCGACGCAGCCGGTCACTGTGGTTGTGATTGTGGACGATGGTCACCTTGACCGCCATGCCGTAGAGGTCGACCACGCCGTAGACCACGGCAGGTGTCTGGGCCGACGCCACACCTAGGGGGCAGGGTCAGAGATCAAGTTGAGGTTGTGGTAGAATTGGATGTTTGGATGAAATATGATAATGATTTGCAATTGTACGTGTTTCTTGAACCGACAATGAGTTTTACATTGTATGGGGCAAAAATCACCACTGCATGACAATCAGGTAAGCAATACATCAAATTACAAGAAGTATGCAAAACATAACAACCATTTCAACAATGTGTATTTTTATTAAATAAAATATTTCATGCATTTTTGCTTCATGATTTGTCTGTCGTTAGGTCACCGCAAGGTTACTACTATATCAACCGACGAGCTCTAAGCACCTATCTCTCCAACACCACGCTACAGCCATTCAATCCCTCGTTACATTGACGGATGCTCCTGGCGTGTCACTCTCACCTTGGTCGATGCCATTGATGTAGAAGTGAAGAGCTCCGCTGGCCTTGTGCATCAGGCCTATGTGATCCCCTTCCTGGACGACAGTGACACATATGGTGTTAGGTTGTGTGTGTGTGTGTGTGTGTGTGTGTGTTAGGTTGTGTGTGTTTGGTACTGACCTGCAGTTCGTCCAGGCTGAATTCACAGTACTCCCGACGGGTCCCCTTGCCATTAGTCAGGATCCCACAGCCACTCATCATGATTGTACCTGGGAGGGCAAGAAACACACACACACACACACACACACACACAGGCATCCGCACAAACACCCACACACAGTGTTGCATGAACTTAATACATTCTGTAACATGATCTATTCTACAAAAAACTGCACACATGTTTAATCTTGTAGAATGTATCTTGCCGTTCTGTGTGTGTGTGTGTGCGTTACGTACCTGAGCGCAGATTTGTCATTGTGGCAGGGTAGTCCAGGTTGTTGGGGTTGTGTGTCGTCACGCCGATCTCAATCGACCCCGACCACTTGTCCACCAGCTTATCTATGCGGATCTGTGGCAACAGAAACCAGGGGCGTATATTCATTAGCACACACTGTAGCAAAACGTTTTGCAACGACTGAAAAATAAGTAAGCGTTTATTATTGGACAAGTTCAGGCAGTCCCTCCCAGCTTCGGTCCATTTGGTGTCTAGTGAATTCTCTCACCCTGTATCCTCCAGAACATTCACTGATTTTCCATTTTACAATATATTATTCATATCAAGCTGCAATTCAGCAGATCCAAATGAAAATGTACTAATCTATTCACAGCCTGTGGCAGTAGCATTATGAATATTAATTGTCTAAATCTGAAGCCTCCAGCTCTATCATATGAAGAGGAGTAGCTTTAAGTTGTGATATGTCATAGCAAAATGGTGACACTTTACTTGACCCCGCCGTTGTAACAGATGTCATAAACATGTCGTAAACAGTTATGACAGCTGGTGTCAGTTATATATCTGTTTTACCATTAATATGACAGCGCGTGTATTCTTTATGAAGGACAACATTATTAAGAGTTAGCAAACATTATTAAAAACTCGCTCTTGCTCTAAACCCCGCCCCTGCCCCTTCTAAGCATTCACATCTCAGTATCGGAGCCAGTGATTGGCCGCACCTCAAACATCTCGTTGTGTCGGAGCGGCCGGTTGGTCATGACCACGCCGTTGTTGAACTCATCCAGTGGCCGTCGCCTCTCCGCCGTCTTGTTGTTGTTGCTCAGCTTGATCAGCGTGCCGCACTTCTCATGGAACAGCAGCGCGTCATTGGTCGTCATCCCGCCCGTCACCGCCCCAAGTCCCGCCCCTCCTGCAGGGCTGTTATTGGTGCTTCCGGTATTGCCGGTCCCGCCCCCGCTGTCACTGTTGACAGCTCCCCCTCCGCTGCTGCTCCCCCTGTCCCCTCTACTTCCATTCCCAGAGTCTGTCCCCGTTCCTCCCCCCAAGTCTCGCCCTCCTCCGCCCTCGTCCTCTGAGCGGTAGAGGGACACGATGGCATTGTTGAACACGTCAAAGAGCTGGTGCTCCGTCAGAACTAGACAGAAAAAAAGAACGACCAGGGAGAGACCAGAGAGAGAGACCAGAGAGAGAGAAAAGGAGGGCGAGGGACAGTCAATAATATTGCACCATTGACCAAATGTAATAAAGATTCAGGTAGAGCTTTTGGGAGTTTTATTTTCGTACCCGTTTCAGGATCTATGTTGTTGGGGAACTCAGGTCGGTCGTGAGTAGGAGGGAGCTCCGGCACTGAGACAAAGGAGGAAAGAGACGAAACAAGAGTGAGAGAGAGACAGGAGTCAGTCTTTCCCTTATTTACCCTTCTACAACCTTTCACACAATGACACAACAAACCCTCTCTTTTAATACATAAACATAGCAAACAAAAACAACTCCTACCTTGCTCTGTCGTCCCGTTTGTCCCATTAGTTGCTGCTGCCAGATTCACCACTGACGTCAGATCCCCTGTGTCCACCTCCCTGACCCCGCACACCACCACCTCCTCATGCCCCTCCACCGTCTCCCTCTCCGGATCTCTCTCCATCGAAGAGGGCGGCTCGCAGCTCACCACCGTCACTTGCGTACACTTGCCGTAGAGGTCCACCACCGCCCAGAGGCGCGTCGGGAGACCGCTGGCAGCTGCACCGCAGTCATGCCCATTCACCCACAGGTGGAGCTCGCCGCGGGTGCTCCGCTGTAGAGTAGAACAGAAATAAGAATAGCAATACTTCATTGTCCATTTTTAGAGAAACAGACATTGGTCTTCTGCCTAGCCTATCTCAACCTCCCCAAATACATACACAGAGTTGAGAGGCACAGGGTCAGCGTCCCTGGATGGAGAGCAATTGTAGAGGTTGAGTGCCTTGCTCAAGGGCACAACGGCAAGGATCAGTGACCAGTACCCCTCCTGTTACCAATTCAGTGCCCGGCCCAGGGCATGAACCGGTGTTGACCTTCCGGCCACAGGTCCGCCTCTCTAACCCACTAGCCTACCTACCTGTATGCCCACGCGGTCGCCCTCGGCCAGCTGGTCCAGGTCACGGCCGTACTCCTCTAGGACGGAGCGGCCGTCACGTAGGACTGAGCAGCCAGAGACGATCCAGGAGCCTCCCTTCAGACCAGTAGCGCTGCTGGGGAAATCGAGACAAGACGGGTCCAGAGCAGTCACCCCGATCTCTACGGAGCCGCTCCACGAGTTCACCTGCAGCAAGAAGTGAAGTTTATTTAGGCTACTCATTCATCTATTTATTTATCTGTCCATTTTTAGATCTAGTCAGTAAGGCACAATACATTGTATAGCGTTCCAATTTTAATCCAAATATATATATATATATGACACACCTACTCATTCAAGGGTTTTTCTTTATTTTTATTATTTTCTACATTGTAGAATAATAGTGAAGACATCAAAACTATGAAATAACACATATAGAATCATGTAGTAACCAAAAAAGTACTCAACAAATCAAAATATATTTTATATTTGAGATTCTTCAAATAGCCACCCTTTGCCTTGATGACAGCATTGCACACTCTTGGCATCATCTCAACCAGCTTCATGAGGTAGCCACTTGGAATGCATTTCAATTAGCAGGTGTGCCTTGTTAAAAGTTAATTTGTGGAATTTATTTCAGTCTTAATGCGTTTGAGCCAATCAGTTGTGTTGTGACAAGGTGGGGGGGGATACAGAAGATAGCCCTATTTGGTAAAAGACCAAGTCCATATTATGGCAAGAACAGCTCAAATAAGCAAAGAGAAACTACAGTCCATCATTACTTTAAGACATGATTGGTCAGTCAATACGGAACATTTCAAGAACTTTGAAAGTTTCTTCAAGTGCAGTCACACTTGAAGAAACTCTACGCTTTCACGTAAAAAAGAAAGAAAAACCCTTGAATGAGTAGGTGTCCAAACTTTCGACTGGTACTGTGTGTGTGTGTGTGTGTGTGTGTGTATGTATGTATATATACACACACACATACATATATACACACACACAGTGGGGAGAACAAGTATTTGATACACTGCCGATTTTGCAGGTTTTCCTACCTACAAAGCATGTAGAGGTCTGTAATTTTTATCATAGGTACACTTCAACTGTGAGAGACTGAATCTAAAACAAAAATCCAAAAAATCACATTGTATGATTTTTAAGTAATTAATTTGCATTTTATTGCATGACATAAGTATTTGATCACCTACCAAACAGTAAGAATTCCGGCTCTCACAGACCTGATAGTTTTTCTTTAAGAAGGTAGCTTAGTGGTTAAGAGCGTTGTGCCAGTAACCGAAAGGTCGCTGGTTCTAATCCCCGAGCCGACTAGGTGAAAAATCTGTCGATGTGCCCTTGAGCAAGGCACTTAACCCTAATTGCTCTTGTAAGTCGCTCTGGATAAGAGCGTCTGCTAAATGACTAAAATGTAAGAAGCCCTCCTGTTCTCCACTCATTACCTGTATTAACTGCAACCGTTTGAACTCGTTACCTGTATAAAAGACACCTCTCCACAATGGCCAAGACCAGAGAGCTGTGTAAGGACACCAGGGATAAAATTGTAGACCTGCACAAGGCTGGGATGGGCTACAGGACAATAGGCAAGCAGCTTGGTGAGAAGGCAACAACTGTTGGCGCAATTATTAGAAAATGGAAGAAGTTCAAGATGACGGTCAATCACCCTCGGTCTGGGGCTCCATGCAAGATCTCACCTTGTGGGGCATCCATGATCATGAGGAAGGTGAGGGATCAGCCCAGAACTACACGGCAGGACCTGGTCAATGACCTGAAGAGAGCTGGGACCACAGTCTCAAAGAAAACCATTAGTAACACACTACGCCGTCATGGATTAAAATCCTGCAGCGAACACAAGGTCCCCCTGCTCAAGCCAGTGCATGTCCAGGCCCGTCTGAAGTTTGCCAATGACCATCTGGATGATCCAGAGGAGGAATGGGAGAAGGCAATGTGGTCTGATGAGACAAAAATAGAGCTTTTTGGTCTAAACTCCACTCGCCGTGTTTGGAGGAAGAAGAAGGATGAGTACAACCCCAAGAACACCATCCCAACCGTGAAGCATAGAGGTGGAAACATCATTCTTTGGGGATGCTTTTCTGCAAAGGGGACAGGACGACTGCACCATATTGAGGGGAGGATGGATGGGGCCATGTATCGCAAGATCTTGGCCAACAACCTCCTTCCCTCAGTAAGAGCATTGAAGATGGGTCGTGGCTGGGTCTTCCAGCATGACAACGACCCGAAACACACAGCCAGGGCAACTAAGGAGTGGCTCCGTAAGAAGCATCTCAAGGTCCTGGAGTGGCCTAGCCAGTCTCCAGACCTGAACCCAATAGAAAAATCTTTGGAGGTAGCTGAAAGTCCGTATTGCCCAGCGACAGCCCCGAAACCTGAAGGATCTGGAGAAGGTCTGTATGGAGGAGTGGGCCAAAATCCCTGCTGCAGTGTGTGCAAACCTGGTCAAGACTACAGGAAACGTATGATCTCTGTAATTGCAAACAAAGGTTCTGTACCAAATATTAAGTTCTGCTTTTCTGATGTATCAAATACTTATGTCTTGCAATAAAATGCAAATTAATTACTTAAAAATCATACAATGTGATTTTCATACAATATGATAAAAATTACAGACCTCTACATGCTTTGTAAGTAGGAAACCTGCGAAATAGCAGTGTATCAAATACTTGTTCCCCACTGTGTGTGTGTGTGTGTGTGTGTGTGTGTGTGTGTGTGTGTGTGTATATATATATATATATATATATATATATATATACAATTATTTTTGTTAATCTTTAATTTACGGAGTCCTTTGTCCTTTAATTTATGGAGTACATTTATTTACATGTTATCTATCAACAGCCAACTCCTGATAAGTGCACATTCTGTGAACAACAAACTCACATTTGACTTGAAGACCAAAAAGCAAACACAGAGTAAAGTCAATCAAATGAAAACAAGTCCATAAATGTATCACAGTAGGCCTACAGATTGCGAGGACAGAAGGCGGCAGGTCAGAGAGTACAAGATGTTGAGCTAGGTTAAAGATGGACCAAGAGTCAATAATATACTTTAAACTGAGGCAGAGGAATGCAATCTAGCGCAGGGCTCTAAAGTGCAACCATTTTACTCGCATATGTGCACCAGTGCTCCTAAATTTATTTTTGTGCGCCTAAATTTTTCAACTGTAAAAAAGGTCAGCGTAGAGCCCTGATCTAGAGGGGTTTTACAGGGCTGTGTGTGTGTGTGTGTTAGCTAGGTGTTCAGATTTAGAATGATGTGCTTGCAAGGACAAACGCTGTAATGCCAGATGTTGTGATTTTCATTACCACAAAATGTGGTGACTTTGGCCTACACATTTTGTGATACTGAAAATCACAACATCTGGCATTACGGCATTCATCCTTGCAAGCACATCATTCTAGATCTGATGTAGACCCTCTCTCTCTCTCATATACACACACACTAAAACACACTCTCTCTCCAGCACACATACACACAAATCTGCAAACGAACGTGAACACAGAAAAAACAAACAAACACAGATCTGTGAATACAAGCTGCTGCAACTCCTTATCTCTCTCTGACACACACACACTACAAAGACTAGCAGCCAGGGGAGAGATACTACACTACTGCTTACAAAACTACCATCCTGCATAATAGGCTACTGTCACTATTATCAACACCATCCTATTCCACACAGAACAAGCTGTTGTATATCAATCTAGCAGCTTGGTTTTGGTGCATTTGCCTGTTGTCCGATTGCAGGACAAGACACAAGCTCTATCAATGTCTATATATAGCATTACTGTAGCAACAACGCCAAGTTTGTTGCACTGACTGTACAGCACAGATATTGATTTCCGTCATGCAATTACGGATAGGGGTCCATTATAACTTCAATACATGTGATGATACTGGCCGTGAAACTATCGCCAGTGAGAAAACATATCGGGTCACTCACTGCCGGGAGGGATATAGGCCTATCTGTTGTTAATGTTATCTATCTAGTTAGCTATGCTCTTCATGTGAAGGCTTGTTGTGCGAGTTTGTTATCCATGAAGCTAGCTAGTGATTTCTAGAGTTGCATTACAAGTGGTTGAAGAATAAGCCCTCTATATGTGTTCACTGAGCTGTGTGCTACCCCAGTTGGCTCCTAGGCTAAAATGGCATTCGAGGAGACAGTACTCGTGCCCTCTGCCAAAAACCCACAGGTGTGAGGGGCACCAACGTGCCAGCAGGCTGGCAGACCGGTAATCATGGATAACAGGCAAACTAGGTGCTGTGGTCGGCATAGAGATAAGTCTAAATGCTGCATTGGCAGGCAGACCTATAACAGCAACAGTAACTAACGGTTAGCATAGGACTACATGCAGTTTAAAAGATAAATTAGGGCTCAAAACGTTGGCCGTGTTGGAGAGCATCAAATCCATGATACAGTGAAGGAAAAAAGTATTTGAGCCTCTGCTGATTTTGTAAGTTTGCCCACTGACAAAGAAATTATGTCTATAATTTTAATAGTAGGTTTATTTGAACAGTGAGAGACAATAACAACAACAAAATCCAGAAAAACGCATGTCAAAAATGTTATAAATTGATTTGCATTTTAATGAGGGAAATAAGTATTTGACCCCTCTGCAAAACATGACTTAGTACTTGGTGGCAAAACCCTTGTTGGCAATCACAGAGGTCAGACGTTTCTTGTAGTTGGCCACCAGGTTTGCACACATCTCAGGAGGGATTTTGTCCCACTCCTCTTTGCAGATCTTCTCCAAGTCATTAAGGTTTTGAGGCTGACGTTTGGTAACTCGAACGTTCAGCTCCCTCCACAGATTTTCTACGGGATTAAGGTCTGGAGACTGGCTAGGCCACTCCAGGACCTTAATGTGCTTCTTCTTGAGCCACTCCTTTGTTGCCTTGGCCGTGTGTTTTGGGTCATTGTCATGCTGGAATACCCATCCACGACCCATTTTCAATGCCCTGGCTGAGGGAAGGAGGTTCTCACCCAAGATTTGACGGTACATGGCCCCGTCCATCGTCCCTTTGATGCGGTGAAGTTGTCCTGTCCCCTTAGCAGAAAAACACCCCCAAAGCATAATGTTTCCACCTCCATGTTTGACGGTGGGGATGGTGTTCTTGGGGTCATAGGCAGCATTCCTCCTCCTCCAAACACGGCGAGTTGAGTTGATGCCAAAGAGCTCGATTTTGGTCTCATCTGACCACAACACTTTCACCCAGTTCTCCTCTGAATCATTCAGATGTTCATTGGCAAACTTCAGATGGGCCTGTATATGTGCTTTCTTGAGCAGGGGGACCTTGCGGGCGCTGCAGGATTTCAGTCCTTCACGGCGTAGCATGTTACCAATTGTTTTCTTGGTGACTATGGCCCCAGCTGCCTTCTTGCATGGAGCCCCAGGCCGAGGAAGATTGTCAGGTCTTTTGTGTTTCTTCCATTTGTGAATAATCGCACCAACTGTTGTCACCTTCTCACCAAGCTGCTTACCAAGGCGATGTTCTTGTAGCCCATTCCAGCCTTGTGTAGGTCTACAATCTTGTCCCTGACATCCTTGGAGAGCTCTTTGGTCTTGGTCATGGTGGAGAGTTTGGAATCTGATTGATTGATTGCTTCTGTGGACAGGTGTCTTTTATACAGGTGACAAGATGAGATTAGGAGCACTCCCTTTAAGAGTGTGCTCCTAATCTCAGCTCGTTACCTGTATAAAAGACACCTGGGAGCCAGAAATCTTTCTGATTGAGAGGGGGTCAAATACTTATTTCCCTCATTAAAATGCAAATCAATTTATAACATTTTTGACATGCGTTTTTCTGGATTTTTTTGTTGTTATTCTGTATCTCACTGTTCAAATAAACCTACCATTAAAATTATAGACTGATCATTTCTTTGTCAGTGGGCAAACGTACAAAATCAGCAGGGGATCAAATACTTTTTTCCCCCTCACTGTATATTGTGGGTAAATGGTGACTGATTGATCTACAAATAATAATGAGTAGTTAGTTATTTATGATGCAAGGTGATTTGTAGATCAGTCAGTCGGTCAACTTCGAATAACCTCTCCCTACTATGAATAGGCTCCTTCCTGAAAAGCATAGCTGTAGTTTATCTGGATTATTGGGCCTCTTTGTGATACACAATGGCTGCGTTTACACAGGCAGCACAATTCAGAGTTTTTGCCAAATGATTGGCAAAAGAGCTAATCTGATTGGTCAAAACACCAATTAGAGAAAAAAGTTCACAATTAGGCTGCCTGTGTAAACGCAGCCAATGTGTATCACAAAGAGGCCCAATAATCCAGATAAACTACAGCTATGCTTTTCAGGAAGGAGCCTATTCATAGTAGGGAGAGGTTTCCCCCTAACCACTGACACAGGGTCAGTTGTTTTTGTCAACTTTAGTCTTGAGTTGACCATGCACCAACTAGGACACCACCATAGATATAGAACCCCATATTGTCTGGTCTTGATAAGCAAAAGAAGGGTAAAGGGCAACGCAGACCTCAGTTAAGACCACAGTAGTGACATATGGCCTACCTGACGGATAGGTTAACTTGAATCAACCAGTTGGCTTCTCTCCTCTAGCTGTAGGTAGACGTTCTCTGTGACTAGCTGGACGTCAACAACTGAAAAATGCTGCTGTCTGTGTTGTCAACCAAGTGACTGCTGCTAGCTAGCTAGAGCTCTAGCTACAGTAGCTCGCTACCTTACATTTCAACCAAGCAAACTCATGGCTAGCTAAACGAGCTAACGTTGCTATGCAGTTTATCCTGTTGTGAACCTATCTGGCTCAATGTTGGTCGTGGTAATAATAGGTCATTGATATGGCTAGCTATAGCTAGTTAGCCGTTGAAAGCTAACGTTACAGTGTTTTGACAGAGAGGGGCTCTTGCTGGTTCGATCCACACACAAAAAGCTCGCTAGTATGGCTAAAAAATATACTGTATAATAATATGGACTTAACCACACGAACACCATCCCATGCTACTACTATCAATGAATGTGAGCTGGCTAGCTAGCTAGTTAATTGTGTTGAACAATTTTTGTTGTCAATGGGCCAATGCAAATGTGTTGCAGTACATTTTGGACAGGATACAGCTAAAACGATAGCTTGTAAACCTATCAACACTGTACTGCTTGATTGTCAAACTGCGCACGCCCAAACAGGACTGAATAAGGCACGAGCACCACTGCGGACAACAGAGACCCCGTCCCACTCGCACGGGATGCACTCTCTCCTCGCATTCCCCATCTCTTCCCCCCCCCCGACCCAAAGTGACAGCTCTGTTTACCTTCTTGTCAATACGGACGGTGAATACATCCTGGTCCCTCAGCGGCTCTCTGCTTAGAACCAACCCGTGGTTAAATTCTTGGACTGGTTGGTTCCGCTGAGCGGTTCTGTTCGAATTCGAAAGGCCGATCAGTTTTCCGCTGCGCGGGTGCAGCTCAGCCGCCATCTTCACTGGGGCGGCGTGCTTTACGACACACGGGTTTGCGACAATATGAAAGCTCTGGCTTTAAATGCAAATCGAAATACCCGCCCACGTTTTTAAGATTAACTGCAGAAGGTCAAGCACGCAAAATTGCTTTATGGCAGTGTGGTGCGCTTTCTGTCCAGGCAGAATCAATCAATATAACATTTATCACAGGTTTCCAAGAATGGGCAGTGTTTTATATGCATACATCTGCCATATCCCATATATTTACAAGCATTTCGCTACACCCGAAATAACATCTGCTAAATATGTGTATGTGTATGTGACCAATAAAATGTGATTTGAGATTTGATTTGATATACCTCAACACTTTGAAACCAAGCATTTCAAGCTCATAGAACTACATGATTCATTCAGCATCCAGCAGCACACTATATAAGGCATGCATTATGCTTCAAATATACTATTAATTAATAATACATAGACATTAAAATATAGATACATCTATTTTTGCAGTGCGTGAGTCAGCTGGATATTGCAAATCCAAGTTGTTATGAGGAGTAGATGCCTTGCCCACTGAATGGGACATTTTTAATTGCTGTGCATTAAGATATGAAATTATGTTATGGCAATAATTGGCCCCAAAATTGTGCTATGAAGAAAACATTTTCACACCGAAAGACTATTTCCTTCACTATTTCGATGGCAGTTTCAGAGATCATGCATGCTACAAGACAGACCACTAGAGGGCGCACGAGGCTGATGGAGGGACGGCGTTTTGACATCCAGTACAGCAGGTGGCAGTAATGCGCTTTTCTATTTAATGCACAGCAATAGAGCTCGTCAGCTTGTAGTTCCTTATTATAGCATGGTGTTGTAGTCCTAAAACCCGGAAATGAGTTACCTCAGGTTCGTTCAGCCATCCCTATGGGAAAAATGTATGGGCAAAGAATAGGGTTTTGGAATAAAAGCAGAAAATAAGGTCTGACATTCACACAGGCTTAGGAGATATATGTTTTGTTCTGAGATAATAACAGTAAGTCAACATGACCTTTATGAATTACGAAGCCTTTATGTGCTTTAGGTGCTTTTTTGAATTACATAAATTCTTCAAAATTCACAAAAAGTGACATTAGCTGATGAAGATTATCTCATAGAACAAAACGTATAAGATCTGCTAAGCCTGTGTTTACCACACACCTTATTTTCGGCGTTTATCCAAAAACGGCATTCATTTTCCCCATAGGTTTTGTTTAATGAACCATGGTGGAGTTAGTGCCTACAAAAAGACTGCATTACTATTTCTCTCTATGTCAAGCTGGTAGAAGAGTTTTGGCTGGAGTCGACTGCAAGTTTTTGCAGTGGGAGCATGGCGGCTGTCAAGAGACTTAAACAAAAAGTAGTAGTGGAAAAGGATGGAGACACGTGGAACATCGAGTCCGACAGTGAAAGTGATAAGGATTCTAATGGAAGTATATTTCCAGGCATGGGATCAATGAGGAGATGGAAGGAAGTAGGTTACGAGTTTGAATCCGATGAAGCTAGCAACATCGAGGGAGACGGTGCGTAGAGGACGATTGGCGTCAAGTACAAACAGAATGAGCTGTACTCCAGTAGCTCTGGAGGTGAATTGGAAGAGAATGAAAATGAATTACCTGAGGTGCCAAGTGTGGTGAAGAGCCTTGCACTGATGGTCATGATAAATATGAATCTGGTCCAGTAGGAGTGACATTTTTGGAGAAAGTGGACCCCAGCCTTTTGGCTAACCTATATGTGGTTTCAGATTGGGTGAAAAAGGAGTTGGGTACTGTTGAATCGGTGAAGATAACCTGAAGTGGACTACACGCGAATGGGGACAAGACCTGTTTCTTGCTTTGTTCTCAGGAACAGGGTGCCATTGAAAGGAGTGATTACTGGAGTAGCGGTAAGGGTGGAGGTGGATCAACTGAAGTTGAAGATTCCCGGTGTCTGTGACACAGACCCCGTCGCGAGCGTGGTGAAACAGAAGAGTCACTGCACTTGTTAGACATTGCAGCCGACAGTGCAGGCGACTGCAGACTGACTGATCTACAAATCATCTTCCATCATAAATAACTACTCATTATTATTTGTGGTTCAGTCAGTCAGTCACAATTTACCCATGATACATAACGTTTTTGATCCTTTCGAATACGGCCACTGTCTGTCCTTTTGAATTTTGAAATTAACGTTAGGATATATCAGTTATCCTGTAAAAGCTTTTGTGCCGAATCCACTACGGTGTTTCAGGTGCCAAACTTATGGTCATGTTGCAGCAGGGTGTAGGCGGGAGATCCCTAGATGTAAGAAGTGTGCAGGAGGGCATGGGACAAAGGAATGTGTAGTATCGGTGAAAGAAGCGGTATGTGTTAACTGTAGGGGTGCCCATGTTATTTATATTTATATATATATATATATATATATATATATACAGTGGGGAGAACAAGTATTTGATACACTGCCGATTTTGCAGGTTTTCCTACTTCCAAAGCATGTAGAGGTCTGTAATTTTTATCATAGGTACACTTCCACTGTGAGAGACGAATGATTTTTAAGTAATTAATTTGCATTTTATTGCATGACATAAGTATTTGATCACCTACCAACCAGTAAGAATTCCAGCTCTCACAGACCTGTTCGTTTTTCTTTAAGAAGCCCTCCTGTTCTCCACTCATTACCTGTATTAACTGCACCTGTTTGAACTCGTTACCTGTATAAAAGACACCTGTCCACACACTCAATCAAACAGACTCCAACCTCTCCACAATGGCCAAGACCAGAGAGCTACGTAAGGACATCAGTGATAAAATTGTAGACCTGCATAAGGCTGGGATGGGCTACAGGACAATAGGCAAGCAGCTTGGTGAGAAGGCAACAACTGTTGGCGCAATTATTAGAAAATGGAAGAAGTTCAAGATGACGGTCAATCATCCTCGGTCTGGGGCTCCATGCAAGATCTCACCTCATGGGGCATCAATGATCATGAGGAAGGTGAGGGATCAGCCCAGAACTACACGGCAGGACCTGGTCAATGACCTGAAGAGAGCTGGGACCACAGTCTCAAAGAAAACCATTAGTAACACACTACGCAGTCATAGATTAAAATCCTGCAGCACACGCAAGGTCCCCCTGCTCAAGCTAGCGCATGTCCAGGCCCGTCTGAAGTTTGCCAATGACCATCTGGATGATCCAGAGGAGGAATGGGAGAAGGTCATGTGGTCTGATGAGACAAAAATATGGCTTTTCGGTCTAAACTCCACTCGCCGTGTTTGGAGGAAGAAGAAGGATGAGTACAACCCCAAGAACACCATCCCAACCGTGAAGCATGGAGGTGGAAACATCATTCTTTGGGGATGCTTTTCTGCAAAGGGGACAGGACGACTGCACCGTATTGAGGGGAGGATGGATGGGGCCATGTATCGCGAGATCTTGGCCAGCAACCTCCTTCCCTCAGTAAGAGCATTGAAGATGGGTCGTGGCTGGGTCTTCCAGCATGACAACGACCCGAAACACACAGCCAGGGCAACTAAGGAGTGGCTCCGTAAGAAGCATCTCAAGGTCCTGGAGTGGCCTAGCCAGTCTCCAGACCTGAACCCAACAGAAAATCTTTGGAGGGAGCTGAAAGTCCGTATTGCCCAGCGACAGCCCCGAAACCTGAAGGATCTGGAGAAGGTCTGTATGGAGGAGTGGGCCAAAATCCCTGCTGCAGTGTGTGCAAACCTGGTCAAGACCTACAGGAAACATATGATCTCTGTAATTGCAAACAAAGGTTTCTGTACCAAATATTAAGTTCTGCTTTTCTGATGTATCAAATACTTATGTCATGCAATAAAATGCAAATTAATTACTTAAAAATCATACAATGTGATTTTCTTTGTTTTAGATTCCGTCTCTCACAGTGGAAGTGTACCTATGATAAAAATGACAGACGTCTACATGCTTTGTAAGTAGGAAAACCTGCAAAATCGGCAGTGTATCAAATACTTGTTCTCCCCACTGTATATATATTTATTTGATCATTTAAAACACAATACAACCACACATGTGGATAATGCATTTAAAATCATTGAGGATGAAACAAAAGTTTGAAAACGTATTTCCATTGTGGTCCTCTTAAATAAATGGCTCAAAAGATTAACAAACATAACATAGTAGGCCTAGCCTACATAGTAGGCACACTTGGGTTTACTAATAATAATTAATTCATTTTTGAACCTGTATAGTGCTTTGAATCTCAAAGCGCATAAAAATTAAAACACCAAACAAAAAATAGAAATTATGGAGATTAAAAGTCTCAGTCGGCTTGGGATGAAGTTGAGGCAATTTGGGTTGGAAAGGCAGTGTAGGTTCAGTGGGAGAGGGCATTGATGTGACAGACAAGGAGAAACAAAGACAGTATGAAAAAACAGGCCCAGAGCTCTTCAACAGCGCACCACACCTGCTTCTCTGAATGGTCAGTCGCTCCATTGGAGCCGCTTCTCTGGTGCTGGTCCTCCATTGCCAGGAATGTAGCACCCACCTGGGTGATGCCATGGCTGATGAAAAGTGCACGAAAAGCCACCACATCTTGGCAGTTTCTCAACACTTTTTTTGTTGTTGTTTTATTAAAAAAAAAAAAAATGCACTGTTGGTTAAGGGCTGTAAGTAAGCATTTCACTGTAATGTCTGCACCTGTTGTATTCGGCGCATGTGACCAATACAATTTGATTTGATTTGGTTAGGAGTGTTCCCTGAAAAGTGCTTGAGCTTCCTCTGCTACCTCTGACTGGACACAGTATGCAGTCCTTGGTGTAATACTTCCAAACAGATGAAACAGAAAGCCAAATGATTTGAATCCAAACAGCCAGCTAGCTAGCTATCAAAGACTTTTCATCACGATCCTACAACTCTGAGTCCACAGGATATAGTGATCAAACCCTAGAGCAGCCAACCCCCCCAAAAAATACATAAAAAAATTCAACAAAAAACATTTACAAATAATAATAAAACATATGTACCATATATGGGAAATTATTTTCTTATAACTAGATGTGATGCCTAGCTTAGAAATAATGCATTAATGATTAAACATAAAAGGTTTGTACTGTACTGATGTAAATTGTTTAACCTAACAAGCTGTGATTAATGTGAGGAGCTGTTTTAGGGAGTAGGGGGAGATAAGAACTTGTGTCTCACATACACGAACACTGCCTCTTTGTGATCTGTGAACCGTCCAAGGACGTAGGTACAAAGAGTACAGGGGAACTGTGTCTATGGGTGCTGACTCGGGACAAGGTGTGATGATAACAACTTATGCCTGGCAACAGTGTGCAACGGTGAAGCGCCAAGGGTCTGGGACCAGCTTGTGTGCCAACGATAGGCTGAGTAAGTCTAAACCACGCTCAGTCTCTACTCTGATTGGCCAGCAGGGAGCGGGAACTATCTCTGTCAGAGTATTTGGAGAAGAACTTAGAACAATGGATCAGTTCTCTGAGTGCCCTGCGTGGTATTTCAGTGGACCCGTATATACGAACATTATATTTACCATTGAAGTGTTTTGCATTAATTAAAATACTAGTCTATTTTAGAAGACGTGTATTGACCTCTTTTGTTCCTAATACCAGATTTGAATTGACGCAACTTAACACATATTTATAGAGCTCTCTGCCTAGGCTAACTTATGGTGCCATGGCAACCACTATCTTGTTGCTGGGGATCAGAAGTGTCTGGTGCTAGAGAGGCAAGTTGAGGTTGCCAGGATCAGAGTTTTACAGAAGGTGTCATATGCTGAGCCAACTGAAGAAAGGAGAAGAAGATGGGTCAAGGGTGAGTGATCCTAATAGGCTCCCAGTGAGTAGTAGACTTTTGCCAGTACAGAGTGATAGGCCTACGAATTAAATATGCTTCAGTAAGGTTGGCTTTTTAGCATTCATTGCCATGGTTATCAACTGTACCACAGGAATGGAAAGCAAGTCACAGAAAATACTGTAGGTGTTGTGGTGGCAGTTGCAGAGAAGTATTTAGGATTATGAGATTTTCTGCAGAAGTGTTACAGGGTGTGTTGAATGGTAGTGTCCCGTCCTCCCAGGCCGTTGTCCTGGTGTAGGATCAGATAGGGTCAAAATAGTGGAATGGGGTGGTGGGTTTTTAATGAGTGTAGGGTTAGTTGTGTTCCTACTAGTTACCACAGCCACAAAGTCAAAATTGGCTATATGGTAAAAATATATAAAGAAACATTAGCTTTTTGGTCTTCATTTAAGGTTAGGGTTAGACATAATGTTATCAGTGTGGTTAGGGTTAATGTTAGGTTTAAAACACAATTTTAAGAAGATAAATTGTAGAAATAGGCGGGGTTTATGACCTTGTGGCAACTAGTGACAACCGGTTAGTTGGCCGGGTAATTTTTCCCTTTTTTGTATCACAAAGTACACTGAGTGTACAAAACATTAGGATCACCTTCCTAATATTGAGTTGCACCTCCTTTTGCCCTCAGAACAGCCTCAATTCATCGGGGCATGGACTCTACCATGTGTCGAAAGCATTCTACACGGATTTAAGTGTATTTAACAAGTTACCTCAATAAGGGGTCATAGCTTTCTTTCTGGATTCACCTGGTCAGTCTATGTAACGGAAGAGCAGGTGTTCCTAATGTTTTGTGCACTCAGTGTATAATTGATTTGTACTACAGTCCAGTTGGTGGCGGTAATGCACCATTATTGGATGCTAACTGCCGTCAAACCCCACCGAAGAAGAAGGTGTATTGTCATACGGTCTATGTAGGTTGTTGTACTTTGTTAAAAATGTAACAATCGCTGTTGATAATTAACTACCAAATACAAGATGTGGCAGTCAGATCCTTTCCATAATGAGTTGGTATCTATTATGGATGAATTAATGATGTCGTTTGAGGATGAAATTGACAAATGTATGGCGGTCTCAATCTTTTCCACACAACACAGCACAGACATTGTCGATGCAGGAAAGACAGGGGAGTCCAAGTTGGAGGTAAAAGTAAGTGGCTAACTTAACTTTTACAAATAAAAACTGTTAAAGGAATAAACCACCCAAAATCAGTACTTTCTATGATTTGCAGTGTTAAATGACACTAATACAATATGTTTTGTTCACAAATGTTTAATTTTTTCGTTATAACAAGGTTGGTAGCAACGTGAAAATCTGTTACAGCTCAAGTCGACTACAAAACCCACAATGCAATGCTCTCTCTCTGGGCTTGCTAACTAGCAAACGTAGCTAAACACAATTACCAGCATGTGAAGTCAATATCAGCATGTGAAGTAGCTAGCTAGCAGTAAAATCGCATAAACACACTGCACTATCAATTTAGGGGTCTACAATCTCACCATGTTCAGCTTGCAGTTCGTCTCTGAGGCAGACAATGTAAAGTACAGACGTTGCTATGGCAACAACGTCCGTTTCCCACAGACACAAAGGGCGCATTGCATGATGGTAGCTACTAATTTGGTACACTGTTTAGATTGAGCACACCTAAGCTAAATCATGACGATATAAATGGATTGGTGTGTTCAAGACAAGTATATACCCTTACCATCTATTGGCTGGTTTGGCGATCTGGAGTGCAGGTCATTATTTAAGAGTTATAAAATGTGATATTATGTTATCCTGTATCTCCAGTGATGAGAACATACCACTTAGAAGTTAAATCATGGGGGAAATAGTTATTTAACCACTCATAGAACATATACTACTATACTCAAATTGACAGGAGTTTCATTTCTGGGGGTGGATTATCCCTTTAATGTATGAGCTAATTTGTTTTCTATCGATAATTTAACAGCTTGAAAACAGGTTGTTGTGGAATGAAAAATATATCTATATATATTCTCTTATTCTAGGTCCAGTTGAAATGTGTGATGAAACAGTTCGTGACACAGACTATTATCAAAATCAACCACTTGATCTCCAAAGGTACTGCAGCTCTGCTTTCAAAGATATGCCAGAGTCAAAGTGAGGTTAAATCTCTGAAAATGAAGCTATTGGAGATTACTGACGGCAAGGAGATACCTGAAAACACAGTGGAAGAGGAGGAATGGACGGGATTACTATATTCACCGGAGTTTGCAGAGGATTTTGAGGTATGTTATATTTGACATGTTTGCATGAATTATGCAGTCCAGGGGGCTGACGAGATCAGTGGGCATGAGCCCTTTACTATTATTATCCTTGAATCCCAGGACTGACACGTACTGCCGTTGTACCATTGAGCAAGGCTTTTAACTCCATAACCTGAACCAGGGGTGCTGCTCTGTGACAGTGTGTGTGTATGTTGGAGATCCAATGAAAAAATTTTTCTCTCCCAGGTTGACGTGCCAACTCCCATTGGTGAGGCTGACAAGACTACAAATTGCAAGGAGACCACAATCAGTGTTAAAACTATAGAGATGAAACAATGCTTTATATCTCTGGCAAAATTACCTTCCTCACTCACTAAGTCTAACAAACAGGGGCCAAATACAACCAAACAGGCAGCAAGTAGGCCTACATACAGAGAGGCAGAAAGCAGGCCTACAGACATTCAGGCCCTAAGTACAGATGCCCAAAGTCTCATTGGGGACTCTGTGCTATCCACTAGACCCAGGAGGGAAAAGAAGAGAACAGAAGCACCCACGGTGGCAGAATCAGACGGAAGTAAGGAGAACGCTGATGATGACCAATGGGAGGAGGAGAATGCTAATGCCAGACAAACCTTGAGTGACGAATCTCTTCACAACAGAAAGCAAAGGCCAAACAGGAAACAAAATAAGACTACCAACACCAGGAAAGAGTACCTCTGTCCGGACTGCGGTAAGGTTTTTAAGAAATTATGTAATTTTAAACAGCATCAACAGACTCACACAGGACAGAGACCTTATTGTTGTGAATTATGTGGGAAATGTTTCCCGACTGCTTGGAAGCTCAGAAATCACCAATTAGTGGTCCACAGGGGAGAGAAGCCGCTAGAATGCCCAAAATGTGGGAAGTGCTTTGCAACAAAGAGTTATTTGGACAAACATGAAAGCGTTCATTCAACAGAGAAACCGTTCCGATGCCTCGTGTGTCAGAAGTGTTTTAAAAGTAAAAATGGCCTCAAGGAACATACAATGTTGCACAATTCTACTTCAAACTCATATGCTTGTGACAAATGTCCAAAAACCTTTGTAAAGTTGAAATACCTCAAGAATCACCAGCTAACTCACAGTGGAGGAGGAGCTCACCGTTGTGAATTGTGTGGAAAAGGTTTCAAGTCTCCTTCCGAACTCAAACAGCACCAAGCATCAGTCCATAGGGGAGAGAAGCCGTTCCAATGTCCGACATGTGGGAAGTGCTTCGCAAAAAAAGAAAATTTGAAAATTCACGCAAGTGTTCATTCAGAAGAGAGAGCATTCCAGTGCTCTCAGTGTCAGATGTGTTTCAAAACCAAGTATACGCTTAGCGACCATAAGAAGACCCACACGGACTCCAAGCCATATGCTTGCGACAAATGCCCAATGACCTTCATTCGGTCGAGGTACCTCAAGATGCATCAAGCCTCGCACCTGACCAGCAAGCCGTTAGCGTGCAGCTACTGTGGGAAAGGCTTCAAAGGTGAACGTGAGCGCAAGAGACACGAACGCACCCACACAGAAGAACCACCTTATACCTGTGACGAATGTGGCAAGGGTTTCTATAAACAGGAATCGTTAAAAGTCCATGCAGCCTTGCACACCGGAGAGAAGCCGTTCGCCTGTGATTACTGCGGTAAAACCTTTGCTCTGGCGTCCTACCTTAAAACCCATACAGCAAAAGTTCACTCTGTCACCGAACTCCACGTCTGTGGGAAATGTGGCAAAAAATATAAGGATATCATACATTTCAGAAGCCATATGGTTCAGGGTTGTTGAGAGGAGGCTGTGGCATTGGTTTGCTTGAATTAAACAATTGATCTCTTTCTAATATTGGAGAGAATCTAATACCCCTTCCTAAACGAAGCCCCTGGGAGGACGCAGGTTAAAGGCACAACTTGTAGCTTTCATTCTGACAATGCTTTGATATTCATTGTTATTTTGGAATTGTGAATAAAGTTGTAACATGTTCTTGTTATACTACAATCATGCATGTTTACTTTTTATTCACTGTTAAACGTGGCTATATGATAGAACAGAATCAACATACGTTTTGAAATGATTTTGATAAAATCATACTTTGACCATGTAAAATATAAGGCTATAATGAGTCACTCCATTCATGAATAATAGGGCCCATTACCCAGTCACTACTCAACCACAACTCAAACCCATCAAGAAGTTTATTTCACAATAATACATTGAGCAGACAGACACCCTCCCTGAGTTGACACATCTCCAAGTTTAGAAGTCATGAAGGTCATGCAGGGATGGATTTAGTGATGTGAAACATTCTGAAAGTTGCAGATAGAAATGGAATGAATAGAGCTCACACAATTGTTTATTCTGACAACTAATCTACATGATACATTTTTTAATCTGAACGTTCTGTAGCAACATCCTTCTGAACAGGACCCAGTTGTGGCTACTGTAGCTCATAGTAAGGGCCAGGAGTTTTCACATGACCATGTAACCTCAGAGGGGATTTCCACAAGACGATAATTCGGATAGCCACTCATGTGGGTGCTAGCAAGCACGCTAGGTAGTGCTAGGTATCAACAGCCAATCCAGGATGGGCTGGAAGCCAGTGAGCTTCGATTTGTCAATAGCTTCACGATATCGCAGAGTTTTTGCATAAAGCTCAGCTTTCCCCATCTTCGGACCCTCCATGTTGAAGCTCCATCGCCCAATGGTTCTCCATTGAAAAGGAATGATGCTCTGATCTTTCAGCGTCTCCAACATGTTATGTGAAAATGCAGTATTTCTCTCTCACACTATCCACTAGTGCACACCAGAGGTCGGTGTATTCCAACCTCATACATTATAGGTATTACACTCACTCAGAGATAGCATTACAGTATTACAAAAAGCTAAATAGTTAAAAAACAACGGAATTATGCTTCTATTCTCCTAAAGAGGAATGTGTGCATTATACATATTATTAGTACTATTTATTAATAATACATAGACATTAAAATATAGATCAATCAATGTATGCAGTGCGTGAGTCAGCTAGATATTGCAAATCCAAGTCTTTATGATTACTAACCAGAAGTAGATTCCTTGCTCACTAAACATGTTTAATTGCCGTGCATTGATATATAAAATTATGTTATGAAAATAATTGTGCTATGAAGAAAGCATTTTTAAAGCGGAAAGACTGCATTATTTCGTTACCAATTTGATGGCAAAGTTGCAGAGATCATAAGTCATTGGATCATGCATGCTACAAGACCAAATAACCACTAGAGGGCGCACGAGGCTGATGGATGGACGACGTTTTGACATCCAGTACAGCAGGTGTCAGTAATGCGCCTTTCTATATAATGCACAGCAATGTCAAGCCGGTTGAATAATATATCATTTGGTTTGTGGTCGTCACTAGTTACCCCAGCCACAAAGTAATAAAACCCTGCCTATTTCATACCTTCCAACTTTTCAAAAAACCTTGGAGTGAGATTTTGTCCTGGGTCCGCCTGGGTCCTGCAGTCGGTGAAAAGCAATTGCACTGCCTGCGTTTCAGAACTGCGGCCGCCTTGATCTCATGAGGTTATCGTTGCCCACGTGTGCATGACGTCACAGAGAAAGTCGGGATCAAGTTGGACACAAATCTAACCAGCATGCATTGGGCGGTGATCGATTCTGCCCAGACCTCAAATGATCTCAAATGAGCCTCTTGTCTATGATCTGTCGGCATGGTTATACTGGCCTGTGGCCTTCTTGGAGGCCTTGATGATATCGGAGGGGGGCTCCCATTTGAAGCAGGGCTCCAGATTGGCCATCTTTATGGTCATTATTGAGGACAGGGTGCCATCCAATGCTAGGCTGTTTCTTCTCTTGGTTTTGTTCAGTCCCACAACTGAAAACACCCTCTCAGCATCTGCGTTTGCATGGGGCAACACCAGGACAAGCTTGGCGACGGCAACAAGCCTCTTGAATTCTTTGGCTCCTGTCACCTATGGAAAATGCACCAAAACACAATGGAAAAACATACCTTGATTTTTGATAGATTAATGCTGTAAGTATACTGTAGGTTGATCCATTAACAAAGTTCAGATAAAAACATGCATAATTTGCAACATGCATGACACATATATGCATGCAACAATTTTAAGCAACAGATGTAGCCAAGCCACACCTGCCAAAAGGAAAGACAAAAAGGAAAAATGTTTTACCTTATGCTTCCGGGTTGCCATTTCAGCCCAGAAGCTTTCCATTTCAGTTTCGTCCTGCAAGGATATCATTGGCATGGTCTGATAATTTAGAAACTCCTCACCCAGAAGGTCATGCTCCTCTGGCCCATGGTATGGGAGGAGATGGGGAAACCTATTTATGAAAGTAGAGTTACAAGTTGTTACGTTTTAGGTATATAGTCATCAACCATCAGCAGTTCATACACATCTTTGAGGAGAAGCCACATAAGAATATCTCATGTGCAGTTTAGGAGTGAACACACCTCATCATAAAACACAGGGTATTTTAGCTAAGATGATAGACAATAATTAGAGAAAAAAAACTAACCTTTCAACAAAGTACAGGACATCTTCGATGTCACTTTCAGCCCTCTGCCGTACATCTACAAATTGTGCGTGCTTGATCAGTGGCTCTTCCAGTGGCAGCTTCTTAAGTGCATAGTCCACAGCACTTGTCAGGAAACACAACACAGCTTCATGGAATGAATCCACCTGCTGTGGTGTGATGTCACCCTCGTCGAGTAATCTGTTAAGTTTAGCCCTGGTTGTGAACCCAATGTTCAACTTTCTTCCTGTCACAGATACAGCATATCGGTATAAGGTACAAGGCTAAATATCACATATCACAGTGTTTGATCATAATAATAGTCAAATACTAACCTGGTAAATGGTTTGCCTTTTCTTTAAAGGCAATTTCACAAGGCTCCTCATGGCACTGCAGAGCTGCTGGAACCATAAACTTGGAACATAGCTTGCGTACGAATTTCACCATCTATAACAGACATTTACAAAAATAATAGGTGAAACCTGTTTTAGAGGATCCCTGCAGATATCAGCAAGAAACACAGAATGGAAAAAAACTGCAAAATCCAATCCCACCTCATCATGTAACAAAAATATTGATGACTGCTCTCTCTGAAGCAGCAAGTTGAAAGAAGTGAAAGTTGGTATGGTGGCTTGGAAGAACAGCAGGTACACTTCTGCAGTGGCGTCTCCTGAAAAAATTCTCAGGAGGGGCAATTTTTCTGATGATTTAGGTGACCTACACACATTTTAAAAAAGATATGTCCAGCAACAACATGAAGACAGTGGCAGCATATAAGTCAATACCAGAAGCATTTATTGACTGATCTGGGGAGATGGATTCCAGTTTCTGTGACAGATTATAAATAATCTCTGATGCCTTTGTTATATTAGCTTTTGGTTGAATGTACTGTCGTAGTAAATATATAATGTTATAGCTTGGTCTGACTAAAATCTTGTGCATGACCCATTTTGTGTTGGGCGTTTGTTTTCAATCAATGCTGTTCCTATCCTATAACAATGGACAAAAGAGTCCTATCTTGTCAGCCTTGTCAGCAGGTGGCCAAGGACAACACCCACGCCATAGGTCTCTCAGTTCTTCCAACTCACGAGTTCTTGCTCTGAGGACACACACACACACACACACACACACACATCATCACTGATAACACACACACACACACACATCATCACTGTTAAACACACACACACACACACACACACACACACAAAAATCCCCTCTCTTTAGGCTGAACATTTGAAGACAGAGAACCCGACTCAGAGCCAATGCAACAGTGGAGGGGACCTCGCCCAACTCATCAGGACCAATCAGAAGATCAGAACTACTAGATTCAACCTACATCATTTATTGTATAAAATGTCTGCACACAATGTTTTCGGGGCTCTCTTCTCCCTAAGAGTTTGACGAACGAGTCCGTGCACGCGATTCCAGATATCTTTACCTCTGAATAAACTGCCTTTATTATACCATATCCACCCTGTCCAAAGTCTCTACTTGGTCTCAGTTCTCCAGTAAACTTGTGATTATCAACAGTACACAACGGTAACAAACAATTGGGGGAACTCACGGGGCAGATAGTAAGGTCGCAATGACACAGAAAGCAGTTCAATGTCGGGGTACAGAGTCGCTCTCTTACCAGGATCGCGGTCCGCTCTGACCAGGGTGAAGCCGGCCGGCTCCACTTCTCTGTCCGGGACTCTGTCATCCAGCCAAGTCTCCCAGCTGTATTGGGATTCCGCTGCCAGCAGCGTTTTCATTATTTAGTCCGTTCGTAGCGGGTATGTACACGATCAACAAGATCAGTCCAAAACCAACCACTGGAAATCCATGGTTGGCAGAATGTTTGTAAACTAAGTCTACAAATTAAAAACATAAAATAACGCCACACTGCAGGTCGCAACAGAGACGCTGCTAGCCGCTATTGTCTTAGTTAC